ACTTCTGTGGTCCTAATACTGCTGCCATGCAGATTAGCGACGCAGCCAAATCTTCATCAACCAAGGACGTCCGGTTCAAATTCTGGAAGGAACACTTCTAGTCTTGTTTCTGGTGCTTTTGCTTTTTTTTCATTTTATCTTTGTTCTATCATATATGAATGATACGAGTCACGAATCTCTCTTTCTTTATTATTACTTTTCCATGATTTCATGGACTCTCTAGGTTATCCCTCTATACTGGATTTTACAGCTTTAAGGGAGGCAGAAGCCGTCTGCTTATGGCCAGCAGTGAGAGGAGAAATCACAACATACGTGGGTACCAGTGGGAATACTGGGATGTAGGAATATATGGCAATAGACTTGACAACGTCCTCTAAATAATACTGTTTGGTTTTCAATATGTCCTTAGATTATGAGGTCTTGTAGAGTTCTGGTTTTTCTCAGTATGTCGAAGTTCTCTATGTAGGGGGTAATAATATCAGAGTCTTAGAATTATATATTTCACAGGTTATATGTTTTTCTCTTTTCACTAGTTTATGTTTCGCGCCCAATTCTTCATGCCCTTCTAATCACAGCACCAATAAGGTGGAGAGAATATCATTAAAGACATAGAAAAATACTCCAGATATTAAACATTATATACACCTCACATCATTAAGCATGTCCTTCATTCCGAGAACGCGTTTCTTCAGACACTGTAACATCCGTCGTGACCGCAATTCCTTCTTTGTATTCGTCGAATGAGCCTCTTCCACTCCTACTCGTATCAATAACAATATGCTGCTGGCTCTCGCCCGTCGAGTCTCGCCGCGACTTCCCCCAAGCCATCGACGACAGCTCATACGGATGCTTGTTATCCCCGCCCCGACTCTTCGAAGTAAAGAGATTGCTTCCCTTTGGCGTCTGGCTGATATGATTTGAACTGCCATTTGTCGAGAACCAGCGCGAATTGCTGATAAGGGGCTTAATTCCGGGAGCACAGATTGTTATCACGGACACGAGGGCTTCGCGGGAGGCCCAGCCTAGGGCGGTTGACAGTTCGGAGATGTCTTTGACGGAGTAATATGCGCGGAGGAAGCCAGCGATCATGACGAAGATTCCGGATGAGAAGAGGACGCAGAGGAGGAGCTTTTGGGAGACTGGGATCCGGGCCGCTATAATTAGCGGAATGGGGATTGTTAGGACCGCAATGTCAGTTCTGCTCAAGTAGTTAGTTCATATGGCCAACTGTGATTGGGAAAGCTTGTACTGACGTGATACTGAGGGTTTCGATGACGATATAGTTCAACGGACGTATAGTACAGTTATCTGTCAATGGGGTTAGTAACCACGAAATTTGACCTCGGAATTATTCATCTCACCTCCAGCATATGGCTTGATTTGCCAACTCTTGTGTACTGGGTGGCAAATGAAGACGTGGAAAAACAACGACGCGAGGAATGTGCAGACACACAAGGCTCCAACGGCCATAGTCAAGCGGTGTTGCCAGAGACCCATTCTGTCGCTTGGTTAGCATAGGTTTTGAATAGCTGTAAGGAGCCAAGGACGCACGTCAATCTGTTGTAGAGGAACATCAGGACCCCTTTAAACAACCACACCATGAAGACATAAGAGACCCAGGCAACAAATGCGTCGATGGAGCCGGTTCGTAGCGTTGCAACTTGGCTGTCTGGCACCTCCATCGCCGTTTTCTCGTTGAGACCAATATTCGATCCGTATACGTCTGTCTTGAATTAACATGGGAACAGAGCAGGGATCTAGAAGAGAACATACCTGTACAGAGGTAGAGGAAGACGGTGTGCATTGTCCAAAATATCTTTTCGCAGTTAGTATCATTATCTCGGTAGAGATGCACAAGGACTGACCGTGGCTAATACTAGACATAAATCATCCCAGTAAAACTTGCCCTTTCCAACTTTCCACCGTGCGTAAAGGCGAACTGCAATGATGACCAGCCCTATAGCCCATTCTGCGAACAACTCTGCCGAAACGTTGTAGGCCATGGTGATGGTAAGTCGCTCTATGCTTTCGATATAGGCTGGAATGAACAAGTCCACGATCACCCAAACCACGGGATCATTGTTTTTCTTTTCTTTGCAACGCTGAAACCAAACCCTCTAAATAGCAGGAATATGCAACATAAGGCCAAGCCTCGGCACTAAGTGACCCTGAAAATCTTTTCAAAGATGAAATAGATACTATCTGATTGACTAGCGAACTCAATACCTGGAAATATCCATGGATCGAGAACAATCTTATCCAAGAACCGGTGCCTTGGGTGCGGCTGTGGGGATTCTCCCGTGTCTGTTGTCATGGTGGAGTCAATGCCAAGACACGATGTGGAAGTCTTTACTAGCATACACTAACGATATCATGAATTAGATAAAGTTAGGAACTAGAAATATACCATGTATCCTCATATATACCCTCATATATACCCTCATATATACTCTCATATATACATGTAGAGTGTCATGGTAGATTGGCAAATACTCATGAGTGAGTCGATTAACTTTGGATCGGCAGAGAAATATGGGGTTGGCGGGGAATAAGGCCAATTCAATGAGGTATGGGCGATGAAAATCCTAATTTGTTGGCGGGACTCTCCCTGAACAGAACGTGCCCTTCGAACTATGGAGTACTACTCTGTTACGTACGAAGTGTGGGAATGTGGGTCAGAATACATAAGGGCAAAGAAGATGAATTTCGATTCACAGTCTCGTAGGCTGCAATCTTGTCCTCGTTCAAAGAGATATGTAACTGTCTCCACAGCCGTGCTTGTGCATAGGCTTATACGAGAGAAGCGTTTCGGAATCAAACCAGCCTATAATGGGCGGGGACACGCATGCTTGACTGGTTTAACATCGGTCGAGCGCTTCTCCATCGCCCCGGTTTTCCGGTTTTCAGCCCCCCCTGTGGGGACTTGAGCACGATGCTCCGGATGTGAAAGCCGCGTAAATCTCGGGGTTCGACGGAGTACCGAGAAGTGGGTGGTGCTCGAATGCCCCTCCTGATCCAGCCGTTATGGTTTCCCCCTCATTCTCCTTGGCCACAACTTTGAATATGGAAACCAAACATCTTCAGAGGCTCTTGGCGGAAGCCAAGACTGCACTTGATTCGTACGAGTTAACTCAAGTCGATACCTGTCGAGTTGAAGCTCAGGAAAAGGCGGCACAGCTGGCGCGTGCGCTGGAACGTCCCAAGGATGCAATCCTCAAGCTTTCCTTTTCTGTAAGCCATCAACATTGCCTGTGAATTTTGTAATGTCTTGCTAACCAGTTGCCAAGCCTATTATTCTCATGGCCGTGAAGACGGCCCATGATATGAACGTATTCCCCGTTTTGTCTCAGGCCACGGGCCCAGTCCCCCTGGCCGAATTGGCTGCAGCAAAGCCGGCAGACCCTCTTCTAGTCGGTAAGTAACCACTCGAGAAGGGGAATTATCTAACTTCTGTCCAGAGCGTATCATGAGAGTTCTAGTCGCCAATGGCTTCGTCGAAGAGTCAGCTCCCAGCGAATACCTATCTACAGCGCTATGCCGGGAAATGACCGAGCGCACATCGATCGGAGTCGTGGGATCACTGTAAGCTACTACAAACTCGTAAAAAGAGACCAAGATCTTAATTTTGTATGTTGTATACTAACCTAATTAGCTTCCATGAGTTTCTACCCTCGGTCCAAAAAGTCCCCGAATATCTTCAATCTACCAACTATCGGAACCCAGACGATCCCATGTGGGCCCCTCTTCAGTACACGCATGATCTGAAGATCGATGGATTTACATGGCTCTGCCAAGATCCCGAAGCGTTAGCCCGGTTCAATAGCTTCATGGAAGGACAGCGGGCTGACCGTCCACACTGGGGTGACTGGTTCCCGGTTCGTGAAAAGCTTCTCGACCACGCGGAGATTACTCCCGATACACCGCTTTTGGTAGACCTTGGCGCTGGTCGTGGACATGACTTGATTGGATTTAGGCAGAGGTTCCCCGATGCCCCGGGTAAATTAGTATTGGAGGATCTGTCCTCTGTGATTGATGAAGTACGTGGCGCACAGGATCTAGAGGCGGCGTCTATTGACACTGTTGTGCACGATTTCTTTGCTGAGGTTCAACCAGTTCAAGGTAAGACTGCCTTTTATATGTGTGTGTATGTTTGCATTTGGATAGGGCTAACAAATATCTATTTATGTGCAGGGGCACGCGCGTACTATTTCAAGAACGTGTTGCATGATTGGTCTGATGAGAAGGCGACGATCATCTTCAACCACCTCAAGCCCGCTATGAAGCGGGGTTTCTCCAAGGTCATCATGGAGGAGTATATTCTTCCTGATCAGAATGCCCGTTCGCTTCCTTGCATGACAGATATCGCGGTCATGGTTTTCTGTTCCGGATTGGAGAGAACTCGCCAGCGCTGGAGTGACCTACTGACATCTGTTGGTCTGCGAGTCCTGAAATTCTGGGTCCGTGAAGGCGACGGATTGGGTATCATTGAAGCCGAATTGGCAGAGAGCAGTTAAACAGAGTCGTCTCTTAGTAGGAAGCCAACACTAGCCGGCTTAAATGAGTAAATAATCACCTTCATATGCCGGGGTCCATGGGTCCACGGGTTGATTCTGAATTATGTGTCTCAACACTCCGCATAGATAAAGCGAAGGACAGGTCCAAATTTATGAATTTAGATCTACAAGAGGGGTTCCACACAGGTCGTGACGTCAGATTAAGAAATCTCCTAGGATAGGACAAAGTGTAAGTGTACTTCGTCATGACTCGATGGCATCATATATTAGACCTTTCAGGGCAGTGATGGTTGTGCTGAGCTGTGTCTCACGGTAAACCTGGAACTCGAAGCGTACAATAACTGCACTAAAGGCGTATACTTCAACGGAATCATCTAACTCGCCTTCCATATACCCACCTCTTAGCCTGAATGATCGTATATAGAATCACAGAATCTTATTATTAGAGAATTTCAGAGCCAGTATTGACCCCAAAGCACGAGATCATTAGAATGGCCAATGACGCTGGTACTCCGCTTTTTCCTCGTCAGTCTCAGCCAATTGGTCCAATATTTGGCCTTTGAGTTCGTCGAGCACAGCTTTGCAATCATCGTATCGCTCGTATTCGATAAAGCCTTTGTCAGGCCACAAATCGCCTATTTTCTCCTTGATCTCAGCCACAAGCTCAGTTCCTGCTACCGCATCATCGCTGTCCAGCTTGATGCGCTCAAAATCTTCCTCTGAAAAGTCAAACGGGAATGGGGTGTCGCTAGTGACGCCAGGTAAGTCCGCCCACCTGTCCTTCAGATCGACTAGGAGTGATAGGAAGTGCGCCTCTCCATATTCAAACATGCGGTGGGCAAGAAATAACAGGCCGTACGCTGGTGTCTTTCGGAATTCGACTACCCGATACAAGTCCAGATTTTTAGCATGCATGAGCTGTCGCCATCCAATGAACACATTCTGAACGATATGCGCGCGCGTAGCCGCAGACCGCTCTTCAGTGGAAAGCCAGATAGTATCGGCCTTGGTGGTAGGTCAAGCGTCTCCGGCTCAAGGCCATCCCATTCGAGGAAAGCTGGGTCAGGATTATGGTTGAAGAGGGAGAGACGTGGCAAGACTGCCAATCAATGATACCCGTGATCCTTTCGGGGTTATGTGGATCTACAAAGATGTTGTCACCATGCAGATCATCATGCCAGAGACGTGGATTGGTGACAGAGGTGTCCTTTGGGATAAGGGCGTCGACAATCTTTTGGTACCATGCTAACACAGTGAGCTTTTTTTCAGCGTCGGGTTGGTAGAGCTTTGGGCCACAAAATAAGGCAATCTGTTTTGGTGGTTTCAGAGACTGGATTGCCTTGATCTCTCGCGCTCCGACTGCTTGCATGTACTTCGTTAGAGAAGTCCCTACAAAATCGTCAGCAGCTGCGAGAAGAAGACTAAACCCTGACGTACATGGTCCTCTTTCAATGTCCAAAACTGATCTGCCCGCATCAAACCAATCCCGACCAGTAGCCGGGCCAATGGTGAACTCTGAATCTTTGATAGCGGTGCCCTCTTGACATAGTGGTTGCCTGCTGGCGACTGCACGTCTCCGGCGTAGTACAGGCTTTCATAATGCGAGAATGAAACGCTCAGCCATTCTTTCTGTAGACTTGTCATGGCAAGAATCACTTTAAGCCTCTTTTGTATTTGCATGGTATCCCAGACTTCAGAAAGCGGTACACCCTCAATTTTATCCATGATAATGAATTCAGCCCCAACAGGATGTGATTTTGCTCGCGAGTTCCAAGCATAGACATGAGGCGCTGGGGAATTAATGATTTTTCTAGCCTCCCAATCCAGTCACATTAGCAAGGTTCGGTGTCGATGGAGTTCAAAATCAACTTACGAAGTCCATTGTGGCGACTTCACTGGCTGTGGTGAAGTGTGGAATACCAGCATTCGGGTTAGGAACCTTGGCTACGACTTCTTGGCCATCCTCTATAGTCATGGGGAATGATTTATTGAACATGCCGTCGGGGTACTTCTTGATGGAAATGCATTGAGCCGCGCCGACCGAGTCTGCCGTGACTTGCGCGAGTTTGTTCAAGTCAAGGTTCTCTGCCTCCTCGACAACAAACCGTCCACGCGTGAATTTGAAAAATTCATCGTTGGAGTTCCAATCTGATCGGAATGAGTGATATGTTGAATCGCGCTCGGTGGGCATGCTTACCTGGCGGGGAAGAGCTGATGCTTGTGGGACACTGATATGAAGATAACGGTGATACTTTCGGGATTGACCGGCTGTATTGCTTCGGGCTTTGTATTATACTTCGAACGTAGCACCACGCACGCGCAGACGGGGGTAGGCACATATTCCATCAAATGGAATGGCTCTGACGGTGCTTCCTTTCAGGAGAACGTCTGGCACCTGATCACTTGAGCATTGTAAAATTGAGAAGATTTGGGGTGTTTCTGAAAATGCTGCTTTGGATGGTGATCCAGGCGTGGTGGATGGGGTGAAGGGGCCCCTATCAGTCGATCATTTAGCACGTGACCTGTACAATTGTCACATTTAGGTTTTGCCAAGGCCGTCGAGCCGCATATCTTCTCCACTTTCGTTCTCTCTTACATGCACCTCAGTCTACCTTTATCATTTTTACCTTCAAGCCATCATGCCCACGATTCCTAACGAGGAAAGAGTGAAGCCTCTCCTAATACAATTGCTTGAGTTTCCTACCCATGAAGAAGTCAGCGCTACGTCGGATGCACCTGCTGAGTTTAACACCGACACCCACGAAACTGTAACCATGCCCGGTACTTGCACTGAGACAGAAGTACCACCCGTTACCTTGATCAACCCATCTGCCCAGGAGAATTGTGACGTTGGAACCAACCCGTCCATCCAGAGTCACACTCCCACTAAAAACGGCATAATGTCTGAGACCTCTATCGCGACCCGACCAAAATCTCCATCCATCGATTTGTTTGGCCCACCTGCCCAGAGGGATACCGAAGTGGCCGCTAGCGTTACACCAGATATGTCTACTCCGTACGACAGTGATAGCGATATTCAAACCGTCATCCTGTGTGACAGTCCCTCTGAGAATGACCCGCTTGATTCCTCCAGCTCGAGCCACAAAGATCCTAGCGCCATGCCCAATACGTCCGTCGATGACTCCTCTGATGACTCCTCCTCTGGAGGCTCGGATGCCTCTTCCAGTGGCAAATCTGGGGCATCCTCCATCGACGGCGTTAATACAAGTCCAAAATCTCCACCCATCGCCGTGTTCAGCCCATCCTCCCAAGAGAATTGCGATGTCAAAACCAGCAGTTCTTCAGAGATTTTACCGCAGGATGATAGTGACAGTGACATTCAAACTGCCATCATGTGTGACAGTCACACTGGGAATGAAACTAGCATGCTTCAGTCCTCTAGCTCTGACCAGAAAGAGCCCAGCACCATATCAAACAAGTCCTCCGATGATCCGCACGATGATTCCTCTGACAGCTCCTCTGACGACTCCTCGTAGACAGTCTCAGATAGCTCTTCCGGTGCCAAATCTGAATCTTCCTCAATCGACAGCTTGGGTACGTCTTCTCAGCAAGATTCTGAATCAGAGGAGGAAGAACAACCCAGAGGTTCCCAGAGCCTGGCAGCATACGCCTCTCCTATTCGAGATGGAAAGCGTATCAGGACCAGCTGTGATAGTGTCGACGACCCGGGTGAGTGGCTCGTCGATCCAGATGGATTTATCAATGAGAAATATCGGGCTGGCGGGCCATTCCTCTGTTCACTACCCGAGACGATCCTCAATCTGAAAGGCAGTTCCCCTTTGTACACCGTTCTTGAAACTATCAGTCTTTATAAGATGATCTTTTCAGTCCTTGAGGAGTACAAAGTCAATGCATCCTCGGTCACGATCAAAAAGTGTCAATACGAATACTGGCCAATAATGGAGCCCCTGCCGACCTTGATCATTACCGCAACTCGCGATACATTTAGCGACGCTTGGGTGCAGGCTTGTCGCAAAATCTGGAGGCATCTATCTGAAAGCCAGCTTGGTCATATCAATGTTGAAATCTCGGACCCAGCTCTTCACAACCCGTATCGCTATTGGCCTGTGGAGTCGGGACACCCTATTTACCCAGTGCACCAGGAAGTGATGAGAAGAATCACAGAAGAACTCAATCTTACAGATTGGGTTGGTCTTGGGGCGTACCGCGTCGGTACAACCCCAGATGTGAAGGACAGCGAGGTGGTTATGTTCCTGACTGCGCATTTCAAGAGCGATCGAGACTGGCGTGTCCCGCGAGAACAGATCGTTTCGATTTTGGAAGAGTTCAAACTTCCAATGGTGGGAGTCATGATCCAAAAGGGCAAAATGTGGGGGAGAGGTTTTCTAGGCTGACTCACCAAAGCGATGAGCCCTGAGGGCCTAAGTCTCCCAACACTCCGGATGTTGTAGCTCGAATCACATGGTAACCAGGACTTATGGCTGACACGCCTCGTTGAGACCCATCCCCAGTCTTTTGCACGCTGGGTTCTACGGGGATTTATTCTTTCTTTCCTTGCTTTTCATAAGTCAGGTAAACGGCAGGTCCAATCAGCATAGCTATAGATAGCGATGTTAGTCCCTGATTTTGCATAGAAGCGTCTGTATTCCGTCTCTCCTATTCTGTAATTTGGCAATAAATTGTGCCAAAGGACACCACAGGTATATCCTAGATATAAGTCTCTAAGACCATCTTCAATGAACTAGAGATTCAGATTATAGAGATTCAGATTATACGAGTCTTACATCGTCCCGACGTCAAATGTAGTGGTCATATACGCGGCCAAGTATTCTAAGTCTCTTATTTGTATATACCCTTTCACGAATAATAATAGATAAAAGAGGACTTGGGCCTTCCTGATATGCAGTCACGGCCAGGGATACTTGCTATTGTCGATGCTTAGAGCCTGAGCGATCCTAAACCCAGATGCTTCCCAAACTCTTCCAAATCGACCAAGGCCTTGGATATCACGCAATAAGCCCTGGGAATTGGAAATCTGCTTTTCGGCCTGTAAATACGCCATTTCATCGCCCTTTCGAAGTCCCTGTAGCCAATGAGTTCTCTGCATGGCTTGTAGTCTGGAGTCTCGATCTTCTCGATCACCTTTAATGACTGCTTGTTCTCTTGGATTGCATGTGGGCTCGGATGGGAGGCTGCCAGGTGCTTGGCCATGTTGTCGTCGGGATTAATCCCTTCCTCCCACCATTTCCTTATTACAGCCTTTGTGCTCTCCTTCTCCTCCTTCACTGTCGGGTTGATCACATGAAAACAAGTGATTCCAACCACCTTTGGTTTCGCAATTCCAGGAAGAGTAATCTCAAAAAAGCCCCCAAACATGCCAGAAGAGCTTGCATTCTCTTTGAGAGCCAGGCTCTGCCCTGGCATTGACCGGATCCGAACGGGAACACTCCCCCGGCTTTTATCGGTACGACCGCATCGACTGAACCATGTTTTTGCAGTATGACAGCCTCGCAACAACGGTACCTCAGTTGCGCCAGTACTCTGCTCAATATCAGCAAGTCACTGATATGTGTAAAATACGAACACGACGGCAAATACAGGCGACCTGCAACACACAAGCCAACTAGCGCATGGCTATCCTTGGTATACACCAAGGCACCGGAATCTCCAGGCCTGGCGAAGAATAGGTCGTCCCCCTCAGGAAGCACAGAATGCTCGACTGTCAGGACAAACACGATCTCCCCATCGACCATGCCGTGATTGACGTTTGCCAACTGGAAGAGAGTTGTAATTACCGTCCGAATACCCAGACCCCTGGCCGGAGATACAAAGCGTAAGTCCATCGAGGTTATCTGGCAATGGTGACTGCTTCAACACGTGGCCCTCATGGTTCTGATTAACAGTTAGATATTTAACATAGTACAAATCTTTCGGTGGGTAAACTCACACCACCCAGTCACAGGGGCAATTGCTCGGGGGGTCGTCTGCCACCGTTGGTGTGAGGTATCTACCAGTGACGCTGAGGACACGCAGGCACGCTAGGACAGTAGCTATACAGGATTCGCACGCGTGGGTTGAGCCAGTGAAGGAGAAGGCCGGTCGCAACGAACGAACGCCACTCGTAGGACACAATGTAAAGATGTAGATGTTCTAGGAAGAAGTTTCGGGGCGGTGCGTCTTCAGACGAACGTCAGTGGCTTAGGTGATGTGTTTTATGAAGCCTTTCATAGGACAGAGCTCGATAACACCGAACTTGGAGCGCCGTGTTAGTAGTGCCACAGGAAACTGTAGTGAACTGGGTACCCTCACCAACAGCTGGTCCTCTTTGGTATATACCTGGGATCCGGAACCACCATATTTTGCAAAGAATGACAGTTTGCTAGCTTTCGGCGTCATTTTATATTCAATTCTCGGGATATTGACACATTTCCCATCAACGATCTCATGGTGGATATGGGCTGAGCGGAGGGAGTATAGTTGCCTGGGGAGTTGCCGGGCCTTCTTCCTGAAATGCAAAGTCCCAAGCTGTCGAGCTGGTAGGCCAAGTGTGGTTGTTTGAGTACATGACCCTCGGGAGCCTATTGAGCAGTTAGCTTAGGCATATCACATCTTTCGGTAGGAGAACTCACAGAGGCTTCTTTGCCGGAATGGGTATATAGGCTTGTAGTATTGGGGTACGGTGCCAAAAGGTATACTCCAGGGTTTGGTGCAGTAAAGAAAAAGAAAGAAACAAAAGACAAGAAAATGCATTAAACCTTGGAACTGATTTTGACGTTGGTAATCGATAGGGCTGGAAAGCCAGATCTATCGAACAATGAGAGACCTAAGGTGGTTGAAATTCGTTAGGGACGATGATGTAGACCCCGGTAAAAAAAAAACTGGACTCACAAGGATAAGAATGACTAGTAACACTGGAAGTAGAAAGTCTTGAAGAAAACGGATGCCGGTAGGAAGAGAGTAAGATCCCGGGGGGTGAGAGGGGGAGAAGGTGAAGGGAGGAAGGTAAGTGGGTTTTATAGGCTGGGCAGCTTCCACTTGGGATAATTTGGCAAAGGTACGATGTTTGCTCCATGTTCACTATTCCTTCACTATTGCTTCATCTTTTTCCCTTTTATTATAGCTATTTCAATATACTTTGATACCCCAATTGCAGTCCATCTTGCTTTAATAGTGTTATAACCTAAAGAGCGGAAATAACTGACAGATCATATATACCTTTAGTATTAATTAGTAAAAGAGGATTCGATGCTAACAAAATCAACAGCCTCTAAAATAGCATAACTAAGAGATGGATGCTATGAGTCTGTTGATACTAATTTGTTTGAAATTTGATTAGCCTAACCTTGTAAATCCATATGGGACATGGTATCACCATCACCCTCTACGGAGTAAGTAGATTTATGTGAGAAGCCGTGGTTTTGTCATTCACATTCCACGCAGCGATATATAATCCATGGATGTTTGCTCTGTCTACATATGCACGGGGAATGCATTACTGAAAGGGCGACGCAAGGTACTCTTTACAGCCTAGTATTAAATTGACCATATACCCGTGGGCAACATGGCTCATCAGCACTGGTATTTGGATCCACGGAGGGTAAATTGGAGTCTCGAGATTATTGAAAGGTTCGTACATTTAATCCCAAGGTTATATGTTGACATGATGAAAACTCTTATCTTCGCTTTTGGCCAGGCAATACTACTTGTGTTAGCCTTGCGTGGCACGTCTTCAGATACGCTCACTATGCACCGAGGCGAGGCGGAGCCGTTCTTAGGATAGATAAAGTAGACAGCAGATATCATTGAAGGGGTGTTGCCCGTTAGAATTTGTCAACACGTGCAGGAATTTGATATTGGAGATTCCCTAGCAATAAAGGCCCTTACTCAGTCAATGTGAACTCGAGCCAGTTGCTGGCCGGCACCACAACCATAGGTCTGCCTCCATTATTCAGATCAAGGACTTTATTCTCCCCAGCCAACACCACGGTGTTTTCATGGTCATGTAAATTACCCCAATCCCACCAGTCAAGTGTAGCTTCCTTGTACCCATATCGGAATCGATCGCCGGGCGCGAAATTCTTCGGAAAGTCACTCACCTTCCGTGTGAATGAGCAAGACTCGCCAGGCACCAAGGACTGGAATCTATTTTCGTCGTTCTTGCCGACATTGACCGGGTAGGGATTAGAGCTGTAGAGGTGGTGTAGGATCAAACCATTCACTTCATGCGGACGCCATTCATCGTTTTCTTTAACGTAGAGCCTGAATCCATCGTAGTGGCGATCGATAGCTTTGAACGTGGAGGTATTAAGTGTAATCGGTCTCATGCCATTCATTGAGTCAGGAGCTGCGTCATATGAGATTGTGACTGTGACGGGGTAGTGAAGTCGCGCTGCGAGGGAGTGATCTTTCACCGATAGCGTTTCAGGACCAGCGATGTAAATACTCAGGACTGGGGCGTCATCCATCCGACTAGACGGTGAAATAGGTGGTGGCGAGTATGGAGACCATTCTCCTATGTCGTCTTCTAGGTCGATTTCATCGTGAATAACTTCAACTGGCTGGTGTGGCCCATTGGGAAGTACTATGGCGGGGGTCTTTGGGGCGAGCTGGCGATGAGATGTACTGCGCTCTGATAATGTTCCCCAGTCCCACAAGGGAATTTGTCCACCTCCCCATAGAATCTCGTAGGAATACCGAGTGCCGAGGGCGTCAAAATAGACAGATGGCAGATCCACAGCCCAGGAGACGCTGTCGCCCGGGTCCAGCTGCTTGAAGCAAGGGTCTTCTATGGATACTTCCTGCGGGTGGATGGATCCTGCGGGTAACTGTTGGAAATCCACCTGGAGGGGTTGCCATTCGTCTGTTTCACTTTCACGACAAAGCAGTATTATACCCGACTGGCCAAGCCCATCCTTGACAGGGTCCCAGTGAATGATACACGGTCGTGTTTCCGGGTCATTTTCTTCCCGTGTGATTGTAAACACGATGCGGTAAGACGTATCACAGATGTGTGACTGTGGTTCTGCTTCAAAGGAAAGCGCGAGGCGAGGCGTATCGGGTCTGTTTTGTTTAGCATTCCTGCTAGTTGGCTTCTCACGTATCACTTACGGTCTATCCGCAGCAGAGTATCTCATGAAAGGCGAGAGCTCCTCCTCCAATTGTGCAAGAGTCATATCGAATATTTGCGGACGAAAGAGGACAGAAAGAGGGGAATCGGGCTTCAAAATGCTGAGAGGTCGTTGGGGGCAAAGACTCCTTGAAGCCAATTTTGTACTTGCAAGAAGGCCAGAGAAGTGAAGAGAAAATATCTGGTGGTAGGGATGGCTCTTTGAAGAGAGTGAAAGAAGTAGGTTGTTGATACCAAAATCACGCGACTCGTTCTCCTGTGGCCATATTTCCCAGGCCTCAGATCCGAGGATGGTCATATTTCAATTTCCTCACCATTCCTTCGTATTTTCCTCTTCCAGTATGTGTATTGCTTTGTGGCGTTATAGGCCAAAGAATGAAAATAATAACAAATTCATATATACGTTCGGTATTAATGGTAAGAGGGTACGATGCAATAAAGCATAAGCCTCTAGGAGATCAAAACTGAGCAATGCTATCTGGTGGCTTTCTCATGCCGATCATTTGGAGAGTATGACTAGCCTAACCTTGGAAACATCACATAGGTACTATAATCCGCGGGATATTTTCATGAGGCGGTGGTTTTGTGTTTCACGTTCTACGCAGCTATATATATGCAGCTTCAAGCACGCCATATCAAGCGCAAGTGAGCGAGGCTTATAAATCTGCTTGGAAATACCACAACAGCCGTCGATCCGAGTGATAAGCGGGGTATATAACAATAGCTATTCTCGTCCCAAAATAGTTGTATGAATCTTACTCGGCAAAATTCAAAGTCCAATCTGGGGGACACCCAAACCAATTTCAAGATGACCGACTCGCAACCCAACCGTCAGCTGCATCTTACGGCCTTCATGCGGCCAGTCTCACTGCACACAGGTGCATGGCGTTATCCCGGGTCATATCCCGACGCCAATTTCAATTTCAAACACATCGCCCAGTTCGCCCAAAAGCTAGAGGCCGCCAAATTCGACGCCTTCTTTATGGCTGATCACCTGGCCGTACTGAACATGCCCGTCGAAGCTCTTAAGCGCAGTCATACGGTTACTTCATTCGAACCTTTCACTCTACTCTCCGCTCTCTCTTCCGTGACAGAGAAGATCGGTCTTGCAGCCACTGCTAGTACGACTTACGACGCACCGTACCATGTTGCCCGGCGATTTGCTAGTCTGGATCACCTGAGTGGCGGACGAGCAGCATGGAATATTGTGACTACCGGAAACCCGGAGTCAAGTCATAATTTCGGATTCGATGAGCATTTGGCCCATGGCGATCGTTATAAGCGTGCCCGTGAATTCTATGATGTCGTTACGGGGCTCTGGGATAGTTTCGCCGATGATGCATTTACTCGCAATGTCGAGACGGGGGAATATTTTGATCCAGCGAGAATGCATGTGCTGAACCATTCTGGTGACGAATTGAAGGTTCGAGGGCCGTTGAATATTGCCAGACCACCGCAGGGATGGCCGGTTATTGTTCAAGCAGGGCAAAGCGAGCCAGGACGACAGCTTGCGGCTGAGACTGCCGAGGTTGTATTTTGCAGTCCGAAGGATATTGATAGTGCCAAGGCGCTGTATGCGGATATCAAGGGGCGGGTGGAGCGAGCGGGCCGGAAGAGGGAACAGTTGAAAATTTTACCCGCGGCAATGATTATTGTTGGGGATAGCAAGCAAGATGCGCAAGAGAAGAGACTCAAGTTGGATAGTCTGGTCCACTACGACAGTGCCATCGCTTCTTTGTCAATCTCACTTGGGGTAGATGTCAGTGGCCTTGATCCAGATAGTTTGTTGCCGGACGACCTGCCCGAGACGAATGCTAGCAAGACGAGCAGGGAGTCCGTGGAAAAGCTGGCTAAGCAAGAGGGACTGACGATCCGTCAACTTGCGCAACGATATGGTGGATACTCAGGGCTGACATTCCTCGGTTCGCCGAGTGATATCGCTGAGGAGATGGAGACGTGGTTGCGTGAAGAGGCTTCTGATGGCTTCACATGCACGTTTCCGTTCTTACCACAGGGCCTGGAAGAGGTGACGGATGGATTGATTCCTGAACTGCAACGAAGAGGCCTTTTCCGCAATGAGTATACGGGCTCGACACTGCGTGAACATTTTGGCCTGCCGAGACCCGAGAATCGGTTCTTTACTGAGGAATCATAATGGTGTCTCTCCAAGATAGATTGTATTACAGCGCTATTTTCATTTATTTTTCAATTGAGATGTTGGCTCCCATTGTAACAGCACTTTGGTTCCATTACCTGCCATATTGCCGAATGAGTGTCAATCGTAAAATGCAGATACCATAATTCACTCACTGGTTGTAGAACTATAAAAACCGGAATATCTCACACCAAAGCGTATGGGTTTTTGGCAATATCTCCGAATCGTCGTGCATTCCAGTGTCCTAACCACTTGAACTGTGTCAGGGCCTCTCTCTTCTCTCGCCAGTCAAATATATGTATGGACAGGATATGAATTCAAGGACTGCATGTCGTAGACCAATGGTCAGCTTTGGGCGCCTTGATTGTTGAAGCAAATATGGTTGCATGTGGTTAAAGTCATAGTTTATGCCTGTTATTGCATCTGCAAGGATGTCTTATTTCATCCAAAACTTGAGCGTGGAAAAGATCGGAGGTTTGACCAAAGTCCCACCCTGGCAACCCGTCGGGTCGAGACAACATGCAATGCACCCAGACTTTTCTGGTCTTAGTAGCTTTGATAGTCTCCGTCCGGCGAGAGCTTCTACAGTGTCACTAGTTTCCCCAGATTACAATGCTGTCAGACCACCGTCGGATCTCAACTCACTTCTACCTCACTACAACTACAGATGAAGCACGGAATTTTCACTTCTCACTTCGATTTGACATTACTCTCACATCCAGGTGAAGGGGACCTGAGAAGTACCCCCTTCACCTGTTCATCGTTGTATTCCCCACTGTCTCTCCCCCCTTCCTCCCCTCCCCCACCCCCCACGATCAGATCCCTTCTGGGCCTACTCGGCCCAGAAACCCTCCACATGATAGTGGACCCGAAGTCCACGGCGCAGCATCTCCGAGTACAGAGCTCGGAGCTCTGCATGGTCGAACCCCCGAGGGTCGACCTCCCCCTTCCGGTTGAGGCGGCAGGGGGGCAGGCGGTTGGTCAAGTCCGCCCGCAGGTGCTCAAAGCCGAACATGTACAGCTCCTTAGACCAGGGGCAGGAGCGCAGGGCCCGGAAGTAGACCTCGCGGGCGCGGCCGACGTTGCGCTCCGCGTACAGCTCGTAGAGGATGTACAGTCTCCAGATGGTGAGGCTGGTCTGGGCGGAGGTCGAGCTTGCCAGGTCGAAGGGACTCTTCCGTGTTGGAGTCCGCCCCATCGGGATGATGCCATCACCGATCGCTCGCTCGAAGGCTGCCCGGATGGAATGCGGGGTCGAGCCGAGCATGAGAGGGCGACCCATCTCAGCGTAGATGCTGAAAAGGTGAGTCGTGACAGGTACACGGTAGATTGGGGCAGGCCCTTGTAGATCCTTAGCGGCCCTGGCCTTCGCCCCGATGGTGACGTCGAAGATATCGCGGGTCCGATCGCTCATATGCAGGCGAGACTCATTCCATTTGAACAGCGACAAGAACATAGTGTTGTGGGGCCACCATTCTAGGCTATCCAGGAACAGGGCACGAACTTCCGCAGGTCTGAATTGGCCACTCTGTCTCTCCACGTAGTAGTACAGGATCCGGGCTCGGGCTTGGTGCAGCAATTCTCCGCCCAACACCCTGAAATCATCGTCGGTCCTGCGCAGGACCCTAAGGGAAGTTACAGCGTCATTATAGGAATCCAGGACATCTTCAAGTTGCTCGCCCTTGAGATAGAGGAGGATGGCATAGCAGTCAGCGTAAGCTGCGTATGCTTGCATTTGCTTGGACTTCAAGGCAGTCATCTGAGCGTTAAACAAGTACTGTGAATAGTTAGTACGACGTTCATTGGGATCAACGGATGAAAACTTGCCTGCTTGACCCTGAGAAAATTAGTTTCATTAATATCAAGCTCATCAGCGGTGTTGTATGACAGCAAGTGAACTTGACGGTATGGCATAGCCTGCAAGAGGTACGATGCTCGATTCTTTTGCCCATCGTGAAGCATTTCCCAAACCCACGAGTTCCACAGGAGTGCAGAGTCAGTGAGCTCCCGAGCGTCAAAATTCTTGCTCATAGACAAAGCAGTGGACCACACATTGTGAGCAACGTCACGATCGCCAGTGCGCCAATACATGAGTGCAACGGCATTGTAAAGTCGCAGGTTCGAAGATCGCTCTTTCAAGAGTCGCTTTCCATATTTCTTGCCCAGAGTGTTATTACACGCGAAAGTTACTGCAATAGCATATTCAGCCAATTGGCTGTCTCTGAAAATGTCGACAAGGGAATGGAGAGTTGAGAGTACAAAGTCAGAATCGATGACACATGAGGAATGAGAGGTGGTTGCAGCCCACTTCGTCAGGGCGGAAAACCACATCTTTGGGTCGGCAAATAGAGTATCAGTGGTGTGAACAAAGGTGTGGTGAGGGAATGCGAAAGGCTCAATGGTTGTGGTTGCGGCATGTTTCTGGAAAGTGATCCAGTCCGCGATTGTGTTGCGAGGATCATCCATATATTCGTTTCGCAGGAAATTATCACCAGTCCACAGTCGGCTGGTGTGCATATTCGCAGGCAATGTCAAGTGGGGCAAATGGCAGAAATACAAGAAGCCATCGACTAGGGAACCAAGGCTTTCTTCCAAGTCCCAGAAATATGGCAGTATCTGCGTACAATCTTCGAGGAGAACCACTCGGAAAGCGTCTTTCTCTTTGGGATCATCAAAGGCATCTGACGGCATGCGATTTTTGAACATCCGCTCCCTTTCTGCATTTACCCATGTTGGGAACAAGTCTCGGGCATCCGCCTCAGAAGTGTAGACAGGCTCGGCGGCAGGGACACGGGAGGTTTGGCCACTGTTCCAGGGTTGCCAACCGGGCTCCCCGATCCGGATGTGTCCAGGTGCCCAGAACTTTTTGAATTCCACTAGGGCCTCTTCTTTCTTTCCCATTAGATGGGCTGGCCGGAAGCATGTAAATTCGAGTACCGCTTGCCATAAACCGACAGCTAGCTCAACGTGGCCGGATTCTCGAAGGAATAGGGTAAAACGGAGCAGCAAGTACGCTCTGATGAGAGTTTTCTGCGGTCCAAACCCGAAACGTGAATGGATCTTCAAACAGTAGCCATAAGTGGTAAAGCAGTCATTGAAGTTGAAATCCCGACTATCAGTCTGACAGTAGTCAAGATACTGAATCCATACAGTTATGAACTCGGAGTGGTAGCGGAGCATTTCGTCCCATTCCAAGGCGAGTCTTGTGTCGTCCCAGATTTTCGCACCCTCTTCCATACGGCACAGCACAATGTGATCCCGTTCGGGATTTTGTGCGTTAGCCTTGAGCGCTCTTTCATACACATACAGCTTGGCTCTTGCCACAACTTGTACATCATCAAGAGAGGAGGTTCGATCGCCAGATCGCGCGCCAGTGAGAGCGAGTTCTTGATGCTCAGCAAGACGGATCCATGACTGGATATCAGTTGGTTGCTGTGTCACTGCGCTGTTCAACTTGGCATTGAGATTCAAGATCTCAGCTTCCATAGCAATTCGAGTAGAGGCGCTCGTATCAATATGCTCAGTGGCTTGTTCTCCGGATTTGGCCGGGTCATGGATGGAACGATAAGACGGTGCTTCATCATCTAAGTCGGCAGTTGCCTCAACACCGGATTGAGACGGAACTGTTGTTGAAATGAAATTTTGTGAATGTTGGGTCTCAGCGGCAATGTTAGCCTTGAGGTCAGACCGGAGGCGAATGGGGAGATTGATGGACAAAGCAGATAGGGTTTCGGCGGAGAGCGGCTTGGTCGTAGAGCTTGAAGAGGAGCTTGAGTCGGGGCGAAGAAGTAGGAGGGCACCCTGGTCATATCGCGTTTTGTAATCAATGCGCTGACCGGGAAGCCCAAGCACAAAGCCATTGCCGTTGCGTTGGTACGTGGGGACCTCGTAACGATCCACGCCGTAACGTGTATTGTCGCGATCGCCGCGGCTGTCGACGACAAATGTTTGCCTTGCCCCATCGTTTGCAGCGTTTACATCGTCAATTCTTTCCCCACCCAGGCGCTTCTCACTTCCTCCATCTGTCTCTTTTTGACGACCACCATCTGAACGCCTTCCATGATGACGAGAGCGCGGAGACTCTTTATGGTCTGCCCGCTGACGGTGGCCCGAGCGACGACGCCGGTGACGTTCATGTTCCGAGCCGGTAGCGTCGGCCGGAGGGGAAGTAGGGGGAGGTCGGAAGCTGGAGAATTGCGGGACACCCTTTGTACCTGGTCAGTCTTTGCTTCTCATTTGCTAAGGTGTAAGTGAAATAACTAACCTGAGACCCAGGCGAGTCCATCGTGGTGACTCGATATTCCTTATCGAATATTCCTTATCGAGTCGCGCCGCGGTCTGATAACCCGGAAGAACAATCCTCCGAAGGGCGGTCGTGCTGACCGGCAAAAAAAAAAGTCAACCATTTGCTCTCGGTCAAACAAAGCTTAAGACTTACCTCAAATAATTTGAACCGCCTATCCCTGGCTCGCAAAGAAAGAAAAGACTACCGTCACAAGTCTCAGGGATATGGGTCACTGTGCAATTGTGTGAGCATCAATACAGAACAACAAGAAAAGTCCGCGGAACAGCCCGCCAAAAGAGACTTCACAATGGCTTCGTCTCTCGCCGCGCAGCTGTCGCAAATTGCGGCCAAATCGACACATGAGCTTGACCTCAAGGCGCAACGGATTTCACACTCACAGTCACTTATTTTCGACCCAAAGGTCGCCGGCACTCAGGACTTTGATGCGATCTATGATATTTGTTATGATGGGTTCCGGGAGTTATGCTCGTTGGACCCCCGGTTTGCCGAGTTTGATCGCACGATCTTCAGTGAGCAGAGCAAAGCGGAGGACCGCAGTCAGATGAACGTACTTCAGAATAAGGAGTTGGATACTGCGGTTGAAGCTTTCCTGGCTCTGGTTGGCGGAAGGCTACAGTTGAGTCCTGCAGTGAAGGCTGTGGACTGGCTTGTGAGAAGATTCAGGTGAGGAAATCCGCGAGGTGGAGCGCAGATCGTGAGATTGTGAGACGTGGTGGCTAACTTGTATGGCAGGATCCACGAGTTCAACACGACAGCCGTATTATTGACGTTCTTACCGTATCACACGACACCACTCTTTCTGAACCTTCTATCCATTCTCCCGGCAACTCTTACGCCGACATTCAAAGTTCTCGCTCCATACAAGAACGGTCTCATTAATCCGCCAAGACACCCGCTTGTTCACAGCGCAGCGACGAACAAGGCTTTCTTTTCCGAATTAAACGAATATGTCCTTAAAGTCTGTAGGCAACAAGCCCAAAGCCATGCACTACTTGCATTTTGGGCCGGAATTGTTACAGAGGCAGTCGCAACAATGTTGGATGGTGCTCGCTCAGGAAGAAGAGAGGCCGAGAAGCAAAAGCATGAAGATATCCTTTTGCGGATTTTGCCGGTACTCAGTAACGCTTTCACAATGAAAAAGGTGTCCGAATTGATCGTTGGCTGCTATATGATCTGTGTTGTCCTGGCACAGAAGGCCTTCCTATCGAACGAAGTTATCGATGGTCTAATGGAGAGTGTTGTGGGTTCTTGGACAGAAGATACAAAGATATCTGGTCTGATTTGTCTTTCGGTCCTTGCACAGCAGAAGCCTGCTGTTACGGTCCCGAAAAAGGTCTTCAAGGGTATCGTGCGCCTCGAAAATCCTATCGCCCAGCTTTCTGAAATCGCACCGCAATATCACACATCTAATCTGCTACTTGGGATCATTGCCGGCTGCTTGACTGATCTTGACAAGCAAGACAATGCCCGCCTTGCAATTCTGGCCTCCATCTTTGAGCGCAAGATGCTTGGCGAGAACGAGATTGCCAAGGCTATGAGCCTGGTACTCGAAGCAGCTTCTAATGCAGATGAGACCCGAGGAATGTCCTTGGATGCCCAGACCCAGCTCGCTGAATTGGTCCAAGGATTCAACCGGTCGGAAACCCTCCAACCCATTTTCCAGCAGACTTTGACTGGATCCTCGTTCAACATCTCGGCGCTGGAACACAACCTTCAAACCGTTGTCGAGGCCCCCGTAGTGGCACAGGCCATCGAAGATGTGGATATGATAGATGCGGACGATCAGCCCCAGGTGGACGCCTTTACTCCAGCTCTGGAGACTTTGGTCAAAGAGCCCTTGTTCCCACACTCGTTCCTCTCCAGACAGTCTATCATCGAATTTGATAACCTTGTACGCGTTTTCGCCTTGGCGGTGGACTCCGAGGACAATCTGGAGCGTTTCACTACTTTGCCAATCTTAGGCAAGTCCCAGGCGACCAAGGCCCCTCAATATTTGTCATTCTTTATCAGAGTCCTTGTTGGCCACTACCCCATCGGAACGAAGATTGCGGCTTTGAACGTCGTGTCATCTGTTCTTTCATCGGCACCTGCAGACTTTGATCCTCAGGCACTCCTGCCGTTCCTGTTTGTGGCCCTCTCTGATCCTTCCCGAACGGATTCGCCGTGAGACCGCTGGCGTCTTGGCTATTATCGGATCTTTGTACAAAAGGAACAACGGCGGTGACAGCTCGAAGCCATGGGCTCACGACACGATCTACGGCAAGGGCAAGCAATCCACTGGTGTTGCATGGCTCACCACTAAGGATGCGCAAAAGGTCCTGGAGCGGGCATTGCTTCCAGGGCTGGAGGAGACTATCCTTGACTCTAACCATGTTCGCAGAACAGTGGAAGCTACGCTACGGGGCAACGTCCTGTCCGAAACTTCGGGTGCCACCGAACTCAAGAAGTCTCTCCGTCTTAGCCTGTTCGCTTTCATCTGCTCCCATGTTGTCAATATGCCAGTTTTCGCACCGAAGACTAGCTTGCTGAGATTGATCAACAGCGTGGAGAAGGTCTCTACGGCAACCCTGACGAGTGAGCTTCTCCAGGTACTAGAGGATTGGCGTCGCTTGAACGAGAAGGAAGTCGAGGAAATTTGTGGCAAAGAGCGCATTGTGGCATCTGAGACGGAGAATTTGATCGCTGCTATTGTCACACCCAAAGACAAGGACGCCGTTGATGTCCTCCTCTCCAATGCCAGCTCTGGTGACAACTTGCGCCCATCCTTTGTTGCGGCTTGCTTTGGCCAGATCAAACACATCTGGGCTAAGATCCCCGAAGACCGCAAGTTGGCCGCATCCGAGAAGTTGCTCGATATCTCTCTTTCGGGTTCGGCCAATACTGCTTCTCTCGCAAACAACTGCCGGGACGTTCTTCGCACTGTCGAGCTCCCCGGTGTTGCCCTTCAGCAATTTGTCCAAAAGATCCCCGTCTCCATCACCGATGTTGAGTCTGTTGGCCCTGCTCCGAAGCGCAGACGTACTAGCCAGAACAACATGGTTGCGATGACCGTCAAGGACGAGGCAGAGCTTAGCAAGTTGATGGACAAGATGACTTTCATCTTGGAGATTGTGGATAGCTCTTCCCCAGAAACACACCCCGAGCTTGTAGATGGATTGTTCCAGACTCTCGCTGCTCTTCATCACTTCAAGTCTCAGATCCAGTCTGGCATGAGTTATCTCCTCAGCTTGACTTTGGGAAGTCTCTTGGCTATCGTCAACACATCCAAAGGATCTGCTAAGCCGAAGTTCGATACATCCGTCATCAGGGCCGACCTGGTGGTGGACTGCGTGCGAACGACTGACAGCCCGCAGGTTCAGAACGGGGCTCTTCTTCTCGTCGGAAGTTTGTCCGTCATCGCGCCGGAATTGGTTCTCCACAGCGTTATGCCGATCTTCACGTTCATGGGCACCAGCGTTCTGCGCAAGGATGATGACTACTCCGTTTCGGTCATTGACCAAACTATCGACCAGGTTGTCCCTGCCCTCATCCAATCCCTGCGTAACCAGAAGAGGGATGTTGTCTCTGGAACGTCCGAGTTGTTGCTCAGTTTCACCGCAGCCTTCGAGCACATCCCCTCGCATCGCCGTCTGAGGCTCTTCCATGCCTTGATCAGCAAGCTTGGAACGCAAGAGTTCTTGTTTGCTGTCCTGGCAATGCTCGCTAACCGATACTCCACCGACAAGGATGTCCTCACTCTGATGACTGGTTTGGTTTCGGATACTACACCAGTCGTGGAGCTTACCACCTACAGCAAGTACTTGAACTTGGTCAGCGATTCTCTCAAGCCCAAGCCAGGTATCTCGCAGGTCCTTCTTGGAATTGGTAGCGACGATGGACGCGACGCCCAGAGCATCTGCGTCGACCTCCTGCGTGATCTTGCTCACTTGTTCAAGCACTCTTCTCTCAAGTCTAAGCTTGAGACAGCCTTCGAGTCGGACGACCAGGTTGCTGACCAGTCCCGCGCTTGCTTCTCCCGAGTCCTAACGCAGGTTCTGAGCATCGGCGAGGCTGTGCAGAGTATGAAGCCCGTTAATCAGGCTTGTGGTGAAGTCCTCGGCTCTCTGTTCAGCACCCTGTCTCTGGTTGACTTCCTCGATACCATTGAGGTTCTTCTCCAGGGTCCTAATGACGAACTCCGACGCAAGGTACTTCGTTTGCTCGAAACCCGCCTCCGCCAGAACCCCGAGCGCGACAACCTGTCGCAGATCCGTGTTCTCGACTTCCTGCCCACCCTGGTCGGCATTGTCGAGTCGTCCCCGGACATTTTGCTCAAGCATGCTGCTGTTTCGTGCATTGACCGCATCACCGACAAGTACGGCCGTAAGGACCCGTCCAAGGTCATTGCTGCGGCCAGAGTGGTTGCCAGTGAATCTTGCCTCGGCCAATCGGATGACCGCATCCGTTACATGGGTGTCCTGTGCTTGGCCTCTATGGCCGAGGTGCTGGGTCAAGCCATGATTCCTGCCCTTCCGGACACACTCAAGCGTTCATTGGAACTGCTCGAGTTGAGTCTGGTTTCAGGCGAGGAGAACTCGCGACTCCACGACGCCGTGTTCACCCTCTTCTCTGCCCTCTTCGTTCACCTGCCATTCATGATCTCAGCTGGCCATCTGGACAAGATGCTGCTCCTGTCCTTCAAGTCCGCTAACGCGGACATCGAGGAGAGCAGTGATGAAAGCCGCCAGGAGTGCCTGCGGTTGATGGCCCGCAAGGTGGATGTGGGCGCAACTCTCGGCGCCGTTGATCGCAACTGGCAACACGCCGTCCAGGCTGGTCCAATTGCTGTGAATGAAATCTTGGAAGTTGTCACAATCGCTGTTGACAAGCACCCCAAGTCGACTATTGCTAAGAACATTGGTGTGCTTACGAAGATTCTCTTCAAGGCGTTCGATCTGCGCCGTGAACAGATTGCTCTTGGCGACAAGGCTATCTTCGAATCGACTGCTATTGACGAGGCTGAAGTGGCGCTTAACGACGTTACGATCAAGATGATCTACAAGCTGAACGACAGCACGTTCCGGCCCATATTCCTTAAGTTCGTTGAGTGGGCCACTACTGGCTCCTCCAAGGATGAACAGGCTCGGGTTTCACGCCTCACGACTTTCTACAAGTTCCTCGAAGTCTTCTTTGGTACTCTCCAGGTATGTTTCCTCACAATTATTTTTACATTGATCTTCATCACTAATACTTCCTCAGTCAATTGTCACCGGGTACTCCAGCTATGTGTTGGAGAACGTTGTCAGTGTCCTGAACACGTCGAGTCCCTCCAAGGCCCAGAAGTCCCTGTGGTTGGCTGCCCTTCGTATGCTCCGCAAGTCCTTCGAGCATGACCAGGATGGTACGTTTCCTCTCTATGCCCACATAGCTGATTACAGCCACTAACGTCTACTGCAGAATTCTGGCAGAGTCCCTCCCACCTCGCCAGCATTTCCGGTCCCCTGATCGCCCAACTGGGCCATGCAACCAGCACGACCACCTCGAACATGGTCATTGCCGACGTCGTGCCCACGATCACGGAACTGGCCATCGCCGCCGACTCTACCGATAACCACAAGGAGCTGAACTCCGCCCTGATGAAATACCTCCGCCCCTCCTCTGCGCCGAATGCCCGGTCCGCTGGTGGCGACAGCCCCCACACCCGTCTCGCAGCGCTCAAGACCGAACAGGCTCTTACGGAGCAGCTTGGTGAGGAGTGGCTGGCACTTCTACCGGAGATGCTGCCTTACATCAGTGAGCTCATGGAAGATGAAGATGAGAGTGTTGAGAGAGAAGTCCGCAAATGGGTTAAGCAGATTGAGAAGGTGCTTGGTGAGCGTCTCGATGATATGTTGACTTAGAGCTTTGGTTTATGATTGTGTACAAAATTTGCATTTTCTTGGCGTCCATAGAACAGGTCCTGTGCAGGCCTTACAGGTAGTCTACGGATAGTCTGTCTAAAAATTGATTGTTCTAATTATTTGTTGAATGTCATTGCATTTCAAAATTCTACAATTGATGCAAGTGTAGCATTCAGTTATCCGGAATGACGGCCTCTGCAGCATCCACACCAGCATTCCACCTGTACTTGGAGGCAGGGTGGTCTGCACGTGGTCCGGACTGGCCGGGCTGTGTATATAAGTTCTCACGGTAGGTTCCCTTGGGCACAGCATAGTCATCCCAGAACAGGCCTCGCTTGCGGAGCTCGGGAATAAGGAGATCAATGATATCCTTGAAAGAGCCCGGCTTGATTGCGTATGCCTGCGAATAATGTTATCAAACGGCTCCAGATACAGTTGCATATGTCAGGAAATACAACTTACCAGGTTAAACCCATCCACGTCGGCTTCTTGTACCCATCGCTCCATGTTATCGGCAACCTGAGCAGCTGTACCGACAGGAGTGGCACCCAGCCCTCCGACGGTGATGTGTTGACCGACAGTGGCCTTTGTCCATTTAGCCACTTCGGGGGTTGCCTTTGACCAGCCCTCGACAGCAGAACTATACAGAAATGCGAGTCAGTCATGCTCAGAAAAAAAGAAGGGAAGCATTGTCACATACCGAATAGCATTACTCTCAACATGTCGCAGTTCCTCATCATCTCCATACTTATCCAAATCAATACCCGTCCACCCACCAAACAGCGCAAGCGCTCCATCAATGGACCCCAGACTGCGGAAATACTTGAACTTCTCGACAGCCTCTTCCTCAGTCTTGCCGAGAATAGGGCAAAGAAGTGCGAGGAACTTAATACTCTGCGGATCACGCCCGTACTCGCTCTGCGCAAGCTCCCGAATCTCCTTCACGTTCTTCGCTACCACGGCCGGGCTGTGACCCGCCACGAAGATAGCCTCCGCATGTTGCGCGGCGAAGGTTTTGCCTGCTTTTGAGGTGCCCGCTTGGAGGATGACCGGTGTGCGCTGTGGGCTGGGTTGGCAGAGATGAGGCCCGGGAACGTTGAAGTATTTGCCGACGTGGTTGATTTGTCGCACGCCTGCTGGGTCGGTGTAGATGCCGCGCTCACGGTCGAGGGTTACGGCGTCTTGGCGCCAGGAGGACTCCCACAGCTTGTAGGTTACTTTGATGTATTCTTCGGCAAGGAGGTAGCGGTCGTCGTGCTATGTTTTTGTTAGTGGGCTATAGGCATATAGGTGTGGAAGGTGAGGCTTTACATGTAGCTGCTCGGCTTGGCCCATATTGCGGGCGGCGGAATCAAGGTAGCCTGTGACGACCTGAGAATACTGTCAGTATGTATTTCTTTTCTATGATCCTCTTCTTCGAGGTGAGTGTGCTACTCACATTCCACCCCAGGCTATCAGGCGACATTAATCAGCGACTTGTTCTCCCAACCGTTACTGGATTCACATACCGTCCTTTGGTAAGATGATCGACCGTAGATAGTCGCCTCGCAAGATGATATGGCTGCTCGTAGCTTGTTGTGACCGTCACTCCAAATCCAATATTCTTCGTAGCTGCCGCCATCGCGGGGACAACTGCCAATGGCTCGTTCACTGGCCACTGAGCACCGGAGACAACTGCGGGATCGAGGTTTCTGGGTCCTTTGTAGACGTCGTATCCTCCTAGAGCGAGGTTTCTTGTCAGACTTCTTCCCTGGAATGCAACCACACTCGGTCTACTTACCGAGAACATCTGCGATAAAAATGCCATGGAACTTGGCCGACTCGAGTAATTGTGCCAGCTCGACCCAGTGGTCGACATCATTGAATCGATGCGACTCATCTTCGGGGTGGCGCCATAGTCCTGGCGATTGATGGCCGCTGCCTGTAATGATTGTTAGAGATTGGGGGTTTCAGATGTTAAATGGCCTTCCACGTACACATTTCCACAAAGGCATTGAGGATGAGCGACTTGCGAGGCTTAGTCGCATCTGATGCTTGAGTTGTAGACATTTTAGGATTGCAAGCTCGAAGTAATGAAACAATACTATCCTTCCCCAGAAACGAGGGGCCGTATTTCTTTATATCCAATTATCCAAATTATCCAAATTATCCAAATTATCCAAATCCAAAAACAGAACCCCGCGTGCGTCACTCTGCACTTGGTTGGTATAGCATCACAGTGGGCCGCGATGGCGTGCCGAATATCGCGAATGGCCATTTTAATTCGCCAAAAAGCAATTATACTCGGCATGCAGACTAATTCCTGGTATATCTTGCTCTCGCCCGAGAGATATAATAATACATTGATATACAATCTTGGTGAAGTGATGTGATTACGCGGAGGCTCCCCCCGTTCCTCCGGACCATATTCTTACGAATTCGCATTCTCGCTATTGGGCATTGGGAGAAGACGAAAGTTTGTGATTTACTCAATTTTAAGGAATTAGATCACTTGGATTGTCAATATTTACTTTGTTTAGATTCTGCGATGGTTGAACTTGAATATCTTCGCTCCCCTCCGACTATAAATATACCTACACAAGAGGACAGGTCCATTCCAATCTATGCTCTCATTTAACTAATAATTAAAAATAGCCCATGCTTGCGATGTAGGAAGTATTATCCCGGCCAGTATATCTTCAACCTAAACAATCCTTCGGCCGCGCCAATCTCGTGAAAAAGCACCTCATCGCAAGCACAAATCAAGTAATTGTGGACCGCTATATCAATTTATTCCACAGACATGTGCCTTGGATCTCATCCCTGTCCAGGGACTTGGTACGTTAATTAGTCAAATGAAACATCATTTAAGCATACATAGTCCCCGTTCCATGTACTCGGTATCACTGCTGGGGCTATTATACTTCTCTCTTTGTTCCGTACATACTCAACCCTACGCCCTATTGATAGGTTGAAATAGCACATTTCTTCTCCATTACTCTCTTTTGATTAAGCTCTTAGACTTACACAATGTCGAGCTTACATGCCCGCGATGGCATTTCGACTGTCCAGCCACCTCTATCACAGGCGGTTGGCTATGTTGTCGTTGTTGTTATCGGTGTGATTATTGCTCTGGGTGGGTACTTGGTACTTCAGTATATTCTTTAAATATTCTAATCAACACCGAACAGTGATGATGCTTATCACGAAAGTCTTGAAGAAAACCACTGGGGAGGACAACGAAAAGACTGAAATGTATTCAAATATTTCTACAAATATTCCTCCAATACTAATCCGAAAAACAGGTTCATGACAGCAAATCGAACTGTTCGCACAGGCCTGACTGCTTCAGCTGTTATATCGGTCAGTTCCTCTCACTCAACCGCTTGATACCTGGTAAACTGATAAATAACTCTTTCAGTCTTGGCTTTGGTCAACCGCTTTGCTCGGCTCATCTTTTGTCGGCTACGACTATGGTGTAGCCGGTCCATTCTGGTTTGCAGCTGGCTGTAGTCCGATGATTGTGTTCTTTGCGCTTTTGGGAATATCCTGCAAGCGAAAGATCCCGGAAGCGCATACGTCGCTGGAGGTTGTTCGGATTCGATATGGTAAGTTCTCTTTCGTCTCTGGTCTGGTCATTTTCTGATTCCATTTCGTGGTATAGGACATGTGGCACACATTGTGTTCATGATACTCTGTCTGGTGAACAATATCTTCGCCTGCGCCAATATGCTTCTCGGTGCCGCTGCAGTAATCACTGCTGTGTAAGGTTCTCTCAGTCTTTAGGGATTCTCTAGCTAACGAACTCAGCACTGGGATGCATATTATTGCTGCAACATTCCTGTTGCCGGTCGGAGTGACGCTCTACACATTTGTTGGTGGCATCAAAGCAACGTAAGTATTCTTCCTTCAACCTCCAAGTCCAAACAGCTAACTGTGCTATGCAGATTCCTCACCGATTATTTTCACACCGCTATAATTATGATCATTGCATGCTATTTCTCCGTCAAAGCTTTCTCAACTGACCAGATTGGCTCCGTGGGTGAACTGTTTGAGCTCGTTCAAGCAGCGGCGCAAAGACACCCGGTCTCTGGTAATCAAGATGGGACATATTTGACAATGACATCGAAGAGTGTGAGATTAAAAGAAATGTACCGGTTCTACTGGCCTATCCAACTAACAATATTCCAGGCAATTCTTTTCGGAATCCTTCACACTCTTGGAAACTTCGGTTTGGTTATTGTAAGCAGAACACCATATATCCCACCACTATCCCATTCTAACCCCCTATAGATGGACACAAGCTACTTTATAAAAGCCTTCTCGGCCTCCCCAGCAGCAGTAGTACCTGGCTATACAATCGGAGGCATCGCCTACTTCTCCATCCCATGGGGCCTGGGAACCGTAATGAGCTCCGTTGCCCTAGGACTTGAGAACACTCCAACCTTCCCCACATTCCCAAGGGTAAGCACTGTACTTCACCAAATCCCACAAATGCCACTAACACATCAAATCAGAGAATGACAACTACAGAAGTCAGCAATGGTCTCGTCCTCCCCTACGCGGCAATCACTATCGCCGGTAAAGGGGGCGCAGCAGCAGTCCTACTAATAACCTTCATGGCGTGTACATCGACTCTCTCCGCGCAGGTCATCGCCGTCAGCTCGATCCTCAGTTTCGATGTATACCGCGAGTACTTCAAGAAGAAAGCCACAGACCGCGATCTCATCCGCGCGAGCCACTTCGGTGTGATTTTCTTCGCTGTTTTCTCTGCTGCCTTTAGTACCATGCTGCATTACGTGGGTATCAATCTAGGCTGGACTCTGTATATGCTTGGTACGTCTTCTTCAACTTACTTTCTATCTCGAACTAACAATCCTCTTCTCCGTAGGCGTGGTCACATGCCCCGGGATCTTCCCAATGATCTTTACAATCCTCTGGCGTCGCCAAAGTAAAGCTGCCGCAATCCTCTCTCCGGTCCTTGGTCTTGCTACAGGTATGGCTGTATGGCTCGGGACTGCATCGCATTTCGGTGGTGAAGTTTCCGTAGCGTCGACGGGTGAAGTCCTCCCTTGTGTATACGGGACAGTCGCTTCTTGTCTGTCACCCATTGTGTACTCGGTTTTGATAACGCTTGTCCGGCCGCAGAATTATGACTGGGATGACTTCAAGAAGGTCAAGCTGTCGCTTGAGAAATTGGATAGTGATTTGACGACTGCGTATCATCACCAGGCTTCTTCGCGTGGAGATGATGGTAGTGTTGAGGACGGAGGCAGGGGCGCCGGGGATCAGAAAGAGCTGAAACGGTGGGGTCGCATCGCGACTTTTTGGGCTGTGGCGACCTTCTTGGGTCATTGGGTTATCTGGCCGTTGCCTATGTATGGATCTGGTTATATCTTTGGGAAGAAGGTATGTGTTAGCACTTGGGCTTGGAACTTTCGGTGTTCTTGGTTGACTGACTGCCCTTTTAGTTCTATATTGCCTGGGTCGTTGTCGCTATCATCTGGCTCTGGCTCAGTATGCTGGTTGCCATCTTCTATCCGATCTTCGATGGTGGTCTTGCGCAGATTCGCGATGTTTATCGGGGGCTGAGAGGTCATAAGATTGTCGAGGGTACTCGAAGCAATGATGGCAAAGGAGAAAGTAGCTCGCCATCTGTTGGGTCTATCAGCGATGTTACTCACGCAGGAGAGCCTCAAGAGAACAAGTCTTGAATAATTTTGCGGACCTGGATCAATCTTGGGATGATTGGTTTCTACGCCACGATATTTGTGGATTTTGGTCTTCCGTATATGATTTTACTATTCTACGTTCCTAATTGCGACTTTCTATGGACTATATCTGGGCTATACATGCAATTCAACCGACGTTCGATCTTAATCGTATTTTTTGATTTTTCCAGTGTACATAGATGCAAAAGCAAGCGGCGCACATCCCATCACCCATCAAGGCTGATCGGGATATGCCCGCATCACATAACAGCCATAAATGTTCGAATCCATATGTCAGCGAGATATTTCCAATTTTGCAATATTGACAGCCAAATAAAGGACAATCTAAGGGAAGCCGTTCTTCAAGTTAATGTACTTGGAGTCAGGGTACTGCAGCTGGTTGCTGCTCTGCTCCAAAGCGCCGACACCTCCAAGGGTATCAACAACCTGTGTGTGTGTCAGTAAAGTATAACCCATATATTAAAGCCTGAACATAACATACAGTTGTAATCAGACTGTCCCCGCCAGTCTTGTCAGAGCTGCTCTCCCACCACATTCCACCGCCCAGGCCGCGGGACTGGATGTACTGCGCCTTCATGTGTGCAATATCGGGTGTGTCGTAGCTGATAAACAGTCGGCTTCCTTGGTTGTAGCAGTAGCTTGCACCTACTTGATCCAAGACTGTCACCGTGCAATCGGTCAGTGGAAGGCCCTTGTAGTCCCACACGCCGTTCTCCCATGTGCCTTCTCCAACACCATTGTAGGGCTTTCCGGGGCCGTCAGTGCTGGTAAAGGCTCGGCCGTACAGTGGCATGCCCAGCACGATCTTGTTGGCGGCTACACCTTCCGAGGTGTAGTAGTCGACTGCTTGGTCCGTGTTAAATGGGGTGCTGGATGGGCTGTCGGTGGACGCGTGGAGGTTGGCATTGTGGCCGGCAACTGTGTCCCAGCTACCGCAGTAGTCGTAAGCCATGAGGTTCCAGAAATCGAGATACTGGTCCATCTCCTTCAGACGTTCCTGGCGGTATTTGGCTGGGCCTGGGACTTTGTCAGCGGACGAATATTCCAACAATGAATACAAGCCTTACCAGCGGGGGATGCGGCAGTAAGCAGGAAATGATAGCCTCCGGCGTTGGCCGAGCTGTAGGAATCCAAAGCCTGGATTTAATTAGCCAGACCTCATGGATATTCATAGACGACCACGTACCTCACGAAGTCGTCGGAGTGCATCGACAAACTTGTCCGCCTGGTCGTCAGTAGCAGGGTACTATAGTATTCGTAAGAATCAGCAACTAGCAGATCGCAATCTTGAAACTGTTGAAGACTTACCTCATAGTCAACATCAATACCGTCGAAGCCAAGGTTCTTCAGCAGGTCAACGGCAGAATCAGCGAACTTCTGCCGTCCACCCTCAGTGTCAAAAGCAGAGACAAAGCTGGGGGAATAGGTCCAGCCTCCAATCGACAGAAGCACCTTGAGGTTCTTGTTGTTCTTCTTGAGTAGGAATAGCTGCTTGACACAGCCATAGACATTGTTTCCAGAATCATTCCAGGAATCAGTGGGGTAATGCTTGTCAGTGTCAGCCCAGGTGTCCGACAGGTAAACCTCGCCTGTGCCGGCGCGGATGTTGGCAAATGCGTAGAGCACATGGGTCAGTCGCTCGACGGGAAGGTCCTGGGGTTGGAAGTTACGACCGTAGATGGCCTGATAGTCTGATTAGCGTGACTTCCTTGGATGTCTGGATGACGTTTTATATGCCCGCCTACCTAAGTAGGTAGGCCCATTCGTGGTATATAAGTATTATCCATGGGTATGGTCTGAACTTACCCAGTTCACATAGTATGCCACCGAGCGGTACCCGCCAACATCACGAGATGCAATCTCAGTGCTGTTGGTGCTCAGGCAGGAATGTAGGCAGCGTTGGCGAGCCAGCTCAGGCCTAGAAGAAAAGGAATAAAAAGCTGCATGATGAAGGAGTGTGTCAAGATGATTTCTTGGTGTCTCGGGCCTGCGAGGTTGAAGGTTGAAGGTTGTTGAGTTCGAGGATGAGGGGAATGATCTCAGTATTTGTAGTCGACGTTGGCAAACAAATGATTCCCTCTGCGGAGTATTGAGATTGTCGGAGAATAGTAATTGTCCATTCAGTCCGTTTGCCTACAACATAGATAGGCAACAGGTACCCTGTTACCTAGAGGGTGACTTGACTGATACCACGTCCCTTCAGCATTGATGTCGGAGGAATCAATGCAATTCTACGAATTGTCACATTCAGCAAGTTAAAAATCGGCGATTTCACATGGCGAATATGAGGATTATGTGTTTCCTATAGAGAATGGCGGCGGGTTAAGCAGCGCCACAGTCATCCTCTCCACACTGTGAAGATCCTAATATGATATCTACTATGTACTAAGAGTGTCTTTGGTAGTATGTGCCAACTGCATGCCATACCACCCAAGTGTAACATTCTGAAATTGCGGGTTGATCCTTTTGTGACAATGCGACTATCTGTCCTCGTGGGGGCTAAAGATTCCCCGGGTAATCAGCCAGGAAGACTCGTGCGGATGGGTGACATTGTCATATGAAATCCATTACTCATGCACAGTCAGTATGGAGGAATTTGCCCGGGACATTTTGAATAGTTCGCAATAAGGAGCTCCATCTTTGGGCGTTGCAGCATCCTCCCCTCGTCCTGGATACGAGTCCTACAGTAAAACCCATATTAATGAATGTAACTAAGGGATGGTATCAAGCAAATAAACCGGTTTATAGCGTTTAAGGTTATGATTTAGGGTCGAAGGATATGCAGTCTGACATATATTAATTAATGTGCCGGGTCGACCGGGCTGCAGGAACGGTCCCTGACGCCAATGTAACACTTAGGCCATGCGACTGCCCAGGTGGAGCATGTGCCTTACTGGAATATACCGAGGATAAGTTCAAGAGTTAAGCCACTGAGCATACGATCTCATGATCGGACCAAGATCAGACGAAGAGGAAGTTCCTCACGTAGCTTGGTTTTACATCTGGTCCTTTTGCCATTTTGGGATTGTTCATATGTGACCGAGTATAGATCATCGATTACTAGTGGTATTAAGCATTGAACCAGACTTGAATACCAGAGTATCATTGAGCATGTGCTAGATTCTTGGGAGAATATCCCCCAAATCAAAAGATACTACATCCAAATGTATGCCTCACGATCACACCGGATTCCCAACATGCATCGCAACAAGTCCGATGAGGCTCCAACAGCTCCGACGAGCTCCAGTCAAAGTACCTCATCTCACAGTAACTCTCACCTCCCCAACCAAGACAACTCCTTGCTTCAACCGATCGAGAAATTTATCCTCGTCAGCAGTTATCTGGGCGGCGGCATCCGGGGCATATATCTTGGCTGCGAATGCCTGGTAGGCAGCCTGATCCGCGAAAGTAAGTTCGGCGTAGGCGTCAAAGTCGAAGTCTGGCTGTCGCCCGCGCAGTATAGTGGCCGGGGTGAAGGCGTTGCGTGCGGTGGAGTCATCCGGGGGGGATTTCAGCGGTAGTGCGGGCGATATAGTTCCGATGATGAGAAAGAGGGAAATCCCCGCCAGCTAGCTTCTTGACAAGTTTGACGTGTGCCTCGTAGTACTTCTTGAATTCTTCCGGTGATAGGCGAGGGTTGCGGTAAAGAAAGACTAACATCTTGACAGGCATCTTGAAATCGCAGACGGTAGTAGGTAAACTTAATTGAGAGTCTGGTTTGAATATGCCGGGTTATTTTGAATGTTAAAGATTGAAGATTCAAATATACTAGAATGAACCGGTTATCTCTCGGGGGGTTTTACTTCGGTCCTTACTTTGTACCTTAGAAGCAGTGCAACGTGGAATATGCGGGAGAATATGGCGTAGTATTTTCTAAAATCCACTGACTTGTGTAATACGGTATTCCTCCTCGGTTCTATTTCCATTTTCGATAATTGGTCAAGTGTTCCGGATCATATGGCACTCAGGTTACCCTCCATTCAAAGCAAGGACCTGCTTAGCAATTAAAACGAGACTTGGGCCTAAACCATAGCATCCGGGGAATTGAGAACAAAGAATTGCGCTCTGCTGGCTCAATAGACGTCCCTTCTGCTTGTCGAGGTAGCTGAAAGCTGTCCTCAAATAGTTCATTTATGCTTTGAAGCTGGGATTCAAACACCTCTGTGATGTTAAAGCTAAGACCTCTTCCTGTTTTACTCTCAAAATCATGCTCTTGGAATTGGTGGAGGTCCCGGACTTGAGAGGATTCATTGTTGTCAAGGACAATGAGTTAACATACAAAGGGGATTATTAGCAATCCCGTATACAAGAATCAAGACTAGGTCTATCAACCGTGTATGTGTGAAACAAATGAATTAAAGCAAGAGAAAAGGACGAATCTAAGATGCGTATAATCGACATAAGAAAAATGGGGTTTATGTGAACAGTCGGGTATATTCGAAACAAAAATGCAAACAAAGTCATAACCATATAACGCTGTGCAAAAGGACTTTTTCATGGCCAACAGAATTAGGGGTATTGGTTGGCGATTAACAAATGAGAGAATCATCCACATCTCGTATAACTCAACGGCTGGCTCTAACGGCGCTCAACCTTTCCGAGTACTCAGGCGGGGCAAGGCCCACATCAACCACATCACTACGAGTGTGGGTAGAAAAGTCGGTGGGAGAAGTCACATTGCGTGGGTGGAAGAACTCCTCCAACTCTTGCTGTGTGACAGTGACGCCGAGTGTGGTTTTTATGGGTTCCGCACACTTTGCTTGGCTCGTGAACTGGACTGGGAGACGGAGGAGATTGTCGGTGTCATGAGGTTGGCTGCCGGGGTGTGGTATGTCAAGCAGAGATCTAGGGCATACACGCGAGACATCAAGCAGGAATGGAAAGTCGGGACGAAGGCTTTCGACTTGGGCAACGTGACTGGGACGACGACTGATGCGGTGTAGTAGGTGTCTCCGGAGAATGCGGAGGATGGCCCAGTTGATGAACCGGATGATGATGATGATGAGTCGGTGGAGTCGCGGCGCATCGAGTCGGCGGCTGACGATTGCTTGGTCCACTGGGCCGATGCGACACACATGGTCATTAGAGGTACGTTTTCTGTGTAGAGGCCGCATCCAATATGGGCAAAGGGCATGCCTGTCGTGGAAGGGAAGTCCTCCCATGGGGCCGCACTGAAGAATGTGTTGGCGCGCAGTTTGCTGGTCATTGTTCCAAGTGGGGGGAGGCTGCTCGTCGCCGACTGGATCAAATCGCAGGTTCACTGTAGCCACAGTGCTCACAGTATCAGTTGGCTCGCCGGCCGGAGGAAGTAATTGAATGGGTTTGGGCTGGGATGATGAAGCAACGATCCGTCCTAATTTGCCTCGTAGAGTTCCGCGCTTAACACTCTTCTCTTTGCGCGTGCAGAGAGATGGGCTCCCGGAAATTTCAACAGGGGGTTCTTCTTCGACAGTTGGGATAATCCGGACTTTCTTAGCAATAGCGGCGATAGCCACGACTCCATGGCCGGTGAGTTGTTTCTGAAGAACAGATGCTCGAACCGTGTAGGCAATCTGGGACATGCTAGGTGCCATGTCATCTAGTAATGTCTTGCCATTGCTGGCAAGGATGGGATCACCCAATGTTGGCGGAAGCATAGTGTGGGATCGTTGAATGTGAGCATTCTTCTTGGCGTGGGTGCAGACCTGGGGTAGTAGGCAGTCCGGGACGACGAATGTGAAGGGGTATTCATATGATCGGCCACTCTCTAGCACTCGAGGGGTCGGATATTCCATCTCGTCAATAGGCTGGCGCAGCTTGAGGAACATTTGTTGTGATCCTGTACGGCCGGGGCATGATGCCCGTTCTACAGTAGTTCGAGATACACCTTTTTTAAGAAATTAGCATTGTCTATAGGCCGACTTTGAATGGGAAATACCTTCAAAAGCAATCTCAATTTCATCAAATCGTGTCTCATGGTCAACGGTGACAGTTATGCTGCCATCAATACTCTCTCCTGTGGTATAAGAGTTGACATGTCCTGGCGTTTGTCCTGCAAGATGTATCTCGATCTTCGGCTGTGATCGTCGGGTCCAAGCATCTAGCTTGTCTGAGCCAGAGCTGATGATTGAAGTTGCCGTCGACATTGTTCCACAGGGAAAGCAAAGACAATATAAAGGCCCGTCCTACAGAGAATCGCAGGAACAGTATGGCAGCCGACAACGAAAAATTAGGAGAAGATGGAATATCAAAAAGGAAGAAGGTAGAATAGGGACCAGATCAGATTGTTCTTAAAGGGAAAAAAAAAAAGGAAAATAGTAAACGGTGGAGCCGTTGACAACCGCAATGGAGTCACAACACCAAGTGTGGAGGAACCCTAACAAGCAATGTGAACAAGGTTTCAGATTGCCTCATCGGATATCAAGGTTCTTAGAAATCAACGAGTGACTCACAGCCTTGTCATGTAAAGGCGCATCTATATTACACTTCGACCATGATCATCATCATCCACATGTCCCTAAATCTAGACACTGAGCAACCGTATACAGTACAGTATAGGGAAAAGCCGAGCCAGAGAGTCATCGGATATGAGAGAGTGATTGGTCGGACGCGAGGATCCGTTCTGATCATGCACGCCCTTGGATTGACATTCCGCTTGGCCAAAGTGCATAAAAAACAGACCAGTTCAGTTCAAGGTCGCACATGATATTCAGTTGATGGATTCGCAAACGGCTTTAAAGGGCCTGTCTCTAGTGATGCACTTTTCTTCTTTCCCAAGTCTTCCAGTTCTTCAGACCTGCACATTCTCAAACTCAAGCAGTCAACTTCGAAAGACAAACTCCGTGGGTCAAAGGGGAGAAGTGGATCGCGCCTTACTACGACATGCACGCCCTTTGAACTCCACCCGTCCACATTCCCTCCCCAGAGAGCCCGAGCTTCTGCCGCGCTCGTAAAAGTGGCCAATCATCGTGCTGTGTCGTGGAACTCTGTTCATCACCTGGGCATGACCGACGTCGATTTCAAAGCAATATCCCGTTGACTCTCATTCTGCGTTTGTAACACTCTTTGGTCATATTTGAGGACCTTCAGGTTTTCAACATCACATGTATGGACATGGATTTTCCCGCGGAAAAGAAATGGGACCGCTAGTTTCGGCCCCAGAGATTTCCGGCCATAACCGAGAGAAATTTTGATATGCCGAGCTGTCGCCATTTACTTCTGTGCCGGAGTGTCGGAGTGTCGGAGTAAACCGAAAGAAGGAATCCTAGATGGCGCAATTCGATTTCGGTGTCCAAAGTAGAAATTGCCGTCGGCAGACCGATCGATCGTCAGGTGATCCTGGTTATAGGAAAAGTTGTGCTTTTCATCTTCCATTTGCAGCCATATATATATATATCAAATGACATGTAAAAATATCAAGTTCTCCCTTGACATGGATCAGATTATTGATCAAGGACAAACATGTAGTTGACTATTGTCACATGTTAAAAGATCCATAGGAGAATTTACGTTTCCGTATAGTCTATACTACCTAGGTAGTTATGTTGTACACCAATAAGGGAAGAACCCAAAGACATCGAAAAGAACATCGGATTCCTCTAGACATTAATGGAAATATGAACAGTCTAACAGAAATATTTGGAATAGATTTGTTTTCATTCAGTCATAGAATATCTATAAAAGATTTACAAGGTTGTCCCGACTGATAAATTACGACTGAGACCCGTGGTGCATTGCGGATCAAATCGTACTCAAAAAGCGTCGACGCGTTTTCACGCTTCTTCTTGTCTCGTACAAGCCAGCACTAAGAGTGACCGGCTGCATCCAGCTCAAGATTAGCCGAGGGGGAACGGCAGACCGAGCGAGGCAAGAGACATCATGGAAGGGTCTACGCGGCCGAAGATAGCCAGAGGAAACGGGAGGGTTATGTAGTGCTTTGTCGAGGCAATCAGCTTCGATCAAAAATTAGTCGCGGTTCAAAGCCGCACAATCGTCATCCATTAACAAAGAGGTAGGTATCTGAAGCCCGTATACAGGACAGCAAGGAACGCCAGCGGACGCCGCAACCAATCAGAAATCAATACGCCACCCTTGTTCGCATATCCTGGGAGATGTTAGTGGATTGAAAACCACACACTGGTGAACATCTGCAGACTTACCGAAATCTTGCGCTCGATCTCGCGAACGGATCGATCGAGTTCGCCCGCAATCATCAACTTCGTATCATTAGGCAGCAGGAGATACATTTCGCAAAGATCTCCATCAATGACACCCTTCACAGGGGCATAGTAACCGCGGTACATCAAATGGTCTCGTCCAGCCAGAGGGGGTTGCTGGGAAGCAAGCTGTGTCTCCAAAAGCTGGAAGAAGTCGACATCCTCACGGCTGGCAAAAGGAACAAACATTCCAATTGTGCCTTGGAAGCCAGTCCAGACCACAATGTCGCGGCCTCCAGCGACTAATTGAGTCTTGTGCAGACTAGTGGGAATATCCTGGGCGTAGAAATGAACCATCAATTCGAGGCGGTGCGGGGTCCCATGGAGATAACCCTTTTCATGGATGAGGTGCGCCCCAGATCCATCCTCGTCGGCCTGTTCAGAGACCTTACTAGGGCAACGGACCAGCCACAGGTTTCCGAACTTGTCACCACCAGCAGTCGTCTCGTAATCAACCATAGTTGTGCTCGATGTCCAACGTGCGATGGAATCATCCGCGAACGGAATCAAGACATTGTCCTGGTACTTGTAGACAACGTAGGTGACACTCTCGCGGACGTCGCTAACAATGATTCGACTACCTTGAGTCTGTAGGCCCACGATGGTCTTAGGGACCACCGGTGCTTGACATTTCCGTAATAGTTGCTTCATGCCAAGGTCGTACACACGAAGAATGGGGCCGATGCCTGCCAGGAGGCGGCCTTGGAAGCCAAGAAGAGCGAGAGGAGGCTCATCAACTTGGGTCTTGTGAATGAACTCCAACTCACGACCATCTTCCTGGAACCGATAGATATGGATGAAACCACAAGAGGACGAGGGAGGGCTGACGGTCATGTCCTTGGCGGTTCCCACAACCAAGAAAGTTTCATCATCTTGACTGGAGAAAGATACCGCGGCAAGGCTGACTGCTGCCTCATTATCCTCAAGATCAAGATTGAAGATCACGGATTTGGTGGCGATTGGGTCCACAACCTGGATACATGAGGCCCAGTGGCCAGTGGCTCGGGGATATCCAAAGTCTGCGGGGGGGGAGGTCGAGGTCTGTAGCCTCGCCATTCTGAGCTTGAGAATCGTCAATCAGTCGCTGCCGGGTGGCAGGAGATAGGACATTGTTGTCAGATTCAATGACGTAGAAGAGGGGTTGGTCGGGATGCTTCACAAAACGTCGAGGAGTGTAAGAGAGAGGGATGGACTCTTGGAGCATGTTGTTGTCCAATTTTTCAACAGTGAAGATCCTATTTTCAGTTAGTACCAGTCCAGAATGATTGGCAGTCTCAACGTGGTATAACAAGTGGTTGATCTCAGCAGGAACAATTGGAAATTTTAATAGTTTCATCCACATAAAAGTTCGGATTGGTTTTCTCATCATATGATTGGGGGGTGGTTCGAGGAAATTTGAAGATGGGATGAATCACATACCGTAGACTGCGGCCTTGAATGCCGATCATGCCCTCCACACACTGCTCACTGGAGAAATTCCATCCCCATTCTAGTCCGACGTAGTCCAGGGGTGTGAGCATGAAGCTCTTGGTTTGGACGTCAGAGTATCCCAGCCAGGGACGGGTGCTGAGCGCGAGAACAGCGGTTTGGCCCTTGACCGACACCTGGGATAGTTTCACAGGCTTGGCACCAATGAAGCGAGTTCGAGTGTCCGAAAGCTCACCAGTCACCTCGTCCAACACAGTACGGAGGTAGACACCAGAGTAAAGACCGATGTGGAGATAAAGAGTGGTGCCTCCCGAGCTCGAGTCGGCCATGGCCATAATTTGGAGGGCAGATGGTGCAGATGTCAATGCTTGAACTGATTTGTTCTCGAGAGTTGAGTCTGGATCCAAGCTGAGGATGCGGACGGTAGAGTCATCACATCCAACAGCCAGGAACGAGCTTCGCATGCGGCCCTCGGGAACCTCTCCCATGCTCAAGGAGGTGACGGTACCAGACATCTGTCGTCGCTCGTCATACTCCGCTAGTGTCCCATCTGCGTCCATTTCAAAGTAGACAATTTCACCAGAGCTGAGTGCGACTGCAACTTGACGTTCATTCGTGGCTGCTGCAACAATAGACCGATGCTGTGGAGCGGGCCATTCATTGACTCGCTGATCTGCAAGGATATGACGAATGCCACGAGGGTGAACTTGGACCAAAGAATCCTCACCAAGTTGCTGCACTGCCAGAGTTGGAGCCGAAGAAAGGAATCCTGTGTCTGAAACTTCTTCGACAATTTCGCCGATGCTCAGGACTAAAGTACCATTTGCAAAAGAGAGAATGATGTATGTGTGAAACTCATCGTCTCGCGTCAATTTGGTTGTCCATACAGCCGAAGGCACCTGTTGAAGGTCCGACTCCACGATCTCCGAGACTTCAAGCCCGTGCTTTAGAGTCCGGAATGTGCTTCGAGCCCCGGAGCCACAGATTGTGTAGATTTGAGGTGCGTCATCCTCACTCAGATTGAGGATCTTGCTGTCAATCAGAGGGCTCAAAGAGTTCATGCTTTCCATGAGGTTGACATTTTCAGCGCCTCGAGGATGGAAGTAGGTCGGCGTTAAAGGCACAGAAGGATCAGCCGAGAATGAATCGCTGGAGAAGAAGGCCTCGCTGGGATCGTCACCAAGCTTTTCGAATTGGTAGAAATTGTGATTTCCAGATTCGCTGGCAGCATAGAGGAAACCGCTCTTCAGGATCAGCAGGTTCGTTGATACAGGAATCGTATCAAAGTATTTGATCGTCAGTCGCTTCACTTCTCCGGTGGGTTTGCCCTGCTTGTCTTCGACCATTTCCAGGTTCAACTTGAACAGGTCACCATCCTCTGTTTGGAGAAGGAAGAAGAAAGCACCTCTCATTTTGTGCATGACTCCCGAGACAATCGACCGCTTGCGCTCAGGATTTTCGGTGGCCCCGCTGCGTCGCGGGATAGGCACACGGAACGCACCTTGGTTAGAGTGGCGGTAGGTAATGTTATCCTCCGCGCATACCAAGACACCACTGGGACCATCATCTCCTCCGGGTACCTGGAAGAGCATGGATGCTGTGCGGTCGACAGGGTCAGACCACTTGCGGACAACGTGGTTCAAACCGAGATCAAGCTCGTAGTACACCAAGACCTTCTCGATTTCTTCATACGCTTGACCGGTGGGATCCTGGTCAGCTTCCGAGTAGTCCACCTCGAGAGCAGCGAAAACGGGGTTGTCATAACCAACGTCCAAGCAGATCATGGCGAATACCAAGGTCTGGGGCTTGTGGGCTTCCAGTGGTGAGGAAATGGTAAGTTCTGCCTGCGAGTTGCGATTGAGAACATAGACCAGCTTGTTCTTTTCCACAGAAGCAATCAGACACGCACGCCCCTTTGGATCTACCGCGAGGTATTGACCCGGCACGACGCGGCGAACTCCAGACTTTCCAAATGTCTCCATATGGATGCGATTGAAGCGGTTCTGGGATGGAACATATTCAACGATCGTGATGCGACCCGAGTCGGAGCCGATGATGATGTAATCTATTGGAATCACTCAGCACAGTCCGTTGATAATAAAGTATTGCGAGTATCAACGTCGCTGTCCAGGGCAGGTCCGAACCCTCCTTCAAAGGGTCAGTTCGTAAGAGGACCGTGCTGCCCGGGAAGCTTGGAGAATCACTAAGTTGTACTCGTAAAGGGGCAGACGAGGGGGTGTAGAAAAAAAAAGCGACGTACCTTTACTGCTTCCAGCTACGCGGAAAGCTGCGAGGGAGCGAATGATGCCGAAAACATCCTGAGAGAAGAGTGGTGTGATCTTGCCCTGTGCCGGGTCAGGCCGATGGATGGTCAATTTCGAGCCTGACGCGGTGACAATCTGCTGGTCCCTGGTACCTGCAAATTGGCCCAAAATAGCCTGTGTGATGGCAGTTGGGGGCTGGATCGTCAGGGAGTACATAAACATGTGCGATGTGGTAGCCATGGTAGGCGACTAGGTATCGGTTTCCCGGTACCACACAGAAAAGGTAGAAGCTTTGTACATGCAATTGCAAGTCAGGGGGTATGAATATTACATCAGTCCCATCCCTGCTGGGTGGAGTTAAGAAAGAGAAACTCCTCAAGACCACTTTCCACGGATAAAGAGAGGTGTAGCCGTGTGATCAGACTCGGAGAGGTGAGGAAGAGAAAATATTCCCTTGCCGTGTGGGAGCTTCCACTAGCGCGTACGGCACGTGACTCATGTTTCGACCGCCTTCCACGCCGCGCTGGTTGATGCAAGGCAGATCGCCTCCGCATAACGGCTTCACTGACTCCCCTCTATCTCATTTCATCTCACTTTCGCGGTTTTCATCCATATCACAACAGTTCACTTGATCAGACATTTGATCCGCCCGTTAATAGTCTCAGGGAATTTACCCTTCATCATTGGTCCACTTCCCAATCATCACCCCACTTCCTCTGCAATCATCATACATCCGTTAGCCATGGCCGACGAAACGGCCACCACGGAGCAGGCGCCCATTACCTTCACTGTCAAGTCATCCACAGATGCCAAATATACCCTGACCCTTCCCCTCACCACTCTGGTATCAGATCTCAAGCAAAAGCTCTCAAGCCCCGAATATGCCGATACCCCCGCAGAACGTCAGCGATTGATCTACTCGGGTAGAGTTCTGAAGGATACAGAGACACTGGAGTCCTACAAGATTAAGGATGGCCATACTATTCATCTCGTAAAGAGTGCTGCAAGCAACCAGCAACGCCAGAACACAGCTGCTCAGCCCAGCTCAGCTGCTGCGGGAGCTGGAGCAACCCCAAGCCCGGCGGCAGCTGGTGTCCCAACCAATCTCGCGGCTGGTACTGGCAACAACCCTCTTGCTGGCTTGACCGGTGCACGATATGCTGGATTCGCCCAGCTTCCTGGTGCGGGTCTTTTCGGCCCTGATGGTGGGGTAAGTGACCTATTATGGGGGGATGGAAGTAGTTTAATAATGCCTCCAACAGATAGCTAACATTCTTTGTCCACTTAGATGGGCCCTCCGCCAGATACCGAGTCGATGCTCAACATGCTCGAAAATCCTCAATTCCAATCGAGCATCAACGAAGCCTTGCAAAACCCCGCTATGATCGACATGATGATCCAGCAGAACCCCATGCTCCGCGACATGGGACCCGGAGTCCGGCAGATGATGGAAAGCCCAGAGTTCCGCCGCATGTTGACCGATCCGAGCTCGATTCGACAGATGATGCAGATGCAACGAGCTATGGGAATGGGTGGCGGACTTGGTGGCGGCGATAATGCATTCCCCGCCCCGGGGGTGACGAACACGACCCCAGGCTCTGAGCAACAGAACGCGCAAACAAATCCATTCGGGCAGCAAAATCCACTTGGAAACGCAAACCCCTTCGGTGCCCTCTTCGGAGCTAACCCGTTCGGAGCTCCGGCCCAACCTTCTGCCACTCCGGGCGCCACTCAGCCCGGCGGTGTAGCAGGTGCAGACTCTACGGACCGATCAACGTCTGCCGAGGGCCAGACCCCTCAAGCTGCTCAGAACCCCTTCGCATCTCTCCTAAACCCGGCCATGTTCGGCAACGCTGGGCAAGCCGGCCAGGGTGGTATGAACCCGTTTAATCCTCAGCAGAATCCGTTCCTACGTGATCCGGCGCTACTTTCACAGATGATGCAGGGAATGGGTGGGCAGGGCGCAGAAGGTGGAGCCGCTGGTGCAAACCCTCTAGCCGCTCTACTTGGGGGAGGTGGTCTTGGTGGTTTCGGAGGTGGCTTCGGTGCCCCACAGCCTACAGACACCCGTCCCCCGGAGGATAGGTATGCCGATCAATTGCGGCAGTTGAACGATATGGGATTCTTTGAGTTCGAGCGGAATATTGAAGCCCTGCGTCGCGCAGGCGGCAGTGTTCAGGGAGCGGTGGAATACCTCCTCAGCCACCCATGATAATCTCTGGGCTGTTTTTCTTTTCTTTCTAGCACAGCCTTGCGATTACTCTTCTCATGTATTCAACTTCTATTGATTTTGCGAGGTGATGAAAGGCTCCCTCGGTACTTATGACTTTTCTTTCCCCTTTTAGCATGCTCATCTCCAGTGTGATCCTTAGCTAGTTTTCCGGATATCTCATCACTCCAGAGCTCATAATAGCATCGGATGATTTCTAATTGATGTTTCATTCATGCTTGAGATCCCGCGCCAATCTTTTCAAAACTTGAATCCAGCCTCAGCCGCATAGCACACAGAGTTAGTGTTATATCAAGCCAAGGAAAAGGAACATAGACGTTACATCTTGAATAAAGGCCCTTCAATCTACATATGTACACAGTAGCATCGAGATGCCTTTGTCTCTGGAGGATCGCGTACATACTTCCAAGACTGTTAAAAAATAGCATGTTTGGTCATTGTATAGCTATGTAGAAATTTGCTGCCCCACTGCAAGATCTAGAGAGGAGTTCGTCGAAACTAGTTCGAAGAGTTCTTATGTCTACGACAGATGGACCCTCCTGCGAGAGCCACCAAGACCGACGTTGACCAATGGAGGCGTTAGGTTCTCTTCTTCTAGGGAGTATATATGACTCCGAATCAAGCAAGGAAATTGTGGTGTTCCCTATCTACATTAGACACTAGAAAGGAAAGGCAAAGAAACATGTTTCTGTCAGGTGGAGGTATAAGGTCTAAAAAGCCGGGCAGTTTATTCCTCAAATCTAATCGATGAAATTGCTACGTTCATCCTTGCAAAAGCCGTATACTTGAATCGCACATAACATAAGCATTCTATCTATCCTTGTATAGTGAGATGAGAATAAACATGAGACACTCGCCTGGGACAAGACAATGAATCCAAAGGCAAAAGTTGAAACCGAAGGATGAGGCACGAGAAGGGACAAGGGACAAGGGGAAAAGAAAATCCATCTACCACACGAGGGAATAGTCATAGACAAGACCCGCAAATCACAAACCCACATCGTTCAAACCACAGCTATTCAGCTTGATGCATCATCAATCTGTCTGGCCTTTGCCTGCCCATCCGAGATCTCAGATATCAAACTCATCTCCATATCACGCGACTTGCGGAAAGACCACTTCGTCTTATTCCATAGACCATCAAAGCATATCCCCGGATGAAGTATCGTCAGAGCCAAAAGCGCGACCGCGAGCATAACTCCCTCCAGGACCATGAAGGCAACTTCATTGTTTGCCAGTGCGCTGTGGAATCCGCCCTTGAGCTCTGCGACACGGAACACAGAACGAACAAAAATGGCAAGCGTTGCTATGGCCAGACCTGGATGCATGATTAACAAGTGCTGTGATATGAAGGGAAGGGAAGTGTGAAGATGACTCACCAGCTAGAAACGCTTTCCACTTCATGCTATTGCGGAGATCAATCATACGTATCTCAGGGTTGAGTTTGTGCTGGCTCTTGCGAACTGTCCAGGCGAAATCCAGACAAAGTGCCATGAAGATAGCGAGGGAGACAACCTGGGTTGATAGACCGGCGATCATGATATTAATTCCAGCTTGACCTAGATCAGGCTGGTCCGCATCAGCGATAGAGGTAATAGCGCCTCCTGAAGCCTGGAGTAGCAGTGAAACCAGGTCACAGAGGATGAAGACAATAGTATAAGTCCGAGGACGGAGGCGCGAAATGTTCTCTCCGTAGATGACGACAATCCGTCCGAGACAGATATAGATCGAGGCACTGATGAATGCAGGGCCTATTGTGAGGCAGACCAAATATCTATTCAATGGCTGTCAGTATAGCTCTGAAGCCGGGGTCAAGACGAATTGTGGATGTATTCCACGTACTCAAGGTAAGGATCGAAGCGAAATGGATTATAATGCATCTGCAATCGTCCGGCATATCCGATTATTTCGAGTACTAGGCCACCAAATAAGCCAGCGAGGTAGCCCCAGGTCCGATATCGAATGCCCAGCACCACCTGGGCTACCAACAGGACTGCGAAAATGCCCAAGTAGAAGGCATTCCCGGCCAGTGAAGGCACGTATTCAATGTACGCTTCGCTTAGTGGACAAATGTCCAGCGTACAGTAATCGGATGGATCTGTTAAATTGCTCATGGTGAGTTCTGAAGACTCGATCTATGTGAAGTGGGAAGAAGCTTGCTAGCGCAAGCTATTTAACTATGAGTCCATATTGCATCTTCGACCCAAGCATCTCCCAAAATAGCTTTCGCTGGTCTTAGACACTCTATAGCCACAGTTTGCAGTCCATGTCCATTGCAAATATCGGTGCCTACTTCAAGCTGACGTTAGCCGCTAAGCTACCCAGGTAGATAGATATAGACGGGAGATAACACGGGTATATTCTCCGTACCATTGCTTATGCAACTAAATAGCGCTTGATTCACCGTCGAAAGCTGTGAGTGGAGGATGAAGCTAGGATGTCTTGGCAAGGGCGCTAAGATACGGACATGCACACGGACACGGACACGGGCTTTTGATTTTTAGTAGTAGAGGGACATGGACACGGACACGGACAACCGACACGGATATTGAGGCTTATACTAAGACCTCTAAGCTAAGGCCCAAGCATCTACACGTCTAAGCCCACGTTTTACCACACATCCTAGACGCTATTTTAGTCGTCAAAAGCCACAGTCATTTCAGCCCCTAAACCCTTCTGTCAACGCTGGCTTAAGGAGAAACCAAGAGGCTGTGAGTCCATCTGAAGTTTCTGTCTCGGAAATTTGTATGGAAATATGACGAGTGGTCTGGCCTGTGACATTGCTAATTGTGATGGCCACTATGATATTTTTCGTCCGGACGAGGCATAGGATTATCTGCCATAGACCAATGTAGCTACATCTGTATAAGCTTTACTATGCGGAAAGTCGTGTATCATACGTATCGTCATAGACTTCTATTCCTTATTCTGCGAATATTCAAAAACGATGAATGTGGAAACCTCCAGTCCACGTCCGCCGGCAGACTAGCCCAAATGCTGCTGGTCAAATGATGTCGTCGAATGTGCGATCCAGTCGATATACATCTCGTCAATTGCCGTGTCTGGGAAGAAGCCCGGCCAATGAATGTAGTTGTCTGGACCGTTCAATGCTGACTGCAGAGTATCAACACAATTGCCTGGGTCTCCGGCAGGTGGATCAATTCCTTCGGCAAGTGGCGCATCATGATGGGAATAATCATTATTCGGCTCCGGTATCGCTTGACTTTCGAACCACCATTGTACACGCTTCAGGCGCTTCTCATAGTGAAAGAATACATCCCTGTCCCCAGAAGCATCCATATCTGACGTGATGAGCGCCTGGATGCGAAGGATACATTGTCTCATTGTGTTAGAGATATCCAGCGCACGGCACAAATCGACCGTGTGAGGATGGACTGAAGGCTCAGATGCTGCTACCACTAGCTTGCACGCAAGCGTGACTGCAAACCCGAGTTGAACCCATCCTACATTGGGAAACTTGGCATCGCAGCCTAGGGGTAGGCACATGTAATAATGGAGTAACGTCTTGGCTGCGGTGAGTCCCATACGCAACACTTCAATCTGGAAGGACGACTCGTGGCGTAGGGCTTGTGCGCCGGGCTTGTGGTCGAAGAGTGTGATCTGGCATAGATACATCTCGACAGTATAGAACTGCATAAAGAGGATCTCTGTGTCTGAAAGTTAGTAAATGTCATTTAATAAGGGTGGTTCAGTTCACGAACGGCTTTCGGTCAGGAGAAATGGCAAGTTGGCTCGGTACAGATCAATTTCAGATTTCAACTCGCGGTAGTAATGCTCGAGTCCAAAGCTGGAGTTCTGGATTTTTGGGACATGCTGCATTGAAACCAGTGTGATTTTCTCGGAAATTTGTTGGAGCTGCACAATATGGAGGAGATATCTGTCTGACGGATACTCTGCATCTGTGGCCAATAACTTGCACATACTCTCAAAATATGGTGAGTATGGGAAGGAGCATCCCTTTTGTAGTATCTGTGAGATGCTAGAAGGCATCAGATATGTTAACCCAAGTATCCGTTGTCTGGAGATATGGAGATACTTGCGAAGATGACAGATAGGAGTATCCAATAACAGCTCTCTTTTCTTCCCGCCCCCAGGACACAGACTTTCTATCCAGTCCAGTATCGAAATTTACTCTGGTTCTCCAGAATCGATTTTCAGGGGGACGGTCGAGTTGTAGATCAGTGATGATACTGATCGCAAGATGTAGATATTGAGAGAACCGACGGGGTCTAGAGTGATACTGGCACCTATTTTCTATGTCAATCAGGATCAAGTAGAGATAGAAACCAGATCCTACCACGCCAGGTGAACCAAAAGCCCCTGGAGTATCTCGAACGAGACCGTGCCATCAAAGATCATGCAGTCACTGATCACCTTCTTTACCTGCTTCTCGAGTCTACGCTGTAGAGGCATATTGTCATGCAGAGCGGCTGTGAGAATCGTGAGAAGAAGAAACGGCTTGTCTCTTCGCAGTGTTTCGGCAGTCATCTGCGGTGAGATTATCACGAACGGGCAGTGTGGCATGAGTGTGGTTCGGAATTCATTCAGTAGCATGTTGGCGGCGTCTATAGTAAGTAGCCCCTGGTCGATGACATCTTTGGCCTGCGCAGAAGTGCTCGAAGTCACCTCGGCCGTGTCACCGTTTGTCTTACTTGTCAGTCGTTCCCAAGGTCAATGAAGCATGAGGCGAGAACCAATTCTGTACCGGAATTATCGCCCCTGATTGGGCCAGCAGCTGATCTACTTTGGATTCCAAGGCCTCGATCCTTCTTTGATGCAGTCAGTATAATCGACTGAGCTAGGATGATATATTTCACCTGTCTTTACTATCCCATTCAGTTGTAGGCTTTACACTTCGGCCCTCCCGGAAGTGACAGGATTTCCCCAAGCGAGCGCACCTATCAGCCGGTCAGACGGTGAGGATCGACGATCTCTCCGATTGACCTACCGGTCGCAACTTCCTGTAGCCTCAGAACGAATGCATCGAATCTTAGCCCTTGCGCAGTTTTGACAGGTTCTGCCAGAGCCATTGGAATATCTCCCCTTTTGGCGGTCAGCCATGACCGGGTCAGTTGTTCGCAGTGGAAAGCCAAGGATGAAGAAATAGTCAATCGATGATAAATTGGAGCTGAGCACACTGAGGGGCGGCTTATTTGACACGCGTTATATGATTGGATTCGTATTCTCTTGGCGCGTGCAATCTAAGATCTCCAGGGTTAATACTTCGTAGGGTATTAGGGTATGATACTATATATATATCGTACAGTGAATCTACTAGGATTGTTCCAATTTTTGTAACTGCCCCCTGAGTAGTTGAGGAGGCAAGTGTCTTACAAGATTTACAAGCATCGGTTAGGATATATGCGAATTTGACCATCCTCTTAGTTCCTTTGTCCATGTATCCATTCGGCCCCCTGTTCTGCGCGGGGCGTGCCCAGGCCCGTGGCATTCTGATTAGGTAATCCGGGGCCACGCTGGAGGCCAGGACAGCGCGAAGCTCACGGTTACAAGCTCACAGTTGCTCAAACTCCTTTGTCGACACACCTATATCACTGTGGCATTAAGTGCCAGTTTCATTCGTTACTTACCTGTTCTGCAGCAGGTTCCTGGCGAGCTGAAGCAATCTGGTGATCCTTAGCAATCTATCATCCAACAAGCGCATCCTGACATCAAGTCTACCGTCGAACTGTCCATCGATCCTCTCGACAAAGAATCGCCTGAACGAGATACTGCCTACAACATAATCATTCTTGGCTCACTCTGCTCAATCCAACCTTTGCGGATCAACACACCGTAACCCACCGACGTACAACCCTCCATACTTTGTGTACATGCTGGGGCGATAGCTACCCGTTCATTCCGGGTCGAGAACAAAGCAGATCCCTTTACATCTATTGAACATGGCCTTCGCTCAGTTCCGTTCTCGCCAGTGGGCACTGTGGCTGCTGCTGCTCGTGTCCTGTGCTGGCGCATTCTACATCCCTGGTAAGTACGAAGGTGTATTTTGGTTGGACTAAACAATGTGAAACTTACACTTTCCCTCCCACTAGGATACTCGGTTACCCGATATAATGACGGTGATCCGATCCCTCTTCTGGTAAACAAAATCTTCTCCGATCACACCCAACTGCAGTATGCGTATTTCGACCTGCCTTTCGTCTGCCCACCGAGCGGCAAAAAGCATGGCGGCTCACCGTTTGGATCCGGCCAAAGTATCTCGCTCAATATTGGCGAGGTACTGCGTGGCGACCGAATCATGACCTCGGACTTCGAAGTTACAATGGGAAAAGATGTTGAGTGCCAGTCGCTATGCACCCGTGAGGTTAGTCGGTCAGATGTGAAATGGGCTCGTCAACTCGTCAAGGAGGGATACGTGATTGAATGGATTGCCGATAATCTGCCAGGAGCCACGAGCTTTGTAACAGTGGATCGCAGCCGCAAGTATTACGCTTCCGGATTCAAGCTTGGCTATCGAGATATCTCTCCAATCACCGGACAGCATCGGTACTTCATCAACAACCACTTCACGATCGTCATCCGCTGGCGGAGCGTACCGGAAGGAGGGAAGGTGGTCGTAGGTTTTGAGGTGTACCCAAAAAGTATTACCGCCGAGGACCGCCAGGAAAATGGATGCCCCAAAGCTGTCCATAATAACAACGAAGGTCTCGGGTTGTATATCGCGCCCAACCTTTCGCGAATGCAAGAAAAATATTCCGGACTGTCATATATCCCAGATGACGACGACGATGACGACGGGGCCACACTGAAGGTCCCTTACACCTACTCTGTCTACTTCCGGGAGGAACCTAATGTTGAATGGGCCAACCGCTGGGATTTATACTTTACCAACCAAGGCGAAAGTTCGGTAACGCACTGGCTGGCGATTATCAACTCGTTGACAATTTGCACCGTGCTGGGAGTAACCGTGTTCGTCATCTGGAGCCGCACCGTGCAAGGCGATATTAAGGGTCGCGGCGATGGTGCTATGGACGACCGGAAGATGAAGGGCCAATCTCGACGCCGGAATCGCAAGTCCGGCGAGAAGAAGGGCGAGGGGCTTCTGGACGATAGCGCGGACGTGGAGCGCGATGCGGACTATTCATCGGACGATGAGGCTCTCGAAGATACAAGTGGTTGGAAGCTTCTCCATGGGGATGTGTTCCGTATCCCCGCTTATGGTGGTCTTCTTGCCCCCTTGGTTGGGTCGGGAATGCAGTTGTTATTCATGGCTTCAGGCTTGCTCCTGCTCAGCTGCCTGGGAGTCTTGAACCCAAGCTTCCGTGGTGGCTTTGTTAGTGTCGGCATGGGGTTGTTCGTCTTCGCCGGCCTTTTCTCCGGTTATTTCTCAGGAAGACTTTACCAGACCTTTGGTGGAACTGCTTGGCGCAAGAACACGCTAATTGTGCGTACCCTGCTCCAATTATTCATGTGCTATGCTAATCCATCATTCTAGACCGCTTTGCTCTTCCCTGGCCTGGCATTCTGCCTCGTGCTGATTCTGAACTTGTTTGTCTGGGCTCAAGCATCTAGTACGGCAATTCCTTTCAGCACTCTGATCGGCCTCCTTGCACTCTGGCTCCTCATTCAAGTTCCGCTGGTATACATTGGCAGCTGGGTCGGCTATGTGCGTGCGACACCATGGGAGCACCCTCTGAAGACGAATGCGATCGCCCGCCAAGTTCCACCCCAGCCCTGGTATCTCCGCACCCCTCTCGGGCCTGTGGTAACTGGCGTCATTCCATTTGCCGTTCTCTTTATCGAGCTGTTATTCCTTTTCAAGAACCTGTGGCAAGACAAGTCTGGCTATTACTATGTCTTCGGCTTCCTGAGTGTTGTCTCGACTGTGCTGATTATCACCGTCGTTGAGGTGACCGTAATCGCAACATACAGCCAGCTTTGCTCTGAGGTAAGATTGTCCTCAGTTTCAATTATGAATCGCCATACTGACTTCCTTAGAATTATCATTGGTGGTGGCAGAGCTTCCTCACCGGCGGCAGCAGCGCTTTTTGGATTTTTGCCTACTGCATCTGGTATTACCTGTTCAAGCTCCACATCTCCGGATTCGTGTCAAGCTTGCTGTTTTTCAGCTACAGCTTCCTCGCTTGCGCCGTGTATGGCCTGTTAACAGGAACCGTTGGTTTCTTGGCCGCTTATGCCTTCGTCCGGCGAGTTTATAGGTAAGACTGCACCATCCAATTTGGTAGGCAACGCACTAATCTTGAGAATTACACAGTGCCATCAAGGTTGACTAAGTTGACACAACTACACCGTTCTTTTCTTTGACTTGTCCAATCCAGAGACTCGTTGTCTCCTCAACATCTACCTTTCATGACCTGATCTGCGATAAGCATAGGTGAAGTCTTCTACCACCACGGCGTATAGTGTTCTATTTTCTGCATTTTCTGCCCGTCCGAATTTTTGAGCCTTTGATTCCCACGTCTATGTTGAACACAAGCCACACCTTCTCTTTCCTTGTTTCTTGTCTGTGCCCAGTAAGCCAGTATCTTCATCTGCCGCTGTGGGGAGCCTTTCATCTCACGCCAGACTTCCATATTCCGTATACGTTGGCCCAAGGCAGCCGAGCTTCCATCACAAATACACGCCCACGTTTCGGTACTCATCAGCTCTAATGTATTGCCATGTCAGTAAAATCAGAGGACAAAGTTCTACCTATGTAGCATCAACTCAAAGCCAACGTATCCTGTAAAGCCAACGTATCCTAGGAAAGCCGGCGGGCAAGGGACATGTAAGTGGCCATGCCTTTCCTCTTTCCAGCTTGTATCAGATGCCCACATTTGTATACAAAGTTTGGGCTGCCATTTGTTATTCAATACAAAAATTCGCTTTAGATATCTCTCACTAATCGATCAAATATGGCTGACCCGGGCATCCCTAGCGCTTCACTTGCTGAGGACATGTCTTTTCTCCAGGCTGCCACGAGTACAAGGACGCTACATCGGTCCAACACTGTTATCATGCTCCATGGTGGCCGGGGTAATCGTTTGGCGTTGCGAATAATTCATCATCGCATCTTTGACACCTTAAACTTCACCTATACCTCGTTAAGGTGAACGCGGACCTGGAACGCAACACCCAACAAGGCCCGGGCCATGACAGCCTCGAGGATGCCCTCGCCTGCCGAGACATCGCGGATCGTTTCATTAAAAACCTCCCATTCTACCACATTTATGGGCCAGATATGGCCAGATGTGACGTTCTGATATATTGGGGTCTGGATAAGCCATGGAAGATGGGAGATTCGAGTGACAGACCAGCCGGTTCGCGTCACTGGCGCGCCTTTGGTCGTCCCTTTCGAGAATTTGTTTCTCCAGCCGGTCAATGCCAATCAAGGCGAACGTGACATCGCTCTTCGCCAAGAGGAACTTGAGTATGTCGCAGAAATGGCGTGGGATGTTCATAATAAGGTCTGAGGATTAGTTCGGGGTAGAAGGGACTTGACGGGCAAATGGGTCGATCCTGTATGCACATGCACTGTCCTTACAACATCTGACCATCACGCTCTCACTCTGTCCTCACCTTACATATGGTCTGTCTCAGCTAGATCTCTCAGGCAAACGGGCATCTGGCATCGCCGACATGAAGGTCGCAGTCAAAAAGAACCTTCATTCAAGGGTGGAAATCAGTAATGACACACTTTTTAAATATATGGATAGCCAAACCATCCTGGTTGGGTATGCCGTCTATAGTTGCCACCTCGGCCGCAACCGATGTAAAATTTGAGCAGCGTAGACTCTGTACGTCGGGAGCCTGTACTCTCATCATGGGAACATACTTTTAGTAAGCAGGGAGTGATTTGTACATCATAGTCCTCGTGATCAAACTCATTTCCAAAAGAAAAGAGCAGCCTGCTCTATGCCTTGGGAAAAAGATGCCAACAAAAGCATGCACACCTGCACACCTAATTACGCTAGAGGATGTGACTATGTACATCATAAGTCTATATCGGGTGAAACCATCCCGTGTCGAGTTGGAAATCTGTACGTCGATGTAGACGTAGCCATGTGGAGCACGTCGGACATATAGCAATCCCCGTGCATACAATAGAAACACAAGTGCCTATGCTAAGAAACAGCGGTGACTAGATTTCGCCTCCGAAGTATATACCAATTGTAAATCCGGGGATGATCTTAGACCGCTCCTCATGGCGTGCTCGGAAAGGGGGATTGCTCATTGTGGAGCTACGATACATTAAATTCCCTCTCCTTGTTTCATCCTTGTTTCTTAACAAGAATAGTGAGAAGGAATGACAGAAGAAATGGTAGAGGGAGAAAAAAAGAATCAAAAAGAAAGCATTCCACCGGCGGGCTTCTCCGTCGCTATCTTGGATTCTCACGACGTCTCTTTTTCCTCCCCGGTAGTGTCTAATAATGCAGTCTGATTGGCTGTTGAGATAAGCAAGTGGAACCTCAGCCCCTAAGCGTTGCCTCTAACCATGTTGGGTCATCCCAGGAGAAATAGAACTAGATTGATTGGCTGGTAAAACAATGACACGATCCTGTGGAGCCCAAGGTTTGCCTAGCGGTCGGCTTTGGGATTCACTAGTCTGAAACAAGTTAGTGTTTACAGGATCCTGTCACAGCGGAAACGCTGCCATGGACGTGGGCTTTCAATGCCGTTACCCACTCCGGGGTCGAGTGCGCGTGTGAACTGCACTGAAGCTAGACTTTGTATTAAATCCCCCGACATTGGCATGATATCATTTTATTGCAATTATTAGTTTTAAGGGGCTGAGATTAGTGGTGGTTTTACATGCACGGTTGGTATTACGGTGGTATTGTGACTTTCCCAATGTGACAAATGCAACACCTGGACCACACGCGACCCCTATAGTGCCTGTAAAGTGGCGACTCACTCGGCACTTGCCCCGATGGGATCCCATTACCTACAATTGATAAAAATCACTGGTCTTGTGACTAGATATTTGCATTGGCAAGCTGATTATTGCCGAGAGAGATAACGAAATGTCCAATTGCAGCTAGGGACCTCGGGAGAAAATTGTAGTTTATGTATTTCGTGCCGGTACATAGCAGCACTCGGGATTATCTACTTCGGTATTATATTACCATACACGTTCTTCCGACAATCACACCATCGATGGCTCGAATGATTCCATCTTCCTTGCGGGGGAGTACGTCAGTACTGGGTCACTTCCCCTGATCTCCGTTGCAGGCGGGAACTATTTTGTACTAATCGATTTAGGATAGTACAGAATTTCAGCATTCTACAGGGTTTATAGTCAAATGAGACCGAGGAGACACGTATGATCTTCATTGTGTATCGGCAAAATATTACATTAAATACACAGCCTTTTCCGTCTTGGCCTTCATGTGTTCCCTTTTTTAGCCCCCGATTCTCTGGAATTACCTCTTTTTTTACCATCTTTGGGTCCTTTTTTTTTTTTCCTCGTTTACTTTTTTTTCATACTTGATTTTTCTCTTTTTTTTTCCTCTTTTTTTTTTACTTTCTCCTTTTGTTCCCCACATTCTCCCTCAACTTCATATATCACCCGCTCTCCCTCAATTTCTTCTTTCTTTCTTCTTCATAATCTAATCTTTTTTTTTTTAGTTCTAACTTCGTATCTACATTGGCCGTCCATTAAACTAAATATTCATCATGGCGACCAAGAAGCCCAATATCCTTTACATCATGGCAGACCAAATGGCTGCACCCTTGTTGTCCTTGCACGACAAGAACTCCCCAATTAAAACTCCTAATCTAGACCGTCTCGCTGAAGGAGGCGTGGTCTTCGACTCAGCTTACTGCAACTCACCACTGTGTGCTCCCTCACGCTTCGTTATGGTCAGTGGCCAACTGCCCTCCAAAATTGGAGCATATGATAACGCGGCGGACCTGCCCGCTGACACCCCCACATATGCCCACTATTTGCGGCGGGAGGGATACCACACAGCGTTGGCCGGAAAGATGCATTTCTGTGGCCCGGACCAGCTTCATGGCTATGAGCAACGTCTGACTAGCGATATTTACCCTGGTGACTACGGCTGGTCCGTCAATTGGGATGAACCTGTATGTCAATTTTAAGAACAATCCTTTTGTGGTACTATACTAACTGGACTGTAGGACATCCGTGCCGACTGGTATCACAACATGTCTTCCGTGATGGAGGCAGGCCCCGTTGTACGCACCAATCAATTGGATTTTGATGAAGAGGTGATCTACAAGTCAACCCAATACCTGTACGACCATGTTCGGCAGCGCAACGAGCAGCCTTTCTGCTTGACGGTCTCCATGACCCACCCGCATGACCCTTATGCCATGACTAAGGAGTTCTGGGACCTGTACAACGACGTCGAGATTCCGCTGCCTAAGAATGGGGCTATCCCCCACGACCAGCAGGATGCGCACTCGCAGCGCGTGCTCAAGTGTATCGACTTGTTCAACAAGGAGATGCCTGACGAGCGCATCCGTGCCGCCCGTCGCGCCTACTATGCCGCCTGCACCTACGTCGACACCAACGTCGGCAAGCTGCTGCGTGTTCTTGAAAACACCGGCATGGCCGACGACACCATCATTGTTTTCACCGGTGATCACGGTGACATGCTCGGCGAGCGCGGCCTGTGGTACAAGATGACCTGGTTTGAGAACTCGGCTCGTGTTCCTTTCCTTGTCCACTCGCCTAAGCATTTCGCCCCGAAGCGCGTGTCTGAGAACGTCTCCACTATGGATCTCCTCCCTACATTCGCCGAATTGGCAGGCGCGAAACTCATCTCCGAGCTTCCCCTTGACGGTGTTTCCCTCGTGCCGTACTTGACCGGCGGCGAAGGTCTCCGCACCGACACTGTCTACGGCGAGTACATGGGAGAGGGCACCCAGGCTCCTCTTATGATGATCCGTCGCGGCCGTTGGAAGTTCATCTACTCGACGATCGACCCACCCATGCTCTACGACCTCGTCAATGACCCAGAAGAGAGGACCAACCTCGCAGCTGGCCTACCTATCCCATCAAGCTCCACCCGCGCAGCCGTAGCCAAGCCCACCAACTTGGCATCATCCATCAACCTGCCAACTCCCGATGAGACCCCGCACGCATCGCCCATCCCTCAACGTGCCAACATCGCGGACTACCCCTTCCCCTCGAACACTCCCCCTCGCACTCCGAGCCCCGCCAAGGTCCCGCTTGCAGTGCCCAACACCACCGACCCAGCGAAGATCCTGGCATTCTTCCTCGAGGAGACTCACACCCGCTGGGATTTGGAGAAGATCCACCAGGATGTTCTGAGCTCCCAGCGCCGCCGCCGCCTGGTTTACTCCGCTTTGATCCAGGGTACCCAGACCGTGTGGGACTACGAGCCACGCATCGACCCAAGCACCCAGTACGTGCGCAACCAGGGCAAGGGTGCCCTCGACGATGTCGAACTCATCTCGCGCTGGCCCCGTGTGCTCCAGCAGGCTGCTGCCGCCCATGGCATGTCTGTATAGATCATCTCAGGTTTTCGTGAATATGCTATTGGCTCGGATATCTGTTGAAAATATTGGACCGATTGCATTTTCTTTTTTTCTTTTTTCTTGCTTATTTCTGTCGCATTTCAGCATCATCATTTCTGTTGCCTTTTTTGCGGCATTTCCGGAATACTCTTGTTTCGGGTTCCATTCCTTTCCCTTTTCGGTGATGTTCATTTTTTTGGATTTCTTTACGTTTGTCACATAGTAAGGCGCGCGCTATACCCGGGACTCATTTTCCCCAATTTGCATCTTTTCATGCGGGACGGTTGTGGCTGCATGGATTCTTTTGTATATAGTTGTGCTTTTGGTTCCCCGGGTTGGGTGTCTTACCCTGTACATTGCTGGTTTTGGATTTATGCGAAGTAGATACAATATGCAATCAGATTGTCAATGGGATTTTGTACTGTTGTTCCACATTTGCCTCAAGCCGTTTCTTCTAGTATGATATCACTGAACCATCCTTGAACTTCATGATCGATTAGACCCTTCAGCAGCGCGATCAAGTGCTGCCTGGACAACAACACCCTCAAACTTCGTATCCAGGGCTGAAGTGGCTTCGTCCAGAAGCAAAATCTTGGGGTCGCTGACCATAGCACGAGCGATGGCAATACGTTGCTTCTGGCCGCCAGGCAGCAAGAATCCACGCTGGCCGACGTCTTCTCGCCAATGGCCTGGAATTTGGATGCGCTTGCTTGCCGAGACATCGCAAATCATTCCTTCAAAACAGAACAAGACAGACCACTGGATTTGGGGGCACCGGATGTAGCTCCCCGTAGCGTTCGTTTCCAGGCAGGGCTGTTAAAGATTCTATGCTCCTTGTATTGATCGCCAGGCAACCTGGTGGGAAGACATCATTCCTGCAGCAAGTGAATCATTCAAGTCAGCCCCCTTCCATCAATAGCCAGAGGCATCTAAGGTTAATTTTCGTACCAAATAGTAAATTCGAGCCCACAGTGTCGTTCGTGTGCCCTCCGCTCGTCTACTAAAGATTTATCCTCGCAGTACGCAGTGACGGCACTTCAACTGTACACAGCTGCATTTGTGTCCCAAATTTCATATGGGGGACCGGGCCATCTCTTCAAGATCTCGTAAGTATTTGATTGCAAGGAGCAGAAATAAAGAGCACTTGCACTTTGCCAAATGGCTTTCCAGGATGGCCCGAGCATTTATATTTCCGCAGCTCTTCGGTTCCTTTCTTGCCCCGTAGCAACCCGTATTGCAACTAAAAGTATAACAGTCAGTCTCAATCTGTGTTCAACGGAGAAAATCACAAGGAAAACCATACATCGACATTGTATACTCCGTTCCTCTTTGGAGGGCCCTATGTCCGCTCTTTCCCGCTTGATTGTTGTAGCCGAATAGCTCGTTTGCCAAAGTCTTAGGTCTTGGGCAGAATGTGAGATAATTCATAGAACAGAAGGCCGAGTATAAATCTCAAAATGGAATCGAGGCGCCGGTTGGGAAAAAGTTGTGGATATTAACTGGTCTGGACATCGCTGGGCCTTCTTCAGAGCCTGAGAGTGGGCGGTTAATGGCGTCGGAAATTGTGCAGAGAGAATGAATATATGGTTCTGACTGGGATAGGTGATATTTGTGAGGGATCGCAAAAAAGGGGCGGATTCAGGAGGTCGACGATGCTTTGCGAGCTAAGAAAAACAAGACACTCAACCCAGTAATTATATGCTCGTTGTTGGCGAATTTGGCGTGATTATACTCGTCGACGGCTTGGTGGTGGGTAGGCAAGGTGCGAAAAGGATAGAAGTAATGATAGCAATGAGCAAGAGGAAAAGTAGAAAAGAAGAAAACCAGACGAAGTGGGAGACCTCAAGCGAAAACATTAGCGCTGTACAATCAACTGATGCAAAGGGTCCTACCTCATCGATATTTGGGGCCTGCACACGGGTAGTAAGGATGTAGAAATCAGGCAAGGTGGGCACCTCATCGTGGAGGTGGTCTAGCGTGACATTGAGCAGTACTATTGCATGAAAAGTCAAGTTGGGCTAACAGAGAAGAGGAATGTCAGGATGAGGGTAAGGTTACCTCCTTTGCATTATATTATAGAAATTTATATGGATGAATCTCTGTGGAGAGAACATCTCTGCCAAGGCCTCGATCTGATGTTCCTGCATCAAAATATATTCACTTTTAATATCAGAGATTTAACCTTTGTTCATTTGTCATTGATTCCATTGTAGGCTGCTCCAAAGGAGAGAGAGGAAGCTAGCAAAAGCAGGTCTTTGTTTATTATACGGATGTAGCAAACAAGCGCTCACTTTGCCTGCAGAAATAGGCATCCATGGGAGATGTATGTAAATAGATAAAATTGAATATTATATGAAGAAGGTGGACTTTTATAGACTGTCTATTAACAGTCACATTTTATTCCTAGAACAGTACCTACATACATGTAGGTAGACAAACATTATGGCATAAGTATGCCATTCATAACCCCAATGGCCATCTACAACATACACAGGCAAATATTCTTACCACAAGCCACTACTAGTTAACTATATAACTATAATATCAATGAACACTTAGCGGGGGATGTATCCCTCCCCGGCGCAGCTTCCCCCATAACATTACATAATACCCCCTCGGGGCTGGCTCTTGGCGGCCATGCACCTTCGGATGAACAACCCGATAATGCTGACTATTAATACTACCTATATGTATTAATGTTATCTGGGAAACTCTTGCCTAGTCGAGAAGACCTGATGTGTTTACCAACCTTGGAATCCTCCAGTCTTGCTGACTATCTTCGATGGCTCCGAGGTCTGCCTAAGAAGATCATGCGTTATGCTCATGGACTACGCATACTGCTCTTGTTGAATAATGGTAGATATTGAAATATTCGAAGAATTAATTTATGAGAATAAATGAAAGAGAAACATTTCTAGAAATTCTTTAAGTCTTAGGACCGGAAGGTGGCCCCGTAGGGAGATACGAGAGATGCGGGGTTTATCTTGCAGGTGATTTGCCTTGTCTGACCTCAACACCCATGTATCTTTGGACGTGTTCAGAAAGATTCAACATCTTGACTTTGATGAACTCGAGGCCCTAAGTTACCATGAATACATCACGAAAGACAGATTACAGGAGGGTGGTGAACGCGTAAGTGCCTCTTGGAATGTCTCGACGCATCATGATCTTTCTTCCCGGATGCTATGATCCAAGTCCGAGGCATTGTTGACCAAATGTCTACCGCACAGATGCTCGCGATGTCGTCACCATAAAATCAAGTGCACCGGCGAATCCCCCTGCAGCAACTGTATACAACGCAACGTCAAATGCCAATTCGCAAGGGCAGAAACAAAAGTGCAAATTACCAGAAAGCGACTGTCTGAGTTGAACCGCAGAAACCATGAACTAGAGAAAGAGAATCTTGCTCTGCAGCAACGACTGTCAGCCTCGACCGAGGCAGCAGCAACACCGGACCACTCTCGTCTCGCCTCGCCATTACATCCACCAAGTCCCGGAATTGCCGACTCGCCGGCTAACAATAGATTAACTCAATTTCACGATGAGCACGAAGAGGATGTTAGCATGGTGAACCCTTTGTCCTGTGGGCCTCCCAAGTACATCACAGACACAACCGGAACGCCCCGTAAGCTCATTTTCCTCATTGGCACCAACAATAATCACCTAACCATATATCCTAGACTACCTTGGCCATACCTCGACTTGGTCCCTTACTGTCAGACTCTTACATTTGACACACGAGGCCCTATATAATTGCCCATTCCCAAGTGCTGCTCACCACGTCGACTCAATGACCTACGACCTGGAATGGAATGGGCTGCGCAGCCAGGCTATTCCCGATGTCCGTGGTCTTCCTTCACTTGACCATGCGCTTTTCCTGATTAACGCAACCAAGTTCCATACTGGCCAACTTTTTCATCTGTTTGACGAGCCCAGATTTATGGCACAGCTCTACCACTTCTACGAAAACCCAGCGGAAAATATTTGCACCGTAGGGTTGTGGCTTCCACACTTCCTGGTCATTATTGCCCTTGGCAAGGCCTTTATTGGAGCGAAGAGCCATGGGAAAAGGCCTCCCGGTGTGGAGTTCTTCAGAGCTGCTTTTATGATGCTTCCGGACTATAGTTTCCTATGGAAGGATCCATCCACCTCTGCAGAAATACTCTGTGCATTTACCTTGTACTTGCAATCTATTGACTGGAGAACATCTGCACATAATATGGTGAGTCCGTTACCTCTCGCCATGCAGAATAATCATGGCTCGCTCTTATGCTGCATTGCTCACATATATCTAGATCGGCCAGGCCTGCGAATCTTACAGGTTCACGGCTACCATACAGATCTTTCCTCCCGATTCGCCAATGAGCAAGATCTAATACGATTCCAAAATATCTGGTGGACTGTGTATGTTTTGGAACGTCAGGTGTCGGTGCTTATGGGTGTGCCCCTGACTATTAGCGACAATGATATCACCGCGTCATTGCCTCTATTCGCAGATTCATCGCTGAAGACGGCGACTGTAGCGATACATGTCAAACTATCGAAGGCTTTTAGCCGGGTTGTGAACGGTATGTCTCTTAACAGCCCCGTTGAAGACAAATTCTAATATCCCCGCAGCCCTCTACCGAGAGAAGGAGAACCCAAACTCGACATTTGTGAAAAGCACGCAAGAAGTTCTACAAAGAGTAGCAAATGTGGCATCTGATCTTCGTGAATACTTTCCCGTTCCCGAGCAAGAAGCCATGAATGGCATTTCACGAGTTTCAGGGTACATGAACTTGCTTTACCATCAGGTCAGTTTTCTTTCGGCTATTATGTGGCTCTATATTGACTCTGCTATATCAGTGTATCATGCTTGCCACTCGCCCCTTTTTGTTCATGCTCGTTGAGATTTGTGCGAATTCGGAAGACTCTCAGATAGAGGTTCCCACGCCCATCAAATTGCTTCTGCAAATTTGCGTCGAATCGGCGAAGAAGACGTTACAAGTTTTGGGCGCTCTGCAAGACCAAAGTTTATTGGGTACAGAATAACCCCTACTTTAATTTCGTCTGTTAAAAAGAAAAATTGTGCTAACCTTATTCTAGAGTGCTTTTTGCCATTCGATTTGGAAAGCGCCGTCTCCGCTGCCCTTGTCATTACCATGGCCTCCCTAGTCAGCCCTCCAATGGTTGAGAACCACACGTCGCTTCTTGACACATTGTATTGTGTTTTGGATCGGATGATTGACCAAGGAAATCTGATAGCCGCCGACCAGAAAAAAGAGATACGCCAGTTGGAGAGCCTTTGTGCAAGCCTGAAAACATCTACAGTCCTGGCCAGCTCCTCACGCCCACCGGAGTCCCAAACAAGGAACGCGCCGGAGGCAGGACTGACGCCAGGACCGTCCAGCGATGACTGGGACCCCTGTATGGCAAGGCCAAGGATAGATGGCTCGGGCGCAGGAGTAGCATGGGACGGACAGACTAACGAACCATTCCACTGGACAAGCAATTTGTCACCGACCCAATTACTGGAGGCTGCTGATATGTTGGATGGTGGCGACTTGCTGGATTGGGTTGATCTGCCGAGTAGTACCTTTGCATTTGGGAACGAAGGAGAGGATCGAGGTCCTTTGGGGTTATCATGTATTCGTAACCGCACACCAACGCAAATAATAAATGTATAAGAGAACCTTGGAACGTTATACTTGACTGAAAAGGTCTCTGTTATGTATGTACTTGGAAAGGGAGAAGAGATGAGTGGTGCGAATACTTGGACACATATAACAATGTATCCTTGCGTCTTTAAGGGTCAAATAAAGGCCTGAATAACACCGCAGTCGGTAGATTCTCTCATATATAGACTGTTAGGCATCACTACCCTTCGTATCTATTCCGTCCACGAATTCCGTATAGTTCAAGTAGCCGGTGATTGCTGCGCCGTCGATCTGGGGCTTCTTCTCATCCACTATCCATCCATTTCCAAACCAACCAAATTCATTGCCATCATACGGGTGTAGATCATAATCCTCCCATCTCACCTTCTTCAGCGCCTTTAGAGCATGCAGACTGCTGCCAGGCCACAAGGCAGTCACGCGACCTTTCTTTCGCTCTTCGGGAGATGATCCCGGTGGCGAGGACTTGTACCAACTTGCACATTCAGCACTGTAAACAGTGCGCTCAAAGTACTTCTCACAGAACCTTGTGAAATTCTCAACTTGTGACTTCTTCGCCTCGACAAGTCCAATATTGTCATAGGCCATCCTGGACATGATCTCTGCAACATAGGCGTGTACCTGCTCCATTGTGATGAGCAGATTTCCTGCACCCTGGAATGAATTCGGTCCAAGAGACTGGAAGAAATTTGGGAATCCGCTGGTTGTAAGACCGAGATAGGTTTCCGGGCGTTGACTGTACTTCTCACGTAGATTCACTCCGTGTCGGCCGATGATGGGGAACCCGCCTCCAGGGTTTGTCTCAAACCCAGTGGCACACACAATAGCATCAACCTGCCGATGTTTCCCACACGAAGTGACAACACCGGTCTCGTTAATGGCCGCGATACTTGTCGTTATAACGTTGACTTTGGGTGAAGTCAGCGCCTCCAGGTAGCCTGGTCCTGGGGTGAGACGTTTGCAAAGTGGAGGAAAGTCCGGGAGCAGATCATCCAGAAGCTCTGGTTTGTCTTTCAATCTCCGTTCCATGTCGGCTTGGTACTGAGCTCGAGAAGAGTTCTGCAGGTTGCTGCCTCTCTGGGACTTGGGGTATAGCGTCTGCATCTCGTACTCAAGCTCTTTGCGGTACTCAATGTATGAGGTAGGATCGTTCTGCCAGGCCTGCCTCTCCTCGTTGTTATAAGCGAAGTTGCCGCCTTTGCCATTTGTGCGTGTTGCCAGACGCTCTCCGCCATGTTGGTTGGAAATCCAGGTCTTGCCGCGGACATAGTGGTCCATACCCTTGACTTTGTCAACGAGAGCGGGCACAATCTGGATACCACTGCTACCAGCACCAATAACAGCGATGTTCTTGTCCTATATATTTATCCGTCAGACATTGTCCATCACGGTTATTCGTAGACAGAATCTTACCTCCATGTCATAAGTGTTATCCCAGCAGGCACTGTGGAGCAACTTGCCCTTAAAACTGTGCAGACCAGGGATCGATGGCCACTTCCAGTCGTTCAATAGTCCGGTTCCTGTCATGAAGACATCGGCGGAATCTTCAAATACTGATCCGGTCGTTTCGTCAAATATCTGCACAAACCACTTTCCCAACGAGTCATTCCAGCGCGCTCCGACGCAGCGACTCTGAAACTTGATGTGCTCCCGAACAGCGTACTTGTGCGCAACTCGGTTCCAGTACTCTCGGATCTCCTCTGCGCCGGAGAAGAAATGGCTCCAGCCCGTCCATGATTCAAAGCTCAACTGGTAACAGTGTGATGGAACGTCTATATTATATTTAGCAACATTATCCTGGCTGCTAGGAGTATTGCCAACTCACCACATGCACAGCCCGGGTATTGGTTTTCATACCAAGTTCCCCCAAGGTCAGGATTCTTTTCATAAATTGTTAGGTCCAAGTCAGGCACGGCTTGACGGAATTTGATAGCGGCAAGAATTCCGGAGATGCCCGCGCCGATGTAAATGACCTTGAGAGGGCGCGGCTGGTCCACAGCTCGTTCGGAAATGAGTGGAGTGAAAGCACTCTTTTGCTCAGTCGGTTTTGGAGTAGGAACAACATTCTCATCTGTCAATGCGATGCTGCCTTCGGCTGACAGCATAGTTTCTTCGATCGTGACCGTGGAACAGTTCGCCTTCTCGTCGATAAGTGGAGGCGTCAAAGAGACAAACGACGTTTCGGTCAAGGAAGCCATGCTAAATAATGAATACCACGAATTGATTTCCTATACTCTATACCTGTCTTCTAGGTCTGATCTTTATAGTCATAAACTGCATCTCCTAGTGTACTTTGATATTGGTATACTTCGGATGGGTATCCGATCACATGTGACATATGCATAGACCTACGATAAGCTTAGTTTCATCTCCGACAATAGTTGGAGCTTTGTTCAGGTATCCCGCAGAAACCCCGCTCTATTGCCCCTCCTTGGTGCCCCTCCCTTTGCTGCAGCTTAATCCGAGATACCGTCTCGGATTTCCTCCGACTTGTTGATACCCAAATCTCCATATCAGCATCGGAAGAGCTTGCCGACTACACTACAACTTTGGTTGACCAAGGAATGAGGTGTATTACGAAGCTGACTTTACAGACCCGATCATAGGACTTTTGATTTCAATCGTTTCTACAGGTTGCCAAGTTATGCGATCAAAGCAAGTCCAGCCAGAGCAACTTTCTGGCATCAGCTCCTCATGTCCTAAATAGCACTCTGTCACGATTATAGAAGAAAGCTGCTAGAAGCATTTCTGTATGGAGTCAGCTTTAAGGGGCTCTATTTAGATGTGATGAGCCGAGTCTGTAATACTAGTGCTCCTGGGTATAGCTAGGGAATTGTAGTAAAAGCACCTATTTCTATTAATTGAAATTTGATCCAATTTCCCTAGTTGTAAGGCACGAAACTCGAAGTGGAAGTGCTTTCTTTCAATGCCGTCAAAACCATCAGTGGCGAGAATGCGTCTAATGAAGGAATTCATGTCACATAATCTTTCGTGATGCTGATCTCACTTGTACTGCACTCTGGGTACAGTAATTGAAAAGCATGGGCTTGGTTAGGGTGACTGGTTCCTAGATAGACAGAAGGGAAAGTCATTTCGTATTAGATTGAAGCATTCCTTCTAAAAGGGATGTTGCATTAGCTAGATGAGACTAAGTGCAAGCAGATATATATTGAAATTTGTAAAGTAATCTTATGATGCTTGTGCTGATAAATTAGATGTGCTACTGGAGCGTTATAATGAGCGAGAGAGGTTTTATATCTGGTATAGGAAAGGATGATAGGGATAATAGAGTGGAATTGAGATCTATAAGTGTGGATATCCATGAGCTATCGATATAGTCATCCTGTATACAACAGGCCTGGAAATAGAGAACAGCACAAAATCCTCTGCACTTTATACACAGCGTGCACCATCAACCAGAATCTCGACACCGCTGATGATCGAGCTTGCAGGCTCGGCCAAGAACAGAGCAACATTGGCGACATCAGAGGGCTCAACGAGACGACCAATTGGAATGGACTCGCACTTTGCCTTAATAATCTCCGCAGGAACTGGTCCATCCGCAATACCAGCAAACTTGTTCAACAGGGGGGGTATTGCCCGAAGTAGGACAGATAGTGTTAAAGCGCAGCTGGTCTCTGGCAAACTCCAAAGCCATCGACTTTGTGGCCGAAGAAACACCCGCCTTGGTAGCGTTATACCAAGTCTGGGTAGCACCGGGTCGGATCGCGTTCTCGCTGGAAATCACAACCGTAGAGCCAGGGCCGTTCTTCTTCATTTCGGGAATAAGGACCTTCGAAGCGAGGTAGATGCTTCTGACATTAACGTTGAATAGGCGGTCGAACTCTTCCACGGTCACTTCGAGTCCAGACTTGTTGGGGTAAGACCAGCCGGCATTGTGAACGACAATTGAGGGAGCTTTGCCGAACTTTGCGATTGAGGTTTCGAGCTATACGAACAAAACCAAAGTTTCCATTTAGCAAGTAACGGGCAATGGGGGTATTAGATAGTGACTGTACCGCTTTGTGCCAGCTTTGTTCTTCAGCAACATTGGCTTTAATCTGGTAGGCGAGCTGCTCGGGGTAGCCCTGAACTGGACCATCGTTGGCCTGAAGATCCATGCCGAGTACGAATGCACCCTCACGAATGAAGGTCTCAAGAATTCCACGTCCGAAACCTTGAGTTGAGCCCGAGACGAGGGCAATCTTTCCTTCGAGGCGGCCAGGCATCTTGGTGGAGAGTAGGATATGATTGAAAGGAAGGGATTGGAAAGGTAAGGATGTAGTTGATTGACGAACAATCCGTTCAATTGAACCTATGTATTTATATTAACGCAAAGCAATCTATCGAGGAGATAATTGAGATATCGCGATAGTTGATCCGAGAGATACAGGCGGGGAAATCGGATGGCCCTTCCGTGTTGGCGTTTTATTCCTCTATCTTTTCGCACACGAGACCTCTTCTCTCGGTCCGAATTCCTGGGGAAAACGATGGCTCCATCTACTGACACGCCAACCGATTTGCACCGTGCCGCCGTGTAAGTGTATTGTTTTGCGTTAGCGTCTTTTTCTGTCCAGGTAATGCTGATGTGACGATCCTAGTGCCTGTCTCCTGTGTCGCAAAGCAAAGGTCCGTTGCCTTGTTTCACAGCGACTCGATAGGTGTGACCGTTGCATATCAAATGACTCTGAATGTGTTTTTGCTCAACCGAAGAGGGCCAGAGTGAGGGTTCCGCCGTACCAGTATCGCCCGAGGCGAGATTTGAAGCCTACCCCAGATTCCGACCAGCATTCTGTCGAGGGACATACATACGATACACACTTCACTGAGCCTTCACCGTTGGCCCCTACCAGTGAATCGATTTCTGCACGTCGACATTCCACATGTCCGAGTCAAGGGGCCACCACCTTCGATGATTGCCTACCGCCGTGGTCGCCGCAAACCCAAATACCAATTATTACCGATGCAATCCGTGCGAGAATCATCGCAGCGTTGGCTACCCTCAAAGGCAAAAGGGGCGCGCCTTTCAGCTTTGTTAGCGCGGGTGATAGTCCCTCGTTTATTGATTGTTCGTCTCGCAATGTTCATGTTCTGCGTAAACAATCTTTCGAGCAGCCACAAACCACAACACTCTCCTTGAAGCTGTCGTCACTCTTGCGGCCGCTGAAAATTGATCCCAATCGGGAAAGCTATGATGATGGCCGACGGCCTGGTGGCGTGGTCAAAATGCCTTCATACCTCTCATCCATGACGCTCGGTCAAACTGTCACAGACCCGATCGAAGCGGGCATGATCAGCCGTCAGGCTTCAATGGCATTATTCGAGCACTTTATGGTGCAGATGAACGCCAAGTGGGAATACATACTGGATCCTCACGTCGACACCCATAGCGATGTTCAACGACGGAGCCCGTTGCTATTCGCCTCGGTGCTCTTCTGCTCTTCCAAGTTCTGCAACTACATTGATGGTCGTATAGACTCAGAGCCAGACCCTTTTTTAGAGACCCGACTCTGTAGTCTGGCCCGAAACCTTGTTATCAAGACCATGGCGGAGGGTGATAGGTCCACCGAGACGATGCAAGCCTTCTATTTGTTGGCTTGCTGGAAAGATGCGGACGATGACATATCGTATCTGCATAGTGGATACGCCTTTGGCATTCTCCGTGACATAGACTTGAAGTCAATTTATGGCGACGGTGAATACATAGCAAGACGCAGAAGGACATGGCTGGCCTTATTTCGACAGGACCGACAACAGAGTTTGTTCTTTGTGCGAAGGGCAGCACTAAACCATGGTGATGACGATATGTCTTTCCTTTGTGACCTCGATACATGGTTAAAGATGCCATATGTGTTACCGTCGGACTTTGTTGCATGCTGTAGCGCTGATTTGAGGCGCATACAGTCGAAACTATGCAATTCTGTCCAGAAGGCCTCTTCCATGATGCTGCCATGCCTACTAGAGCAGATGGACGCAGAGCTGATTGCATGGAAGTCGAGGTGGAAGCACTACCTCGTAGGCGAGGGCAGAATGCACATAGATGAAGATTCATCCCTGGATCCCACATTCTTGCATCCTGGGAAATACCATCTCACTGCGCTTGCCAACCTGTGGGAACATAGCGTCAGACTTCATGTCGCTTCTGCAATACTTCGGCAAGCTTTGATGGCTTCAGTGACATCATCTCTGGACACGAACTACCAGGCGGACAGGGCCTCGTGGAACATTGATCTCTCCATGATGCAACAAGTTCTGTCCCCTAATCTTCCAGGGCTCAGTAGCAGTATCGAAGGCGCATTCGGTACCCTGCACAACTTGATCAACTTCCCTCCGGATGATTTGAGACGCGCACCGGATACCATTCTTCTACTGGGACCAAATGCTGCTCTGTTCTTGTGTTTACTCCTCTGTCTACCAGGAAATGGTATCCTTGGTGCAGCCTTCCAAAGAAAGGCAGTCGACCTCATTCGGGGCATTGCTGAACACATGAAGCAATGCGTGCAATCACCGCAAGATACCGTAGCTCTTCAGTTCACATACCTAGACTCGCTAGTGGGGCTTCTTGGCCCATCTGTGTCAAGATGCCCAACTGAACAACAAATTACCAGACAACAGCCAGCTTTTCACATGCCGCATACACAGTTCGATACAGACGACTTGGATATTGATAACCCAACCCGTCAAGCAGCCCAAATTATGGGAAACGAGATTGGAGGACATGGCTTGAGCTCGAGTCAGCCTGATTCCACGCTTGGTCTTTCGAGCGAAGTTTGTCAGAACCTACATATGCAAAGCCTGACTAACTTGCTAGATGGCAACCTCTTTTGGGAGATGCTAGCAGAAGGAACAGAAATGAACATTAGCTCTTAGTTTATATTATATGATTAATGTAAGAGAAAGACAAGCTAGGTGCTGCAATTTATCATGATATTTACGAATCAGTCTATCCTATCACAATGATAGCTCAAATTTAACAAGTCCTAAGAATTGTCCCCACAGGAGAAGACACCTGTTACTGCGCCATTATTGTATGATGCCCGAATACCCAAGGTTGTTGAGTAGGTGCCTCCGACAATGATGAAGAACCCAGCGAGTATCATGAACCACGCACCAACAAGCGTCAAAGCTGCTATCCACCCATTTCGGTATGCCTTGAAAGCATTCAGAATCCAGTTTATCGCGGACGTTGACTCCTCTCTTTCCACATCCTCCACTATATCGCCTGCTCTGCTCGGATTTTTCGCAAGGAAGAAGAGAATCATAAAACCGGGGAGAACATTAGTAAAGACAGGATTTATAAGTGCGCCAACCAGACTCAAAAAGTCATTGAAAAATGGCACAACCCCAACAATGATGAACCCAAACACAACTGTCACAGCCATAGAACCAATCCAGACGGTCCAGTGAATGACTGTGTTGGATTGGAGATGGCGTGTGCCACGAAGGATTCTCACGAACCAATATTTGGCTGCGATGTGGCTCCATAAAATAGCAGTCACTAGCAGGCCGGGCAGCGCAATGCCATAAGATATTTTCTTGATCAATAGACCAGCTGATCCGAGAGCTGGGCTTGCGAGGTATTGGCCAACCTTCGCATACATGATGGAGGAAATGGCGATGTTCGTTATAACAATAAAGGACTGGCCACAAATAAGAGAGCGAGTGAATAACTCGGGGTTCTTCATTTCAGCCGACACGGAGAAAAAGGTCCCCGATGCACCCAAGGCAAATAGCTGAGTGGATATTGCCGACATTGCCTGAATGAAGGTTGCCTTTCGGGAAGACACGGATGTCTAGGTTGATCGGGCCAGCCGGAGCTGCTGCGGGTCGACTTTGGGTCAGACAGGCAATTGCCGTTATCCAAATTGCAAAGACGATACCGGCCACACCGACCCAGCTAAGCCAGGCTATTTTCCCTAGAGACCGAAATCCGGTGCCAACAACAAAGGAAGCCAAACATGCGACAGCGACAAAGATCATCGTACAAGCTCCGTGTTCGGAGAGTGCATTGAACGCCACGGATGTGGTGAGCATCCCTGCTCCGGCAACAAGTGCGAGGTATATGTAATAGATGACACCGATGAACTCTCGCCCTCCTTTTCCAAAGAGCAATTCGCCGGCGTCACCGATACTGTGCATGTGGGGGGTAATATCTTCTTGCATTTCCACAGACATAACCAGCAACGGTTGTCATGATGGCCAAGATGACGAAACACAAAATGCCGGGGAAGAACCCCAGGACATGGAAGGTGGATGGAAGACTGAGGGCACCGAGTCCAATTTGGAATTTGGCAATCAGGATAGCAGCTCCTTGCCATGAGACGCCCCGGAAGTCAACTTCACCATCTTCGCTGTTGAACAGGTCTTGGGGTTGCTGCATGGCTTTGGAGACTTCACCGGGGCTCAAGTCATGCATATTGTTGTCGATATCGTGCCCATCATGGTGAGATTGGTCTTTCTTGGATTCATTCATGGTGAGGAAATAGAGTATGAGGAATTGAGGAGTTCAAGGGTATAATTGAAAGAGGACAATTTAAATACACCAGTTCTCAACCCCGGGTGGTATTCGAGCTTATCAACTCGGCCCGAAGAACCTTAAAGCCAAATCGAAAATACGGGGTAAAATGCGGGGGAATTGTATGTAGGTTGACCTCTCCGAAGCATTTTCCACCAACGAAATCGTCTAGAATCAACGCCCAAATCCTGTTTCCTTGATAGAATCCCATCCTCATGCCGTTCAGACATCATCACTGGGTGAAGATGCAAATGTTATCTGAGTAATTCCTTATCTTTCCTTGAAGTGGCCTCGGGAGATACCAGGACACTCCATGATAAGGAGGTTGAGGACCAATAAATGTATGTCTTACTTTTGGATTGGACTTACGAAAGAATAGATAGCGAGATATCCTGGACGTCAATGGCTAGTTGTATTTATCTATGATCGTCACATAAGATTTCTCGGCCCGAGAGGGGCACAGACATACTTAGGATGAGAGGTATTCGCCCGGCCGAGAATTCAAAGTGCTTTGCCTTTACCACCACCATATCTTTGCGACAATCTTTTTTTTTCCCCTCATAAACTCTCAGTGTTACGTCTTTACCCTTGGACAGCTTTGAAATGATGTCTACCCTTGCTAGAAAACACTTCCTCCACATTACCCGGCGACGGCCGTCAATTGCGTTTCATCGATCGAACACCACAGCTTCGATATTGGCTGCCACCGGTAGCAAAAAGAGCCAATTCTCTTCGAGTGCTAGGAAGATCGCATATGCTACAGGCGGCACCAGTCTAGTCATCGCCGGCCTGTTGTGGTCGGGACGTGGCCAGGGCGACTATGTCGATGACCCACGGGACAAGAAGGCCCTTTCAACAGTTCCATTAACAAAGCTTCTCTCGGGATGGATGTGAGTAAAGATAGTTTCGAACTTTACACACGCCAACTGACAACATATTTCCGCAGCGCTTTTGCCTTTTGCTCCTCCCCGACCTGGGTTGATATGAGCGAGTCTCTGTACAACATACTCTCCAAAATTCCCATTATCTCCCCGATCACCAATGCCGTTGTAATGAAGACATTTTTCAATCAGTTCCTTGGTGGTGAAACGACCCCGGAATGTATCCCCAAGATGGAGACCCTCCGGAATGAAGAGATCGGTACCCTCCTCGGCTATAATATCGAGGCTGAACTCGATGGCTCAAGCAAGCGCACAGAACTGATTCTTGAACAAATTCAACACGTTGCTTCTTCCATCGAAGCGCAAGGGTCGCTAGCTCGGAAATTCTGGCCTGACACCAGTGCTACTGGTGGGGACAACCGTTGCTGGGTCCGGATCAAGGTCACGGGTCTGCTCCCCAACCCAAGTGCCCTTTACCATGGCTCTAATGCCATCCTCAATGGTAGAGATAAGAGGGGTCTGGATAAAGATGTCCCGTATCCAGGATTGCCTCATGATGGTGATTGGGAAGCGGCCCTGAAAGGTGTGACAGATTCGGACCGAAAGGAACTAGTGAATCTGCGTGCCGTGCTAGAGAGTATCGCCACCAAGGCAAGAGAGAACAATGTGCGCATCGTTATTGATGCCGAGCAGTCATGGTACCAGCCCGTCATTGACTCTCTGACTGACGAACTCATGCAAAAATACAACTCCTTGGATGGACCTCCCACTTGCATAGCCTCCTTCCAGGCTTATCTTCGCAGATATCCCCAGCTTCTTAATCAGCAGATTGAGCGCGCGGATAAGAAGGGTTACAAGCTTCTTTTTAAACAGGTTCGAGGTGCTTACATGGTCACCGAAGCTGCCAGATGGAAACGGGAAGGGAGGGAAGGGCCTGGACCGGTGTGGGAAACCAAGTCAGAAACAGACGCCTCCTACAATTATGGAATTGAGAAGTCTCTTGAGACAGTGGCTGGTCAGATAAAAGAGTCTGGTCGCTCAAGGCTCAGTGTGGTGTTCGCCACCCACAACTCTATCAGCATTGACCTTGGGATCAGGTTGTTGGAAAAATACGGAATGGCCAAGCGCGAGGGTGACGGAGACAGACTGGTGGTTTCTGGTGAGGCTGCTGGTAGCATTGCCTTTGCCCGACTATATGGTAAGCCATTGTCCTTTTTCCTCCCCGCGAGATCTGGTTCTCATTCATTGCAGGCATGAAAGATGACTTGACCTACAAGATTACTGGGTCCGTGACAGCCGAGGGCGGATTCCCGCTCGTCGTAAAGGTACGTACTATCTATCTTGGAGGCTCTTGAATTATACTAAAGTATGCCATAGTCAATGAGCTATGGAGATCTCAAGGAATGTTTGCCATTTTTGGCCAGACGGGCCTCTGAGAACAAGGCTGTTCTGGAGGGTCGAGGCGGCGCCGCGGCCGAGAGGGTGCGACTGGGTCGCGAGATTCGCAGGAGGCTTCTACCTTTCAGCTCTTAAATTAAAGTGACATTTAGATGCAATTAATTAATTCTGATAGCTTGCAGTCATTTTGAGTCAATCCGATATTCTAGAATATGGTTAAAGAGAACTTATAGCCAACCCTTTATCTAGGTTCATTGAGCTTTTAAGTCCAACTGCTGGGCCTAGCGCATGACAATAGCTGTAGCAATACATCTATGGCTGCGCTTTCTAGCAAGACCTGCCTAGCGTGATCGAAGTCAACAGAATTCTACGTCATGCATTATTCGTGGTCAATGCGACAATTTCTGGGTAGTCGGATAGGGTGACCGGGTAGGGTGACCGAAGGTGACCGAAGAAGGTAACTGATGGTTGGGCCTTCCGATGGCAGTTGTAAAGCTATTCAAGCTATTCCGACTATGCTAGTCTGAGGAGACTATCATTATCGAGTGTAATTCTCGGGTAGGGTGTCCGAGTCAAACTAACGATCATACTCCGCATCTTGGCCCAAGAGACATGTATATCTGTCTATCTTGAAATAAAAAACCGCCTATTCATTCAGCCTTTACAGAAAGACCCATTATTTTCCAAATTTACAAGTCCACTCGACTACGTTCTGCCCATAAGCCAATATGCCAGCCGTACAATATCCGGAGCCAGCCAATGCTGACGGGGTAAGTTCCTTCTCGATAAACAAATAGTTCCGATACTGACTTCCGAAGCTTTCATATGAGCCTGGATCAGAGGAAAGGAGACTTCTGAAAGCCGCACTTGCAGAGACAGAGAGTACCATTGCCAATATCCCAAGCGTCATCAACGGTGAGCGCATTTACACAGGCCACAAGAGCAAGCAGGTCAACCCTTGGAACCGATATGGCGCTCCCTTGTCAGAGTACCATGAGGTTGACGCAGAAGCAATCAAAACGAAGGCCATTCCAGGCGTGCTGCAGGCGAGAAAGGATTGGGCCAACATGTCATTCAAGGACCGAGCAGCCATCTATAGAAGAGCGGCAAAACTGGTTGAATCCCCAAAGTATCGATGGAAGCTGTTGGCGGCGACCATGATCGGCCAAGGAAAGACATGTGGACAGGCAGAGGGCGATTGCATCACTGAAGTCATCGATACCCTGAATTTCCATGTCCACTTCTGTGCCCAGATGTACCAGCAGCAGCCACCAAAGCAATTCGAATCGTCATCCAGCAGAATCGATTACAGGCCCTTGGAAGGATTTGTGCTCGCTATCTCCCCTTCAACTTTACCGCGTTGGGAGCGCACATCGCTTTCACCCCAGCTCTCCTAGGAAATGTCATCCTTTGGAAGCCTTCACCTATGGCCGTGCTGTCCAACTATATTCTGTACGAAATCATGGAAGAAGCGGGTCTGCCAAAGGGTGTAATCCAGTTCTTGCCCGTGGCCGATCCGAGAACAGTCGTTGAGCCAGCCCTCGCCAACCCTCAATTCGCGGGTCTGCATTATACTGGCTCTTCGGCAGTCCTGCGAACTCTCTCTGCTCAGATTGGCGCCAACACCAACATTTACAAAAGCTTCCCTCGCATCGTGGGAGAGAGTGGAGGCAAGAACTTCCACCTCGTCCATAACTCCTGCAAAGACGACGTTGACTGGATCGCGTCTGCCGCGGTGCGCTCAGCATATGAGTTCCAAGGCCAGAAATGCAGTGCTCTATCCCGGATCTATGTCCCAAAGTCCATGTGGGAACAGGGTGCTTTGAGATCTGCACTGATCCGTGAAGCTGCTAAGATGACACACGGCGACGATGTCAAACAACTTCACCATCCCCTGGGTCCTCTATCCTCCGAGGCTTCGTTCGAGCGATTCCAACGATTTGTTCAGTGCGCCAAGGATGATGGCCATGAATTAGTCTACGGTGGCAGCACAGACGGCAGCAAGGGGTTCTTTGTCCAGCCTGCCATCTTCAAGACCAAGGAATCCGCCGATAGTCCGGAATCTGACTTGATGAACAAGGAGCTCTTTGGTCCCCTTTTCGCCGTTCAGACCTACGACGATTCCGGATTCGAGGATGTCTGCGAGCTCATTGATCGCACTTCCGAGTACGCCTTGGCAGGCTCTGTCTTTGCCCGTGATAGGCAGGCTATTAAGATTGCAGATGAGAAGCTGCGAGACTCGGTCGGTATGTTCTGCATCAACGATAAAAGCACAGGGGCGGTTATCGGTGCGCATCCTTTTGGTGGAGCCCGTTCAAGCGGTACGAATGACAAGGCGAACTCGGTCAATGTTTTGCTGAGATTCTCGAGTCTTCGTTGCGTCAAGGATTCGTATGCGACTGGTAGTACCACCCTGGGTGCTTGCCATGTCCCGGAGTGAATGTGACAGGACTAGGTAGATAAAGCCGAATTGAACAGTTTAGAGAATATTTTTCAGCTATAGTACCCTTACATAACCATAAACCTTTTATCAGATAATTGAAAATGTTACTATCAGAGTCAAGCAATACTTCGGCTGAGTATACTACTATATCACAAATTGCGAAGCAACTGAGACGCTACCAAGGTATTTCAAGCATTTGTTCAAACATGCTACATATATTAGATGCAATCATGAGATGAGCAATAATCCCAGCTTGGGGAGTGTGTAGAACTGTGTAATAGGGAGTGGAAGATTGTAAGAATTTACTACTGCAAATGACCATAGACCAGAGGTTCCAACAGCACGATAAGGTCAAACCAATTCTCGGACAAGCTCTCCGAGTATCCCCTCACTAAGAGAGAGAGACGTCCATATCGAGACAGAATTCCCCTCTCCGGGCCGAGATTGTGTCGGTCCGAGTTATGATGAAATGAGTAACTCGAGAGGGGATTACCTTGAAGACTTGATGATATATTATATACCACTAACCCAGAGAGTATTGGCAATTAAAATTATTTCGAAGCTTTTCATCATATCAGCAATGGGAATCTCTCAATTAACAGTCGCCGTCATCGGCTGCGGTAAGTAGAAGGACAACTCAAACACAAGAGCACTGTTGACCTTATCCGCGAACAGGCACCCTAGGAACAGCCATCGCTGCTGGTATTCTCGAGCCAAGAGACAAGGAGAATTTTGAGGTCAAGCGCCTGATTTGCACTGTCGGAACCGAACCCTCCCAGCGACGAGTTGAAGCCGCCTTCTCCGAGCACAAATCACGGGTCACAGTCTTCACCCGAAGAAGAGAATATCCGCGCAGTGCAAGAAGCCGATGTGGTTCTGTTAGCCTTTAAGCCTTTCAAGCGAGCAGATGTCTTTGCGGTCCCGGGATTCAAAGAGGCTCTACGCGATAAGTTCGTCCTCAGCATTATGGCCGGCATCACCACCAATGAATTGAGTCGCCTAGTTTTCGGCGAAGACCATGCCACAGGCAGTGGAGCTTCGCTCCAGTCTGTACGTGCAATGCCCAACATGGCAGCGAGGATTCGAGAGGCTGTGACATTGTACACCCCTAGCTCCGCCACGTCCAAAGAGAACATAGAAATCGCATCTTGGGTATTCGGACAGGTCGGCGAGGCCCATCAGATCCCAGAGAAATCTTTCGATATCTGTGCAGTCTTGGTTGGTTGTGCCGGCTCGCTGCTGCTACTTGCCATTGATGGATTGTTGGATGCTGCCGTTGCTGAGGGCGTGAAGAGGCCCGAGGTACAGAACCTGGTAGTAAACAGTGCTATTGGTATGATGAAATTGGTACCAGCAGGTGATCATCCAAGTGTTCTGCGAGAGAAGATTGCTTCTCCTGGAGGTTGCTCTATTCGAGCTCTGTTGGAACTGGAAAAGCTAGGGGTTCGTCCCGCGTTCACAAGTGCTATCCTGGCAGCGGCGGAGAAATCCAAACAGATGTCATCTACTCGTTGAATAGCATCCTAGTATTTAAATACATTTTGTTGACCACATGCTTTGCTTACTGTTGAGGGCCACGAAACTAGAACTGCCCGGCAAAATCGAGAAGATAAGTATGGTGCATTCAATCTACGAAGAGAAGGCCTTTTATAGAAAGTCTGGGTAAGCAAAATAGAAAATAGGAAAGCCTCAGTCTCAAAAACAAGGCAGCTCATCTGTAGAGGACAGGATGAGCTAACACAAACCCCCCCCCCCCCACCCCGGGGGTCCGCCAACAATGCGATCATGGGTGGCTTCCAAGCAAAGACTTTATCAATTCTCTTTCCGATATGGTAGTAGAGCTCATTTCTCATAAAAGAAGGATGAAACGATGTAATGTCCAAAGCAGAATTTTTGGAAGGGCTGAGACTCGGGATCGAGTGGGTTTTCTGTTCATATCCATGGCTGTGACGTGTCAGAGCCTAAGGCCGAGTGTGTGCAGATGCCAAGATGACCATGACCCAATGAGAACCTATCATTGAGGAGTTTGAAGAACTCGGTCTTTGTACGGAGTACTGTGTCGAGACATGTCACATAGACAAAGTGAGGACCATGTCCCGGCCTGTTTGGTACTATGCGCGATACAAGATTGTGGTTTTACTGAGGAAGAAGGTACATATTCCCTAATATCGCCTTGAGCCAGATAAATCAGATTGTTAGAGTCTCATGTTATCAAAGTCAAAGCCCATTGAAGGACTGTTCTATATATCCTTTAACAAAAATACGCCTTTTTAAGTCATTCACATGCATGTAATAGTGGAGTTCCGACGAGGGGAATCAACATCGGATCCCCCTCCCGAGTCATGAACGCAATGAAGTAGGCCGACCACGCGAGCATAAAGCCTGTTATTTTCAGATTCTTCGATATATCTCAGATAGCAGAAGACCTTCTTCCCTTCTCAAATCATTCATAATGGCACTTGCCCAAAAGCCTCTCCGTTTGGCATTTCTCGGCTGTGGTAAGACAGAATATATGACTTCCTCTCGCTTTTACCATCAACACCAAATAGTTAACTGAGTAGATGTCCAGGTCACATAGGTACTGCACTACTGAGAGCTCTACTACCATCTATTCCTCAAGCCGGAAGTCCAATCTCCGAAATTACCGTTGCTCTCAACCGCAAAGAATCAGCAACCCGCCTCCAAAACCAGTTTCGCGACAGCCCGGCCCCAGTAAAGTTTGTTTCGCGTGAAAATGTCAAAGCAACGGCAAATGCAGACGCTATCCTATTTGCCTTCCCTCCCGATCAGATTCAGGGAATTCTGGGAGCTGTCGGAATGAGAGAAGCTCTAAAACACAAGATCATCATCAGCATTCTCGCGCGAACCCCGAGCACTGAAATCATCCGTCTTCTGGGGGATCACCAGACGTCCGGAAATGAAAATACTCAGATTATCCGCGCAATGCCAACCATAGGAACAGAGATCCATGAATCGGCAACTCTCATCGCTGAACCTTCTAGCAAGGCAACAGAGGCGATGGAATTGGCTTCATGGATCTTCAATCTGGTCGGAAAGGTCTTCCACGTTTCGGACAGTTATTTCGATACTGCAACTGGAATGAGTGCATTCTGTAATGCCCTTACGACGGTGGCGATACAAGCTATTGCGCAAAAGACCGTTGCTGAAGGGGTCCCCGTGCATCATGCCATCGCTATTTCCTCTCAATGCATTAGAGGGACAGTAAGCATGATTTTGGAGGGAACTCCACCTGAACAGTTGAAACAGTCATTATCTGCTCCCGGAAGCATAACTGGACAGGCCATTTCAAGGCTTGAAGAGAGAGGGTTGTTGGAATTGGTTGATTCGGAGCTCACGGGGGCTATTTCCAGAGCAAAGAATAGGACATAGCGCATGATTTAGATAGCGACTTGATATTATATCTCTACAACGAGGTATATTCATATCTTTTTCAATGTAAAGTCGGCTACCCCACAGCCAAGCTTTCCGAGCATCCAGGGTTCCCCTCAAACGTCATTTCGTCATTGTTCAACCAAATTCGCCTCTCTCCTTTTTTTTCCCAATAGTAACTCTGAAACCCAACATATCAATCCCAAAATGCCCTCTCTCACAGTAGCAGTCGCCCAATCCCGCACACACGACACCCTAGCTGAAACCCTCCGCGCCCTCGAACGAACAACCGCCCTCGCCGCCCGTCGCGGTGTCCACCTCCTCCTCTTCCCGGAAGCCTATCTAGGCGGATACCCGCGGACATGTTCGTTCGGTTCTGCGGTGGGAAGTCGACACCCGCGCGGCCGGGATCAATTCCTCGCGTACTTCAAGGCATCTGTTGACCTCGGCGATACGCCGGCTGGGGCCGGTGATGACTGGATTGGTCGCAGGCTGGAAATTGCGGAGGGGAAGAGGTTCCGGGGAGACGGGACGAGGGAGTTTCTTGAGCGTGTTGCGAGGGAGACTGGGGTTTTTATCGTTACGGGCTTGGTGGAAAGAGCCGGTGGTAGTTTGTATTGTGCTGTTGTTTATGTTGATCCTGTTAGAGGTGTGCTGGGGAAGAGGAGGAAGGTTATGCCGGTATGGATTTTGCTGTCTCTCCATCCACCGTTTCATTATCGATCCTATACTGATCTTCATAGACGGGCGCTGAACGCATGATCTGGGCTCAGGGATCTCCCTCGACCCTCCGCGCTGTTACAACAACCCTAAACGGTATCCCACTAACCATAGCCTCGGCAATCTGCTGGGAGAACTACATGCCCCTCCTACGTCAGAGTCTGTACTCCCAGAACGTCAATATCTATCTCGCTCCCACAGCCGATGCCCGTAGTACCTGGCTCCCGCTCATGCGCACCGTCGGCATAGAAGGCCGCTGCTTCGTGCTCTCGGCGAACCAGTGCGTGCGCGGCTCCGAGCTGCCGGAGTGGATTACCGGTGAGAATACAGGTCAAAGCCAGGATCGAAATCAAACCCAGGATATTACCATGGGTAAATCGCCGGATCCTGCTAGGAAACTGTCCATCACTACTGAGGGTCCGCATGAGATTGTCTGGCCGCAAACTCACAGTGAGGTCCAGGGTCAGAGCCAGGGTCAGGATCAGGCTGAGAGTTCTCCCGCGCCGAATACTAAGGATTCCCTGGCTCCTTCGAGCTCGGTACGGGATTATGTCTGTCGTGGTGGAAGTTGTATTGTCTCGCCGCTTGGGGAGGTTCTTGCTGGTCCGCTGTGGGAAGTCTGCACGGATGACGTGCCCGATAGTAGCGATGCTGCGGTGACGGATTCCGCACTTGGCATGTCGGCTACTGAGTCTAGTCCTACTGTCGCGGCGGGTGATGGGTTGGCTATCGCGTGCATTGACTTGGATGATTGTGAGCGTGGACGGCTTGATCTCGATGTTGCAGGGAGTTATTCGCGGAGCGATGCATTTAAATTCGAGGTTGAGGGGTTGGATCTGGCGCCACCGCCTTTGTAGGAATTTGAATTTACTGAATAGGGTATATGGTATTGATTCAAGGTATTGATGTGTTGGGGTACATGTATTCACTGAAAGTAATGGAATGAATATGAGTTCGTGAGCTACGAAGAATGCCGCTAAGAAACATGGAATTCCAAAACTTTCTACTCGAAAAGCACAATCATAGCAGAATCCCAGATTCTAGTCGTCAAGGCAAAGGAAAAATAGAAAGACTCGACCCCAACCTCAACTGCAAACTGCCACCGCTGAACGACTGAACGCCACGGGATATCAACGGATAGTAACAAGTCATGATCTTCGTCGCCATGCCAGCATGTGACAGCTCTGTTCTCTATGTACACCCTCCCATCATTTAGGTCAAGGATCATTTCAAGTGGTCCCGAATGTAATCCAACTGTACCCATCTAGCACTGTTTATTCCACTAGCCACACGGGCGACTTGATCAGCACCGTTGCAGGACCTTTGCCGCGCACTTCGACGGCCAGGAACGCAGCGAACCGGATACGCGGGTTGCTCGGGGCTACATCCGCAGGCTCGCTCTTGTCTTCGGTTGGTCCAGGCGCCGGCGCCGGACGACTGGTCTCGCCAGAGGCATGTTTGCGGCTTATCAATGCGCCAAAAATGGACTTCTTCGTGGGCTTTTGCTGTGCCGGCGAGGCGTTCTCTATCACTCCGGCGGTTGAGCCGGATGAGGCATCTCCCTCTATCGCGGCAGGCTCCTCGAGCTGTTCTTGGTCTGAGGGTGGCGGGGGCGGATGGCTCAGGGCGGGTAGTTGGCCTTCGACCTTCATGTATTGCTCGGCGAGGGAGATGCCTGGTGGGAAGTAATCGACGCAGACATCGCGGGCTTCAAGGGGGAATTTTCTCCGTGATGTTAATTGAGTTCTCAATGATCATGCGCACGCTTGCCTCTAGCCCTGGCAGCGCGGTTTCGTGCAGCTGGGATCCCATAAAGGCAGCGAGTTCCACGATCAAATGCTCGACTAGCTCGGCGCGATGTTTTTGGGCTTCGGGTCCAACTAAGGAATCACTCAGTCCGTCGAAGGTCGTGCGGCGCCAATAGGAGAGTCTCGCGGAGGCATTCTCGCGGTCTTCGTCGGATGATGGTCGCTGCCGTCGCAGGTTCATTTCGATATTCTTCAAGTACACGCTGAATGCTGGCTCCAAGGATGGATGGAAATAACGCTGGAATACTTCTTCTACTAGCCATCGGCTGATTACCGCACGTCCGACAGCGGTCATTTCTTTCGTGCCGACCGATAAAGCATCGTCGGTGACCATTCCATTCAGCCAGGATGGAATACTGCGCCAATCTTTGCGCACTGAGAATGCTAGGTCTTTAATTGCTCCGTCAAGTCGCTGGAATCGGTTGGTATATTCATTATCGTCAAGTACGGTACGCGACACCGCCATCCGTTGGTGCGCTACCGTGTTCTGGAGATGCTGAACCTGCGCATCTTTTTCAAAGTAGTACCGTTTCACCTTGGAATACTTGGCCTCTGCTCATCGTTAGTTTACTGAAAAGCAAAACCGGAATCAAATTCCTTACGGAGTTCATCATGTTTCTGGATCAATGCCCGCACGTCCACTTCCCCGGAATCCTCGCGGCGGTGTGTAATGGTGGGTGTGCTCCGTCCGGGATCAGGCATGTTGTTTGACACACTGCCCTGCCGACTGCGGTTCTGCTGCGGAGAACCTGTAGATCTTTGCCTATCCAACTGGTGAAACTGACTCTGGTTCTGGGATTCCTGCGCGGAAGACTGCATGGCGTCAGGATAATTGGACTGTAACGGGGAAAGCGGCTCGTGAGACTGCTGGGATGGGGGCCGGGTATTCAATACCGGATCCTGAGGAGGGGAGAAAGCCTGTCCCCGATGAAGATGTTCCGACGCGTATCGCGGTGATTCGGGGACAATATCGGTGGGCGACGGGCGGACGTACTGTTCAAGCAGGGTTGAGTCGGTGGTGGACCGCTGCAGTTTTGTATGAAGCGGTTGCAAACGTGGCTGTGACCACGCGGAGTTGTCTTGTGCGTGAGCTGGATGGGAAGGTCGGGGACCTCGTTGAGCCTGGTATTGCTGTTGGTGGGCAAGAGATGGTGTGGTTAACGGTGAGGGGTTCTCCGCGTAGGAATGCCGATGTGGGTGAAACTCGTCAGTCTCGTCCAGGGTCTCTGGATGAAAAGTCCCGGGTGAGGTAGGTTGTGAGATGGGAAGGGAGATTGTTTTGCCCTTCACAGAGGCGCTGCGCTCGACACGGCCCTTTTTGCGATGCGAGTCGTCAGGGGCCACAACGTTGACGGTCGGTCGGTCACGCAAAGGTTTATGGCGCTGACTCTGTGACCTATTTAAAGTCTGAGGCTGATTTTGCACAGAACCAACAGAGTACTCGAATTGTGAAAGGCGCCGGTCTGAGTCGGCGGCTATGTTGGGGTCCGGTGGAGCAAACGCGGGGCGGGCCAACTGTTCGTCGCTGCGCATAGAATGATGACTTGTCCGATTCGAAGGCGACCTGCTTTTAAAGAGGTTGCGCATCACTGCTTCTGATGGGGAAAAAAGAAAAGGGGAGAGGGAGAGAGAGGGGCAGAGGCTGATTTGGTGGACCTGGGGTCGACGGGCCGTGATTGGAGAGCTTGTTCTATATATAGGGTAAACAATGGATGGTGTTGGACTTTGCAGCGCAGTATAGTTACCTAGGTACAGTATTTGAATGCTGTAACTGATATATAATAGATAAATTAATAGCATAGTATCTAATACAATTAGCGCTCGTGGCAATGACAGGTGACACCAGGGCAAGTGTACGTAAATATCCTCTCTACTTTATATCAGTCTTGACTACGGAGTACACCCGGGACGGTTATGTATAGCTATATGAAAGGACTCAAAGAAAAATAAACGTTTGAAAGAACAGCACTACAATGTCCTATATAGGCAATCCAAATTTGAATACTTTAGATGAAATGGAGAACATCGAAACGAACACGAGACATATACGAGCCTCGTCATCTACAACATACCATACTTCGGTTATAAGTCGCCCCCAAATTCTTTGAGACTATATAAAAGAGAAATTAAGGACCCGCTCTCCAGGCGAAGCAAATTATAATTCTCGTATGAAGCACCATTCCCCACTCCAAGAATGGTGGAGTCGAAATATGTGAGAGAGCATTTCCTCTGAGCCTCGGACCAACGCGTCTGGGGCTGAGCTCAAGCAGACACGCGTACGGAGTAGACAAAAATCGACATCTTACTATTAGGCTCTTCTACTTCAAAACTCGAAAGCGATACTGCTCCTTCCGATCCAAAAATACAACCTTGTCCAATAACCCCGCCGCCTCGACCATACGCTTGAAATCTTCTAGCGGACTTGCGAACACGTCGTAGTCATCATAATGGATCGGAATTGTAACGTCTGGTCGAATCAGCTGGATCAATTTCAGACCCTGCTCCGCATCCATGGTGACCATCAACGCTAGCGGTTCCATTAGTCTTCCTACTAATGGAGAAGGGATGGTTGTGCCGCCGAGGTGGGCGAGCATCAGGTCGATCCGTTGGCCTGCGTATCGCCTGGGAATTTCCTGCAGCTCGTCTACTAGTAGTGTGTCCCCCGAGATGTAGATGCGATAACCGCAGGAGAAGTCTGCAGTATTGGGTCTGCCATGTCCTAACTCGAGCATCCAGCCGTTGGTTGGCGGGACCTGTTGGTTTGTTAGGTTGGGATCCGACTAACTAGGAACGTCCAGAAAAAAGAAGAAAAAAACCACTCACCGCACTGGCTAGCTCGTTGAGCGTCTCCACCACTGGATTAGGAGGCACATGTTTCCCCGGCATCCCCGTCACACGCAGTCGGGGCTGTTCTGGCTGTTCTGTGCCTTCAATATTCACCTCGAACTGTTCAAATGGATTGAGAGCGGACACAGATGTAAACGGGTCCTTTTTCTGGGAAGTGAGATGCTGCGCCGCATGTGGTGTAGTGATAATGGGTAGATCGCGCCTCAATGAAGCCTCAACCTTTTTATCAAAGTGGTCCCTGGCAATATTAATGATCTGCTCAACACCTCTACGCTCCGGGACATACTCGTGATAGTGGGAGAGAAGGACAAGATCAATCTGAGGGAGGTCGTGCAGGTCGATAGCTGGGTCGGTGAGGCGCTTACTTGACACTCCTGGACCGAGGTGGACATGGTCGCCTGCATGGAGGAAATTGGGCTATCATAGTCAGTCTGTGAGCATTAGGCTGCCCATCAAGAGCTTACATCCGTCATGATCCGTATTCCAGCCCATTCTCTGCTTCGTTTAGTACACGCTCATAAAATTCCTAGATCTGCACAGACATGATTGTTGTGGCCGTCCCAACAAAGAATACGGCTGCATTCTCATCGCCTGATTTGGATGGATGAAGCTTCATCGCCTTGGCTGGTGGAAGGTGAGCCGGGGTAGAAGTCGATGGTGGAAGGTCTCGGGTTGGGGGATTATTCCCCTTCGGGTCAATTGAGATACGCTCCATGATAACATGTAAGTGAGGGGATAAATGGTAGGAAAGAAAGCACTGCAGCTTTGGAGGGGTGTTTGACTACTCTTATATACCTAGGTAAGTCTTCGTATGCATGACATCATAATCGATGATGGATTCAATAGCAAAAGCTGGTTGCTTGTTATAAGAGAACCATCTGAAGGCTATCTCCCGCAAATCAGCGCGAGTTAGTTTTCCAGGTTTATTGATTCATTCATTTCATTTCCATGGTCCATACGCTACTAGATATCAACCAAGATGTGTTGGATCCTGTCATAGGAACACAAGATACTCTCCAGGGCTCCAAGTCTGCGTGCGGCACTGATATAATTCATCCTCGAAACTACCTAGATACTCTATCCGACCCTCCCTTTGCACAGCATATTCTGAAGAGGAGCAATAGGGTGTTGAAGAACGGACGAAACTAACACACGCCATGTGTCTTGCCAGTCTGTCCTTGCAACGAGTGTTTCTCGCCCATGTAGTGAGCGTGAACGCGCGACTGGTGCCGAGGATGGTTGCGGTGGTTTTTCATATGTCTGTTGAGCTGTCAGTATAGAAATAGGAACATCTAGGACAGAAGAAACGTACGTCTTGTACTTGTCAAGCATGGATTTGTCCATAGCATCCAAAGTCTCGATAGCAAGTTTGAAGTCCTGGAGCAAGCTGTCGCATCGGTGCATGCTGAAATCTTCGCGGATGACAATGCGCATCATCTGCAGCTTCTCGCTGTTGGGTGCCATAGTGTACGCAGGCACAATCCAGCCCCGCTCACGTAGCTGGTGGGCCACAGCAAATTCATCGTAGATACGGCTGTCGTCTGTGGGAAGGCGCCAGGCCACCAGCGGCAGGCCCCGACCCTGCGTCTGGCTCAATATGACCATGCCCATCTTTTCAAACTCCGAAGACATGTAGTCGCTTATGCGAGTAATGTTGGACATAATTGCGCGGTAGCCGTGTTTACCCAGGCGGATCAGCTGGTAGTACTGCCCAATAACATGAGAAGCGCCCTTGGAGAAGTTCAAAGTAAAGCTGGCCTGGTCAGCTCCTAGATAGTTGATGTTGAACACCAATTCCTGGGGTAGGTACTCCGGAGAGCGCCAGATGACCCATCCGACACCGGGATAGACCAGACCATACTTGTGACCAGAGACGTTGATGGAAACCACCTTTTCCAGGCGGAAGTCCCACTTAAGATCAGGCTGGATGAATGGAGCGACAAAGCCACCACTAGCTGCATCAACGTGGATTGGGCAGTCGATATTACGCTCCACTAGTAGATCATTGATCGCCTTGACATCCTCGTACTCGCCGGTGTAGGTGGTACCCAAGATAGCGCAGATACCGATTGTGTTCTCATCCACCAAATCGACTGCCTGTTTTGGGTCGATCACGAAGCGAGTTTCGGTGCAGTAGACGTACTTCTCCTCGATCTCGAAGTAACGAGCAGCCTTTTCCCAGCAGACCTGGACAGCACTGTTCATGATGATGTTGGGACGCGAGTAGTCCTTGCCCTCAGCCTTGCGCTTGTTCTGCCATCGCTTCTTCATAGCCAGTGTTCCCAGCATAATAGCTTCGGAAGACCCAATGGTTGAAGTACCCATGGCATTCTCACCGGAGGCATCAGTGGGAATGTGAAAGAGTCTAGCAATCATATTCACGCATCGGTTCTGGATCTCGGCGGAGTGGGGATATTCCTCGTAATCAATGAAGTTCTTGCTGAAAGATTCGGTCATTATCTGTTCGATCTCGTCTTCCATGTAGGTGGTGACGAAACTAGCGAGGTTGAGCTTGGGATTACCGTCCAGACTCAGCTCATCCTTGATCATACGAGCTGCAATCTGGCGAGGCATCTCTCGCTCTGGAATTTCATGCAGAGGCATATGATCAGCGGCAAAGTGACTGCCGTAGACATTGGTTTCGAAGTCATCTATGTCCGGAGGAGCAATAGAGACAATGTCATGAGTAGGGGGTGGGACCTCATTGTCCTTCTTAACTTTAGCGAGATGGACCATAATTGCGAATGCAAAAGATAAAAGCTCAAAAAGCAAATAAACAGCAGCAATTGAAGGAATTGAAGGAATAGGAGAGGGAAGCAGGGAAACGATAAATACGCCAGGTGGACGTGCGCGGTGCTTTGATGACGCAGGAGACACACCGAACCACCTGGGCAACCTGGGGCACTTCAATCAGCCCATCACTTTTTCTTCTGCTTCTTCTACCTTTTCTACTTATTATTCCTTTTATATACGTTGTTCAATATTTCTATTCCAATCTACTTTCTCTCTTCTACTATGTATTCATATACACAAGACTCCCCCAGAGGAGAACCCAGCGCTGCTAAAGCTTGGTCAAAGCTTGGCAAGGCGAAGTGACGATCCCGATGGACCCGGTCTGCCCCTCTCATATGGAGCCACTTGGAATGGGAAGAGGTCCAAGAGTCCACTCAGAGCTTACTCTCGCGCAGAGTTTCCACTTGGGCGAATTGATAGTAGAAGTCCAAGCTCTTCGGGTTGAGCAGTGTACCCGACGGCTTTATGATTTTTCCAGACACAATCTGCTTCACAGGGAGCTCCACCTTTTTCAGGTTGACCGTGGTCTGTGACGATATACGTGGGTCAGTCCCGCTTTTACAGATCTTGTTTTCCCTACAAAAGTACGTACCGGGATTTCAGGGGTCTCGAACGTGAACATGGGCACATGGCGAGGGCTCAGCTCTGCACGGATCGCACTTTTCACTCGTGCAACCAGGTCCGGTGTGAACGCCACCCCTGGTCTCATGAGCAAAAAGAGTATAACCCGCTCATCCGTATCTGTTGGTCGTCGCTGGCCTACGCATATGGAATCGCTAATTTCTTTCGAAAATTGGCCCTCGAGTACCCGATAGATCTCGGCCGATCCAAACCGCACTCCCGACGGGTTGAGAACCCCATCAGCGCGTCCGTGAAACAGGATCTGTTTCGTGATTGGATGGATGGAAACGAAGTCCCCGTGTGTCCACACATCTGGAGAGAATTAGCGACCATAGTCATAGGCACAGGGGAGAGTGGCCCCACTGTCGAATCTCTCGAAATACGCATCATGGTACTTCTTGCCGCTCTCATCACCCCAAAATAGTGTGGGCATGTTGGGAAAAGCAGATGTGGCGACCAATTCGCCTGGAACACCGTCCTCCACGGGTACTCCCTTGATCCCGTCGCCGCCCTCAATCGTAGAGTTCGTAAACCTCCACGGGAATGCCCAGACTGCATCCGGCGCACCCACCAACGTATAGTGGGACAAGGGGGTTGCCTGTTCCAAAGCATCCTGCAATATCAGTGCCCCCAGAAATATTATTCAGACGAGTATGGGATGGGAACCCTTCGTCATAGAACCACTCAAACAATGCATCCCGAAGAACCATGCCAGTGCTTGTGACAACCCGTAACGAGCTGAGATCAACTTTCTCGCGGGGTCTGATCTTAGCCTGTTGTAACTCATGGAGCCACCGGGGTGATATTCCAAGGTGGGTCACCCTGCAATTGATTAGCCGGGGACTTCAAATGTACATCGTGGAGTGAATGTCAACAGAAGGACGACTTACTTCTCCTGCGCTGCGAGATCAATCAAAGCAGTGATACCTGGGATAAATGGGCTTCCATCATACAGCACCACCCGCACCCCAAAGAGTAAAGTCTGCACAGCACTCATATACATAATCCATCCTGTTGTCGTATATTGTAAGGTCACACAGTCAGGCCCGAGATCACCATGCAATCTCCCCTCCTTGCTCGAGTTTAGAAGCACGCCCCCCACAGAATGGACGATACACTTCGGCTGTCCTGTTGTGCCAGACGAGTAAACCACCAAGAAGGGATCGCGGAATCCAACTCTTTCAAATTCGAGTTTCTCATTTCCGCCCGCCTTTTCGAGGAACTCCGCCAGAGTCTTGGTCCCAGGGATGGAGTTGATATCCGCCGGCCGCGAAGAGAACCGAGGTAGTGAGATGACTCCCTCAAATTCAGGAACAGACTTCATGCCTTTCACGATTTCCCCAATCTTCGATCGCAAGTCGATGGTCTTACCGTTATAAACAGCCAGGTCGTCCATAAACAGCCAGCGAGGCTTGATCTGAAGCAGCCTATCCAAAACGCCTTTAGTACCCATATCCGTGGAACTAGACGAGAAGATAGCTCCCAGAGCCGTTGACGCCAGGAACACAAGTAGTGTATCAATGCTATTCGCCGCGCAGAGAGCAATACGATCACCCCGAACGACCCCATGAGCCTTCATAGCCTGGACCAGCGCTCCGGTCCGTCGTCGGAGCTCGCCCCAGGTGAGATGGATAACCTCATGCGCAGCGCCTTCTCGAACTTCGCTAACAGCAATCTTGTTGTCTTCCTTGTCTGTTTTGTCGCCAGCAGTGCGCGAGAAAAGCAGGTTCTCGGCGAAGTTCAGACGCACACCGGCGAACCACTCGGGTACGCTGTCCATTCGAGCGGATTCATCGACTACCTTTGTGTAAGAGCCCTCGTGGATCAGTTGGAAGTATTTCCAGCAGAATTCCCAGAACGCTGAACGGTTCTTGACTGAATACAGGTACATATCATGGAAGGACTGGGAGAAGTTAGATAGATAGTATATTTACATAGACTAATTTCACTCACGTCGAACTTGCGTCCGGTGGATTTCTCTAGGTCTCGCTGGAAGTGACCCATTTGGGTCGACTCGGGGGCTGGATGCTGCCATAGTTTACGTGGAAGAGATGTCATCTTGAAGAATTCAATAGTAATATGTGAAAAATGTAGAGTTTCCCCGGATTTATACACTCCTTGGAAGGTTACCGAGGCCCGAAGCAGCTTTAAGCGGGTAACCTGCGGCCCCGGGGGAACCCCGCTTGGAGATGTGGCTAGACCTATTCTGTACATATGTACATATTGGACATCTACACATCTTCCAAGGTTAGTATTAACCATATCGCTTACCACTTGAGTCTTTTCAAGAAGGGGTATGGGAACAACCGCTCGAGGAACGGAGAATCAGGCCGCCAGTATGGCAGGTGTTTTTATCTACTTGCTGGATGGACTCCCTAACATGGACTATATTCTGAGCTGAATGGTAGCGTCTCACTACGTATTGACTAGAGAGAGGGAGATAATATATTTTATGGTCAGAATGTAAAGATTAAGAAACTAAGACCAAGAGAAACAGGTAGTAAAATTAGATCGTATGAGCCACCAGTCAACCAAGGGGTCATTGGGCTACGGTTCCACGAGAATTTCGATATTAGTACATAAATAACTCATTAAGGTAACATGTCTAGGTAACTAACAACCGTAGGCATCTGGATCAACTTCAGGAGAGAAGCAGCTGCTAAATATGATGTGGTAGGACTGGGTTGTGCCTTCCTTCTTACGCGCCTTCCCTTTCAAGCTCACCTTCCCTATTCCTTTCCAATGTCCTTTCTCCTTTCTCCTTTCTCCTTTCTCTCTTCGTCTACTCTCACTCATACAAACTCTGTCACCATGGAAACGCATGGCCTGGGAACGAGAGTCCATATTCGATTGGATCAACTTTCAGGAAGTTCGCTGACAGAAAGGCCATTCAACCTTGAGGTTGGGTCCCCCAAACCCTAATATACCTGGGTGTATCCATGAATGGGGAGAATTCAAGATCCCAAGCGACAACCTGTCCTAAAAGGATAATCCAAGCTACGCAAAATCACTTACCTCTCTTCTTGTCTGTAAGTTACGATATCTTCATAGGAGCCTGCGCGAGAATTAACACAGCATTCAAATGTTGTTATAGCCATCGAAATCTCAAATGACCCACAAGATCGATATCCGTCTGCTGAAATGTCGTATCGATACTACTCACCAATATTCCTGTTCCTAAGGAGAAGGATTGGGAACCTTCGAATTGCTCGAGGTCGGCAAAATCCGAGTGATTAATTGTTCTGCATAGCCTTGCAAGGTAAGTTTATTATGTCCAACGGACTACCTAGGTATGTAAATTTCCAATGTTGATGACTGTATAGAGCAGAATCAGAACCTTTTCAACATCGGCCTGATAGCCAATTATGCGCCATGCCGCATCAGACAGACATGATGCCTGTGCGCCATCCGGAGTCATAGTGGGAGTGACCACCTGGTAGTCGATATGAAAAGGACCAGAAGCATATAGCAACAAAGCTAATTATTTTACAGCAATCAACATTTTGCAACAGCCTCCACGGAGAGATGGTCGGAAGGAATCAAATCCAAGCCACAACGCATACCTGTATGATACATAATTGAGCATCAGGATGTGCCCCGTATGAGAGGAATCTTATCCCAGATTAAGAGACCATGGTAGGAGAGAATGTCGGGGACGTCAATATTAACGGAGAACCTTTGCCACTAGCACAGAAAAGGCCAAAGGCAACTCAATGGGCCCCACAGAAACACACCAGCTACTTCAGAGGACATAATTGTCTTAGATATAGGAGAAAATTCACCCCTGCGGGCTTGATGGCATGGGGGTAGTCCCTACCTAAGTAATCCCGCCATGACAGCACTCATTGCGTCGGATGGAAGCAAACTTACCATTGCTATGGATGAATATTACGACTACAAGATTAGCCCTTATGATTTTGATCCCCCACAATGTTTTCCCAGAATCACCAACTTGGGCAATCGGATTTCAGAAGGTCTCAGTGGCCCATCAGGGTGTCGTGCTCTACGGGGTGTCATGTTGGTGATCTTGTGTCTCCACTGGAGCTACCCCCTCACCAATGACGACCAAAGTGGATTGCGATGATACTAGAATAGAGAGAAGTCTGATTCGTCGGGGAAGGGAGTCATTGAAGCTCCATACGATGTTCATCTGGAGCTACGCATTGACACCTGACTAGCGGTGTACATCAGACAACTTGGGCCCAACACTCTGAAGTCATCCACTTGGAACAATTTACTTTTACATTAAAAGGCCCTAGGACACAAATAATAAGCACTATGATTCTGATTCTGATATATAATTTCAACTGGTGTATCATCAAAGCCTGACAAAAGAAAGAAAAACAAAGCCTGAGGCAGCCGGAGCTAGCCTGCAAGCCCCAACATCCACATCCCCACCTAGCGTACAACACATATCATACACCGGCTCTCTCACTCCACAGTAATTAATTACTTATTTGAACTTGCGCTTCAACCAGGACAAGAACCCGCCCTTCTTCTTCTCGACCTGCTCGGCTACCTCAGATGTCTTCTGAGTCTCTTGCTGGGCCTTACCGGCCTCCTCCTTGACAGGCTCAGCCTTGGTCTCAGGCTTGGGTGCCTCAGCCTTAGGCAGCGGCTCCTCGCCACGCTTCAGGGCAGCTTCGGGCTTCTTGGGCTCAGCCTCCTTGGCAACAACCGGCGCGGCAGCCGGAGCAGCAGCTGGGGCAGCAGCCTTATCGCCCTTGGAAGAGAGGATGGCAGCGTTTGCGGCGGCGACCGCTTCAGGAGAGGAGGTAGGCTTGCCGGCGCTGGACTGAGCAGCGGTAGTCTTGGGGGCAGACTCGGCGGGGATTTTCTCCTCAGCGACCTTAGGTGCCTCGGTGACCTTCTTCTCCTCGGCAACCTTGGGTGCCTCAGCAACCTCCTTGGGTGCCTCGACCTTCTCCTCGGCGACCTTCTCTTCAGCAACCTTGGGTGTCTCAGCAACCTCCTTAGGTGCCTCGACCTTCTCCTCGGCGATCTTGGGAGCCTCAGCGACCCTCTCCTCGACCTTAGGTGTCTCGGCAACCTTGGATGCCTCATCCTGGACAGGAACAGGCTCAGGGGTCGTGAGCGCAGCAGTGGAAGCGGGTCCAGCACCGGCCAAGGTATCGACGATCTTCTTCTTCTCCTCCGGCACGCTAGCCGGGAGCGCCTCCTCGTCCGTCTTGGGCATCTTGTGGGGCTTCAAGTTCTCCTCGGTGTTGAAGATGGGCTTCTCATACGGGCGCTTGGGGTGGGCAGCATCACTCTCGACGGGGGCGGCAATAGGCGCGGGCGCATCGACAGCCGGGGCAGTTGATTCCGAGGTCTTGGGGCGCTCGGCCAGTGTCGCAGGAACGCCGGCCGTGGCGGCCAAGGAAGCGGGCTCCTTCGGGGTCGACTCCGGGAGGATAGCTGCAGGTTTCCAGGTTAGTTCCATCTTTGTCGCATTTTTACTAACACGTGTCATACCGGTGCCTGCGGCGGCGCCATCTTCCAACTCGCCCAGCTGGCCGGCCTTGGAGGCCCGCGCTTTCTCCACAGCCTCATCCACTGCTACCCTCTGTCGCAAGAGCCTTCTCGGCCTTCACAGCCTCTTTGGTCTCCACATCCTTGGTCTCCGCCACAGCTGGGATCTCAGTTGCGGGGGCTTCGGTCGCGGGGGTGGCCTCGGGCGCCTTGACGGGCTCGGTGATGGGCTCGGCGACGGTCTCAGTAGGCTGTGTCGCAGTCTCGGGCGTGACAGTCTGCTCGGCGGTTTCAGTCTGACCTTCGGTTTGATCGGGTTCACTAAAGAGTTAGATGGTGATGTGGCATAATTGGATTTTCCAACTTACACCACGTCCTTGACAGTCTCTACCGCAGCGGCGACGGGCTTGCTGCCCTTCTTGTTCTTCTTTCCTCCTTTCTTACCCATGATTGAATTGATTCTGCGCTGGTCAGAATATGAAAGATAGTAAAAAGCGAAGTTAACTTACTATAGTAGTGAAGTGTAGGAAGGAAGAAGTCAAGTAAGGGATGACGCGGTATGTTCTCTTCTCTAGGGTTCTTGGATCCGTGGTGAGAACAGTTCTGGAACACAAAGTATCACAAATTTAATCTCTTTCTTTTTCTTTTTCTGCTTTTCTTTTTTTAGTTCTTTAGTTCTTTAGTTATTATTAGATTCAAATGCATTCAATTTTCTATTCTAAAAGGATTGAATTCGTTATACATGTCTTTTTCCTTTTGTTACTCTACATTCCTCCGCATGCGATCGATGTCTTTCATAGTTGGTCGTGTGAGCATGGGCCAGCCCTAACGTCTGCATCGGGTAAATAGGGTTGTGCCTGCGCAACTAGGGACCGTCCAGGGGTACTCAGGGCAGGGACCTCAAGGATGATCTGGGGAAAGGCGCAAAGTCTAACGCAGTATGTATCCCATTATTTCCCAAGTTATTCAGGAACTACCCAGGTGGACATTCTTCGTGGAGAAAGGGTCCAGGGCAAAATAGCGATTACATCATCTCTAAAAGGAGCCCTGGAGAGAAGAATAACAAAAGACGAAAATAGTGATCATAAAAATAGTACAACATAAAAAGGAAATGAGCAAAATGCAAGGTCCATGGCTTTGAAAGCCTCCAATACAGTCAGAAATAGTACCCCACTATGTATGTTGTTAGATGTACTTTGTCTCTGTCCTACAAAGCAGTTTGGGTCATGCATAAACATTATGATGATGCTAGCTCCGTCTTTGATCCAAACTATGAGGTCATCAATGTACATAATAACATCGCACACAGTAAATAAAACCAAAGCCCAAAAAAAAAAATATACAACGCGAATTATGTAGGATATATTAAAAAGAAGTGACCGACGCAGGGATCGAACCTGCAATCTCTTGATTCGTAGTCAAGCGCCTTGCCATTGGGCCAGCCGGCCATGTGTTGTGTCATTGAGACAAAATGTGCATTATTAGCCAATAGGTGCCCTGCTACACAATAATCTTTGGACGCTGTAAATTAAAACAAAATCCAAAAAGATAAACCATATAATTGTACTACAAATATATAAAAAAGAAGTGACCGACGCAGGGATCGAACCTGCAATCTCTTGATTCGAAGTCAAGCGCCTTGCCATTGGGCCAGCCGGCCTAATATATATATTTTTGCGAAAATGTGCATTATTAACCAGACCCACGTGATAGGCAGGCAAACGCGGCAAAAGTGTGCCGAGTGGGGGCAAGCGGGGCAATCGGGCAAGCCAAGTTCCACTCCGATTCCGATTTATTCCCGTCCACGCGTACTTCTGCCATTTCATGACATTTCATGACACATCCTCTTACAAGATAGTATGATGTAACAGTGAGGCTCTCATCTGGCCGAGTTTTCTGGAAGCCTTCGCTGCAGTACTAGGTACGGACGCCACTGACATCTCACATCTCGATGGATGATCATATTTTATTATCCTTGATTCGTGACACCTGAACATATGGAGAATCTGGAGGATCCAGTTCGCTACCACTATAATGTCAGTCCTATATAGCCTAAGTGCAATAGTAACAGTGACATTACAATTCCTTGGCCCAGACTCGGCCGGTTCTCGGGTCACTTACTCGGAAATTAATTTCACTTTAACATTATCCAAAGTGTTGGAGTTCAAGATTGACTCTATAATATGTTAAGAGTATATATGTTGTATGTTGTAGTCACTAGTTTTTAATATTGAAGTAATATAAAGCGAATAGTTAATAGGATAATGCAAATGTCTTCTCGCACAGACAGTGGATTCGTTAGAGGCCGCTATTGCCGTTGCTTTTGCCCCAATATCCTCACCGGATATGGACCGGAGATGCTTCTGGGGTACCCGGACATCCATCCCACCTGGGCACTTCCTTATCTCTTGCCGTTGCATCCAGAGTTCCATAATACTATAATTCCCGCATTTCCCTCATTTTACTTCCTTCTGTCCTTCTTGTACTTTTCTCCCCTCCTCTATATCCTCATGAAATGATTACACTGTTCCTGATCCAAAACCCCCGCTATTCGTGCTTGCACATCCACCGCGTCCGTTCCCAATCCGGGAGTGGTATGCACCACTGAGGCATTTTCTCCAGGAACCGCCCGCATTGATCTCTGAACTTCTTGAATTTGAATCTTGAATATCCCAGTTCACAGTTCTTTTCTATTTCCCGATATGACGTTCCGCGAGAAGGTCAAGCGGGTGTTCCGCTCCAAATCCAAAAATGATGGAAAGCCCAAGATCGAATATTACAGACGACACGAGTGTCCCCCTTCGAAATTTCGGGGTCCCTTCGACCGTGAACACCAAAAAAGCCTAGCCGCTTGGTCCTTCCAGGGTGCGATGGTCGAACGGACTCGTTCACTTGAAATCTCCGTGTCGCCCTGTGACACTTATAAAGGTTCCGACGATTACTCCGGTCCATCCGATACTGACAACTCGGTGTCTCCGGATGATGGAGCCGATCTTGATCCAGGTACGCATTCCCAGCCCTAATCGAAATATTCAACCCTATCAAGGAAAAAATATATTCTAACCTCAATTCTTTCGATAGCCTCCTCCAACCCAGAGGCCCCTGCTGAATCATCCCCACGAGCCGCCGACTCTGGCTCCCAGTCCTCCACCATCGTCAACCCTTCCAGCTACAATGGCTCAATGATGACCCTGATAAACGAGGGCTCTTTCTACGAGATCCCCGAGGATTCAAAGGACCCCAAGTTCTTCCTCAAGGAGTCCATTCGCTACTCGTCACCCCTCGTCCAGGCCATCTCGCCCGCCATGACCCCGTGCGTCATGTCCGCCCGAAAGGACCTCCCTTTCGCCCCCGAGGATCTCACCCGCGCCTTGATCGCCGTCCAGGTCTGCGCCTGATTGATCCATCCCTTATCGGCTACTTTCTTCACATCCAAGTGATGTGTTCCTCTTTCGAATCATCCCTTCCATTCCTCAGGACTCGATGTCTTGTATTTATTTAACCCTCTTTTTTTGGCTGCCTTTTGGATCCCTTCGGACCACGGTCGGACATCACTCTCTCGATACCATTTTGAGTGTTGATGTCCGCTATCCCTGAAACGCCATACTGGCACGCTGTTTCACTCTTATCGCTTGCCGAGTCGCTCCTCGCTAGATGCCAAGGACTTCCGGTCAGCGATCGTCTTTCCCTCACATCTGTTATGCATTTGCATCTAAGCGTATACCCGTTAAGGATTTTGCTTTTTTTTTATTTTTTTTGGCGGGGTCTGTTGGTCATTTTGCTTTGATGGTTTTAACCCATCCACCCCTGGCTTCGTGAGCCATTGCTCTTATCACGATATACACGTCGCGAATGTCTCTCTTAGATGGTCTAGAGAAAAAAATATAACAATATAACGTTGCCAGAGATAAATTTCCGGCTTTCACCTGAACTATAAACTTAAAGTCATTAAATTTAAAAGGTCTAACGGCCGATCTATATAGATCGCTCTAGATCCTAAGTTTTCCAGACGTTCTCGAAGAATCTCCCAACCCCGCCGAAGGCCAAGCTTTCTTTCCCCGCGCTAAGATCGCACATCGCTCTATTCCGGTAATGATTCGTGTGATCGCCGGGTTCCAAGGTTTATCACTGATGGACGTTTCTGTCAGCATGATGTCCGTCAAAATGCCAAATGGGATGACGTTTGTCGCGTTATGGTTGGATATATTTTGTGAGGTCTTGGTGTCGGTTTGATGTTGATCTGGGCTACAGGTGGTTATACTACATAGGGCGCATCGCCAACTAGTTGCGCTTGTAATGCTATCCGGATTCCCGACAATCAAAATCTTCTTACGACTAATATGGACCGAAGAACAAATTCGACGACGCCATTACACTGTTGCCGCATATCCTTGAAGACGTGCAGTGTGTGGTGTAGATCAATCCTGTGCGCTAGCTTTGCAAAGAGAAACTAGGGCTCATATCTTACATCCTAAGTAAATACGCATTAAAAAGACTAAACAGGTCCAATCCCAATTAATAGTTACAAAGCCAATAGATACTTATTCGTCGCCCTATAAGGATGAACCCGCGGGTGGTCAAGATCCGGGTAACGGGGCGGGGCGACCCTTTCACAGATTTCGATGTCTACCTGCGCTGAAGACAGACACGGACAATGTTTCCAGATTGGCTAATTGGCTTCTACTTTTATCTAAATTCATAGGGAGAGATTCAACTTAATCAAGAACGTCATGATCAAAAACATCAATAATCTGGGGCAAGTTTCCAAATCTAAACGTCGCAAAGACCAGTCTTATATGGCATTTAGAGGTTGCTGCAAGGCAGAAGTAATTGTTTGCTCTATTCTTCAACACTATCTACATACGTACTTGAGTTTCTCAAATTACATCATCTTATACTATGTAAACCTTGGAAAGGTCCATGGGTGAGATATTTATGGTTTCTTTATGGCAACCATGCGCTGTCTCCACTCCTTCTAGCTGAAACGCAATAAGTAAAGAAACCAAAGGTCCACTCTTATAGGCTCATGTATGTGGATAACATTGATAAAATTCGTTCGAAGAATTACTTTAGCAAGACAAAGGAGCTGGATAAAGTGGGAAATATAACCGCTGATCTTCTTCGCGGGATTCACAGTGGTAGGCCTGTCAAGTTGAGAATTATACAGGAAGGTGCGAGAACTATCTGAGAGACAATAGGGTCTACAGGCCAAAAGCTAGCCTATGTGGCTAAGCGTTCGAATGCGTGCCTAAGTGTTTTCCCACTCTAAGCTGTTCATACCAAGCCTTAAAACTATGATAGTCCGTGGTTCCAAGGTAGTGTCTTCTGGTGTCCGGTAATACTACTTGAATTAATACATCATGCTATTCGATGAATAAATTGTGCGAAATTTGAGTTTGTCTCAGAAGTCGTTCGAAGTAGAGTGGTAATATATATTCGTATCCTCCCAATTTCGCCCACTCAAATTCTACAACCTCAAATTTGGCTGATATATGCTTTACTAGTTTCAATTACTCGCTAGAAAATTGTAATACGTTCAAAGAAAGGCAAAATAATATTTCTTTGACTGTTCGGCCAAGTTCCCATTGGTTGAAGTTTCCAAGGTTGTCATGTCCTATTAAGTTTATCACATGATCAGCTTCGCCCTAGGTCGAAGCTGGATAAATTATTTATATGAACACTACTCTGTATAGACTATAGGAGAATGCATGGAAATCAGCTTAGTAAATCACATATATGTTCTGGGATGAGCTATGCTCAACGTATTATGATAGTGAAGGCGACACAGAATAAAATATGCAATATACCAACGATAAAGCTGCTCGCTGATGGGTTGGATTTCTTTCTTTCATTTCTTTTTCCTTTTATTAAGAGCTAGCAATTTTCCCAACAATTTCAAAAGTACAAGCTGAATAGGCAAAAAGGTAAAATTTGGCGTTGACAGAGATGTAAAAGAACGTGTCGTTGAATGAAAGATATGGCTGAAAGAGATCCTTGCATGAACACGACCCAAAGGGCCGGTTTAGGGCAGAGGGATCTCATCGATTGGGAGAAAAGAATTGATCTGTCAAAATTATACCATGTGCTCCATATAATGTGATATGTCTCATTTTTGAGCTAAAGTGACGATCATTGTATCAGCCGACTCATCTGAATGTACCCCGAAACGGTAACACGTGGAGCGGGTTCTGGAATGCATCACGCCGTGGATTTGGATTTGGCCTGAGATAAGGCTCGCTTTGTGGAACAAGACTATTCTGAGAGTGCGCATGTTGTAACACAGCATATATGGGATTCTGCCTTGAGAGGCCCAAACCTTGGAATTCCATTGAATTTCATTGATAATCAAGATCATCGGCTCTAGTGCTAAAATGAGATGGATCCCTGCAAAATTGCACGTCCCAATTGCGATGTGGAATCTGAACATACTAGATTGGGCTTAGATACATCATTGGCACTGGGGCTCGAGTCCCACTCCTGTCACCGCTGCGGTTCATTGCATCTAGAAGGATTGCGTTTATTTGGAATGAACTACTCGGTGTGTATGGAGTATTCTAACCTGATCCTTATTGGCAAGGTGTCAGGCAAAGAGTTCGAAGAATAGGAGGCTCTTGATCCACCTCGGGAGTCTGAATGATCGTCTTTTCCGCCAGTATAAGGAGTCTTTTACGTTCTAGAAGTGAAGCGAATCTTACCTATCACTACATAGTCCCTAGGTAAGAATAGTCTCAATAATATCCACACGATGATGTGTATACTTCGAATTTGTTCATCCTCCTTCACCGTTCCACTATGTAACGCCACGATACAGTGTTCTTACAAGTCCAGATGTACATACTCCACTCGCGAAGGAAACTAGAAGAGCTATCTAGGTAGTCAGATAGCCTTGGAACCTAGTTACCCAAGGAAGGCAATCCGATTGATCGAGCCCTCCGTCGAACTAGCCCGATGAGCTGAAAGGTGACAGACCCATGTACCTAAGGCAGGAGCGTCCACACTGTACTTAATGCACCTCTCGCCCACCCGTGAACTGGTACTGTATCCTACTTCTATCTGCATGGTCTGAATAGTCAAACCTCAAATCCATTCTCTTTGTTTTTCATGGGTCTTTATAATTTGTTTGTCAATCACTTTACCAAGACATCAATTCAACTTCTACTTTCATCCGAAGGATAGAACACATCATACATCATGCTTCGCTCTCTGCGCCGTCTTCGCTCTCTGCGCCGTTTTCTTTGCTTTTCCTCTTCCAAATCATGCGAGCCCACTGATTCTGCGACACATGGCACGGAAAACGTGGAAGATCCCATTCGCTTGAGATCTGCTGGCAGAACGGTTGCTCAAGCCCGAGTTGCTAGTCCCTGTCTGGAGGGGCTTGGCAGCGTACAGTCCAGGACTCCCTCAGTTTCTCCCAGCTGTGACAGCAGCACACAGACCGAATTGACAAATGCCTCAGATGGCGAAACCAGGGCAACAACAGTATCAACCGGCACTGGCAACACTTCTACGCCCCCCGAGACACCTGCCAAGTCTACCTCCACGTCGAGACTGACCACAATCACACCGTATACCCCCATCCTGCAGGCAGATGGCAGTCTGCTGGCCCCGCAGGTCACATTCGATGGCTATGGCTCCTATGGGGGCCGGTTCGCTCCAGAATCCATAATGGGATTCCTATACGAGCTGACATTATTCTTCGAGGCCACCGTTTCAGACCCTTCGTTCTGGGAAGAATATGCCACGTTCCAGCGTGACCGTGTCACACCACTACAGATGGCTGGAAAATTAACCAGCCTGGCAGATGGGGCTACCATATGGCTGAAGCGAGAGGACAAGAATGAATATGGCAGCCACAAGACCCGCAACATAATCGGCCAGCTCCTGCTAGCTCGTCGTATGGGCCGTTCTGAGATCGTCACGGATTGCGCCTCGGCCAAACATGGCAAGGTCACCGCTGCAATGTGCGCACGTCTGAAATTGCGCTGCGTGGTAGTCATTGGTGCAGATGATGCTAGTGCCCAGGAGGAGGACGTGCTCGAGATGAAGTCCCTCGGCGCTAAGGTCCTGACAGCCCGCACACCCTCCGGCATGGGTAGTCTACGCGCTGCCATCACAGAAGCCTTGCGGTATGCGGTCTGCAATCACGAATCTGCATACTACCTCATGGGTAGCCCGGTGGGTCCCAGTCCCCTGCCGACCCTGGCTCGCACGTTCCAAGCCCTTCTAGGCGACGAGGTTGCAGCCCAAATGCACGAGGTAGCAGGTCGCCAGCCGGATGCCCTCGTCACCGCCGTTGGCAGCGGTAGCGGTGCAATTGGTCTCTTCAGACCGTTCCTTCATGATTCAACTATTCGGTTGGTTGGTGTGGAAGCTGCGAAGGCAGCTGCCCTGACAGATGGTGGACTTGGGGTACTGCAGGGTGCCCGCACTCTCCTGCTCCAAAACCACGATGGCCAGATCCTTGACTCGCATTCCATTTCACCAGACATGAACTTGTCTACTGTGGGTCCTGAGGTCGCCCATTGGAAGGACTCTGGCCGAATTGAAATTTCCACGGCTACCGACGCGGTTGCCCTGGACGGATTTAGAACCCTTCAGCAACATGAGGGGATCTTGCCTGGTCTTGACTCGAGTCACGCAGTATCCAAGGCACTTGATCTCGCTAGAGAACTTGGCCCGGGTAAGAATGTGGTTTTGATGGTGACTGGGTGTGATAATATCAGCGTACCTGGGTTGGACATCTGAATTACTCGAGGGACACAAAAAGCGAGTTATGATGATCCCTGATTGCTTTTCTGCTTTTCTGCTTTTCTGCTTTTCTGCTTTTCTCTGGCGATAGTCAATTCTCTCTCATTCACGGCGTTTGGCTTCTTGCTTTCATTTGTCTATATCCTAGTCTGTATCATATTTTTAGCTGCTTTCTTGCGAGTCAATGATACGCCCAAAGGCTATTATACTTGAGATCCTTGTTTCCTTCTTGCAAATACGCTCTTCCATGTTGAGTGGCTTTTTCTTTACGAGCTGATGATGCCATTGTGTGTTTTCCCTGCAGTTTGTCTTCACTGTTAGGCTGTCATTCGCCTTTGCTTTTTCCACGAGACTAGACTTTCTTCACCTCTATTTCGTAGGGTATTCATTCCCCTTAATGAGACAGAATGAGATGGCATGTCGAAATCAAATGTATTCCGAGGGTCTAAGGTTCTTTTTTACTTTTTGTCATCAGTCATATCGCTATATCATGTACAGTAAAGCCCCATAGAGAAATCAAACGTCATCTATTCAATCCTCATGTGTGATCGACATGTCCAGAACCTCAACCCGGCCTCTTCCGCGGGTCTCATTGCTCACCAGTTCATTCAATCCCTTGAATGCACCGGGCTCAGCAAAACCAACAACCTCCCATTCATCCCCACCAACAACTTCTTGCGATTCAACTGACTCAATAAAGGCCATGATTTTGTCCTTGACGGTGCTTGGAGCCTTGGACGTAGCTTCCACATCAGACTGACCACCCTCAATGTCTGAATCATCCCTCTTAGCAGACTTCTTCGATCCCTTATTCCCCTTCTTGTTGTTCTTGGAGCCACCGGATGGGGCTTCCTTCTCCTTATTCGACCCAGCACCTGGAGCAGCCTTGACAGACTGCTTGAGCAGGGGCACTGGGCATGTCACACGAAGACGCATGCGAGCCCGCATAACGGGGATCGGCTGCCAAGCGATGAGAGCCTTCATGGCATCCAACGCTTGACTCTTTGCCGAGCGGTTTGCCGAAACTCCCGTCCATAGCGGCTTCTTCGGTTGGGAGGGTTTCTCGTCGCCATCTCCATTCGCCTCCCCGCTCGCTTGTGTCTGTTGTTGTCCGCTGGCTGAGGATAGTTGATCCAACGCCTTATGGATCATTCCCGATGTGTACACGCGCTTGGTTGAGGGATCGACTAGTCGGCCTGACACGATATCCAGTACTTCCTTCTCCACTCGCTCGAGGATATCTTTGCGCTCACGCTCGCCAACTTGCACTTCACCTTTACGGAGGATCTCTTGCAGAATTTCCTCCCGAGGGGTGCCGTTTCCGAAGGCTTTTGCTAGCTCTGCTGACGGGGCGGTTTGTGCTTTGGAGACGGAGAGGAAGACGGTTGGGACTTGGAGGACATTGTCGAGATCTTTTTCAGCGCCGGATCGGTATTCGAGCAGTTTGTTCTTGTAGCAGGCGAGTTCAAAGCGCTTCTTGCCTGGTTTGAGATAAAAGGTTAGAAAAGCTAAAAGTACATAGGCAAGGCGGAAACGTACCCTTCTTTAGTCGGACTACCGACACGTTGGTGAACTTGATCTGGTTGGAGGGTTGGTTGATAGGCATTTTGGGTGTGAAGCCGCTGAGAGCTGTTGCTTCAGTAAGAAAAAAAAAAGCAGACACCAGAAAATGCAGTGATATTCAAGATATATTTTTGAATACTATTTCCAAATAGACGACACTGTCAAGAGTGAAGGATATATGTAGGCTGAGTACGGAGTATCAAAAGTTGATTTGCGTCAGGAAATCTACTCAAAAAGGCTTAGTCGACAAGCTCGTGCCCCTCGTAACCTTCCAAGGTTGGAATCCCGTGACTCATGCTGAATCATCCGATCATGGGGCCGACCCACTCCTGGGCTCACCTGATTGGTCCAGCCGTCTCGTCTTATCGACCGTCCCCGGCGTCATCGGCCAAGGGACCTGCTTCTCCTCATCTCACAAGCACAGGACATCACCGTCTTGCCTCTTTGAATCCTCAGCTTTATTACAATTATCAAATATCTTGTGGTATTTTCACAGTGTAAGATATTATATTCCTTTGGCTTGTTTTCGAGAGTCATTCCCACAAACGGTTACTGATAAGAGGTGCCTGACTCCAGATCCCAAGGTACCCGCTCCTCATCACCAACTCATCATTAGCATCATTGTTGCTGTGAAATTCAAACACAGTTCGCAATGAGAGTCCTGTCCGCCACTCTCTTGGCGGGGGCTGCTTCGGCTGCTGCCCCGCCCTTCCAGCAAGTCCTCGGAGCTCACAAGGAGCATGCGGAGAACGTAATCCAGCAGAGTGCGGATGCATTCAAGCCCCTGCAGCACCTCCAGGACCAGTTCAAGTCCCTTTCTGGAGAGGCTCGTCAGCTCTGGGAGGAAGTCTCTAACTACTTCCCGGAATCCATGGAGAGCGCTCCCTTGCTTTCCCTGCCCAAGAAGCACACCCGCCGCCCTGACTCGCACTGGGATTATCATGTCAGTGGCGCTGAAGTCCAAGACATCTGGGTCTCCGGTGCTGAGGGCACCAAGGAGCGTGAGGTTGACGGCAGACTTGAAGCCTACAACCTCCGCGCCAAGAAGGTTGATCCCAGCGCCCTCGGCATCGATCCCGGTGTGAAGCAGTACAGTGGTTACCTAGATGATGATGAGAACGACAAGCACTTGTTTTATTGTGAGTGGAAGACGTCCGTTTATTATCTAGAGTTTATCTAACATCAGAAAGGGTTCTTCGAGTCTCGCAATGACCCCAAGAACGATCCCGTTGTCCTTTGGCTGAACGGCGGTCCCGGCTGCTCGTCCCTCACTGGACTTTTCATGGAACTTGGACCCAGCTCCATCAATTCCAAGATCAAGCCTGTCTACAATGATTTCTCGTGGAACAACAATGCCTCTGTGATCTTCCTCGACCAGCCCATCAATGTCGGCTACTCCTACAGTGGCGGCTCTGTCAGTGACACTGTTGCTGCTGGCAAGGATGTCTATGCTCTCCTGACATTGTTCTTCAAGCAATTCCCTGAGTACGCTACACAGGACTTCCACATTGCTGGCGAGTCATACGCTGGCCACTATATCCCTGTCATGGCTTCGGAGATTCTCTCCCACAAGAAGCGCAACATCAACCTCAAGTCTGTTCTCATTGGTAACGGTCTCACCGACGGTCTCACTCAGTACGGTTACTACCGCCCTATGGCCTGCGGCGAGGGTGGTTACCCCGCTGTTCTGGATGAGAGCACCTGCCAGTCCATGGACAACTCCCTGTCCCGATGCCAAAGCATGATCCAGGCCTGCTACAACAGCGAGAGCCCCTGGGTTTGCGTCCCGGCCTCGATTTACTGCAACAACGCCATGCTTGGCCCCTACCAGCGCACTGGGCAGAACGTTTACGATATTCGCGGCAAGTGTGAGGACGAGAGCAACCTGTGCTACAAGGGCATGGGCTACGTCAGCGAGTACCTTGGCCAGGAGAGCGTGCGCGAGGCTGTCGGTGCTGAGGTTGATGGCTACGACTCATGCAACTTCGACATCAACCGTAACTTCCTCTTCAATGGCGATTGGTTCAAGCCTTACCACCGCCTCGTGCCCGGCCTCCTCGAGCAGATCCCCGTCCTGATCTACGCTGGTGATGCTGACTTCATCTGCAACTGGCTTGGCAACAAGGCCTGGTCCGAGGCTCTTGAGTGGCCTGGCCAGAAGGAGTTCGCTTCCGCTGAGCTTGAGGACCTCAAGATTGTACAGAACGAGCATGTTGGCAAGAAGATCGGTCAGATCAAGTCCCACGGCAACTTCACCTTTATGCGTATCTACGGCGGTGGCCACATGGTTCCCATGGACCAGCCTGAGTCTGGCCTGGAGTTCTTCAACCGCTGGATCGGTGGTGAGTGGTTCTAAACGCTCGACCGAGGTGCTCTATGCTACATGGGTTCATGAATTTATCATTACACTGCGTGTTATTGATCTTGTGACTGGCTGTTTTGCGTACAATTTGACACCTAATCCTCTGGGACATGCAGAAAGGCCGTATACTCGGCATCATCTGTTTCCTGCTGGTTTTTGGTGATATGGCTTCTGTTTAGTATATACGACTAGGCAACTTTGAATTCAATCAATCTTGGATGAGACATGAGATCGAATAAGGAACAGTCCTGAAGCTTAAAAGGTCGTTGAGCTTGATGGAAACATATTGGGCGTAGTGTAGACATTCGGGATATGGAGTGCGGGTGCGTGATGTGTGGTGATAGACACAGATAGGCAAATAGGCGCAGATAGGCGTTGATAGTCCAGGATATCTAACATTAGAAAGAAGAAAAGATGGAGTACCCCATAATTGATAGCCTAGGCCTTGTCCCACACCGACTATCTAGGACATCCTACCCCACAGCAAGGTATTTTCCAAAGCATACCGCGGAGCCTTGCAAGATATTCTACCCTACGAGAGCCGAGGATCGAGACAGGATCATTAAGTTGGCAAATTGATCCAGAACAGAAGACCCCATCAAGCCCACGGCCAAGAGCAAAGTAAACGTATCGAAGAGATCGGATCATTTCATTGATATGGTTCATTTTCAATTTTTTGACAGCGGGGAAAAGGTCCCACGAGTGCCCATAGAAACACACCGGAAATAACGGAATCCCTCCAAGAACCCCCAGGCAAAAAAACGAACAGAATAATTTAGCCCTTCTTCTTGCTGACACCGACGGTGCGACCGCGGCGGCCAGTGGTCTTGGTGTGTTGACCACGGACACGGAGGCCCCAGTAGTGACGCAGACCACGGTGGGAGCGGATCTTCTTGAGGCGCTCGAGATCCTCACGGAGCTTGGAGTCGAGACCGTTGGAGACAACCTGGGTGTCCTTGCCATCGGTGATGTCGCGCTGTCTGTTGAGGAACCACGAGGGGATCTTGTACTGGGTAGGGGTCTGGAGGATGGTCACGATGCGCTCGAGCTCTTCGGTGGTGAGCTCACCAGCACTATAGAAAGTGTCTTGTCAGCTTCGCTGGTCTTGTGATATTTGTGCGATTGTTGTGCGATATTCCGTGTGTCGATTCAAGTCCAAACTGCTCCATTTTTTCTTCCAATGTTTCCTCCAATAACAAACGGATGGGAATGATTGCATATTCGATGGGAGTTGTGGCGAACGTACCGCTTGGTGAGGTCGACATCGGCCTTCTTGCAGACCAGGTTGGAGTAACGGCGACCGACACCCTTGATCTGGGTCAGCGCGTACATGATCTTCTGCTTGCCGTCAACATTGGTGTTGAGCAGACGCAAGATGAACTGGAAGTTCGTCTTCTCGCCGGTCACGAGCGCTGTTATCGAGAAATCCCCATGTTAGCCAACATTCAATTTCGAGAACCGTTGTCTCTGCCACCGCTTCCTGCTTTTCTTTTTTTGGGCAAATTCGTAGTTGTATATCATATAATGCTCTCAGACTGAAAGGAGGGGTCGTCACGTACACATGATGGGCGATGGGCGAGGATCGCGATGGGTTGTCGACAGAGGGATGGAGAGAGGAAGTCCAACTGAGTGACTTTGCTTGTGGGATCGGGTAATTGGGACGCTAACCTGATTTGGACGAGGGCTCGCTTGTCAGAGACTAGACCCAAAATGGCTAGTCTATAGTGTAGATCAGGTGAAATCACATGACTGTTAATTTCACTGTTTGATTCTGGTAATTTGCTCTGTTATTTACCCGTATCTTACACGAAGCCCTGCTTTGTTTCCCTCGTCCCTCGACATGAAACTGTGACGAACCCAGTTCTTGGAGATATCAGCCACTGTCATAATATCTCTTTGTGCTTCGTGTAAATCTTTGAGGGGTACATATACTGATTTGGTCTGTGGCACTGTCACCTCTTTGATTCAAGTTTTTATCTTTCTTTTTTCATTCGCGATTGAATGATTCCGCGTCTCGAAGTATATTGGCACTCACAGGCCCATACATTCTTTTGCTCATACGTCTTTCGGGCCGGACGATGCTAAAGTCCCCGATTCACTCGCTTTAGGAGATATCTCAGGGATCCCTGCCTCGACACTAACCAGTTCCACACTCTGATGGTCATTTCTAGACTCAGGTGAGGTTCACTCATGGCCAAACAAGATAGGAACATGGTCATAACATCCTCTACATACACCGAATCGAGGGACCCTAATATGTGCTGCCTTCGATTTAGTAATTCATGTTCTTTGTTTAGTTTAAAGGAACCTCAGAGCCCCACCGTTGTTGATATCAGAAGTGCCTTTCTATTTTTACTCGGTTCTTTGATATCCTCTGGATTTGACCTCGACCAAGAGACTGTGAGCTAATGTGACAAATATAGAATTCTCCACGCTCATTCTGTCCTGGCCCTAAACCTTTCCAGAAATCCAAATGCTTTGTTCATCAAGGAACAAGATGTTACCATGGGTACTCGATTCGGGGCGCTCGGTGTATTCTTTCAACTCATGCTTACCACCTACAATATACCACTCTGCTTCTTTCGGCTGGTAAGGATGGCATTCAAGCTGCCACACTGGACAATGGATGTTCCTCGTTGTCCATTAAAGCGCTTGGTTCGCACCGTGTCGCACCGTTTCGCACCGTTTCGGCCTTCACAACTTTCCAAGATCCTCAAACCAGTATAGGACACCCCGATAACAGGATATTGCTCTTGATTGAGCCCATTGTGCCAGATTTTGAGGCCTTGATTCCTTCACTCTCAGTTTGTCGAGATGAGTACCTCCTCTCCACTCGAGGTTCCTCCCCTTTCCGATTTCCCGTCGAAGCCGGAGGAACTCGAACACCCACCTCAACCCTCAACTATTTACGATTTAACCCGGCTTCCTAATCCACCTAACGACTGGTCACATTTCAATGTCAAGTTCGAAAGTGTTGCACTGGGTCATAGTCGTTCCTTGAAGCTCCCGCAGGTGCAAGTGTTGATGAAACATTACTTCTGGGGAATCAAGTATGAGGAAACGACCAAGACCGCCATGACGACGAGGAAGAAGCAGAATCTCAAGGTTCTACAGATGTTTCTGTTCAAGCTCATCTACTACATGCAAGAACGCCATCGTCCGAAGACTTGGCTTGAAATGCTCAATATCAACCGAGACACTGGACCACGACTCTTGAGATACGACCTTGATCCGCGCCCAAGGCCACTCAGTAGGTGGTACACTTCTCTTCCTGATGTGAGCACGCCTATCTTGAATGCGTACATACGCCCTCTGGACGCGCCCCCAGACATGCCCGACTACCTTATCCAACAATATATGTACTCAGTTGATAGCTTGTACACACCACCTCCACCACCTCCACCTCCAGCGCCAACACTCGCTGCGCAACAAGAGGAAATCCTTCGTATGGAACTGTTGCAACACATGAACCCAGGAGTCGAATTTACACCAGCCTATTCATTGACCGATCCGCCGGGTACGAAAATAACGGGCCCTGAACCCGGCCAAAAACGGGGTCCAGATGAAAGCAGTGAGCCCCGTAGGAAGCGCTCGAGACAAATTTCACCTGGTGCCCCTGCTTACCGAGGTCGCCCTCGTTCCCCTACTCCGCCGTTTCAAGAGCCTGTCTTTGCTGCTGACGAAATCACAACTTTCACCTGGACGCCTGGTCTGGCACCTTCCCATACAGTGGCCCCCGTTGGAAAGCACCAATTGAGCCCCCTTGCCCCGAAAGTCCCAGGCCCAGTTGACACGCGAGTGCTTACGGATGCCATAGAACGAGCTGTGATGCAGATTGTATATGCAGATTTGGAACGCGATCCCTCCATTCCATCTACTGAGAAACCTATTCGCCACGGGACCGCCCAGTCATACCAAGATATCCTCAAGCTGAAACTTGGATCATTCCCCACCACAGCAAATGTGAAGTTGTCGCCATTGACGTTTGATTGGGATCCAAATGGCACTTTGTTTCCGGTCCGGGGCCGCGGCCCTATCTGGGACGCAATGTCTTGTGCGACGGATGCTGTTATTGTAGCGGGAATGCTACTCGATGCTGGTTGTACCAAGATAGATCGCGCAAACAATCGAGCAGCTGAGTTCAAGGATATTGAAAAAGCATTCATTGAAGTGACAATGGCCAGCTGGGAGACCTTCGATGATAAGACTTCTATATTTGTGCGTGACGAGTGGCTCCGTATGTTTATGGAGGGGTCACCCGGCTTGAAAATGGGACAACCGATTCCTCCTTGGGCGGTATGGTCAGTGGCCACGAGAAGCTTCGCCCAATTCCGCTATTTCCACGTTGAGCGAGTGACCCCTTGCAAATGTCAGCGCGAGATTCCGTTTTACAACTCCCATCAAGGGTCCTGCATTTTACCCGGGTACCAACCGGGCGATGAAAACGGAGTAGAACTGCAAGTGTTGATTGAGCGATGTTTCTACCCACGGAAATCTTTCAAATGTGACAAGTGTGGTGACCCGACAGGAGTCACTGGAGAACGAAAGATTGGTCAACTCCCGCTGCGTCTGGTGGTAACCTCTGATGTCAAGACGCGAATCCGAAACCACACGCAGAATCTCAAGTTCAATTACATAGACTATGAAGACAAGCAACAGATCGCACACTATCGTTGGCTTGGCGGCATCTATAACAACGAATCCCATGCTCGCCTTTTTTGGACAGATACGCAACGAGGCGAGAAAGATGATGGAAATCTTATGATGTACGACAGCCAAGTCAATTCCGGGGTTCTGATCGGTGGAGTCCCAGGATTTCAACCTGAAGAAAGAGTACCCACTGAATGGGTCAACCATCATGCTATTCCACTCCTTTTCTATGAGCGAATCATGAACCCCACCACAGACATCCTGTTAAAGGCCAACAACGCGATGTTCGAGGTAAGCACTTGCGTGGAGGAGAACAAGAATGTCCTCGAAGCACACATCCCTTGGAAGCGATCAACTCCTCCGTTGCAGCAGGAGTCATGGCCTCGTATACTTTCATACAACGGTGAACGCTTCAGCAGTTTCAATCCCGGCTGGGCAACAGCGCAACCATCCCCCAACCTAGCCGCTGCACAGACTGCCACGCCCACTATAACACCCGCCGCTCCCATTGACCCGGCGCTTATTGATCCGGCGCTACTCGATCCGGCGCTTTTCGATCCGGCGGTCCTTGACCCATCGCTCATTGATCAATCGATGTATTCCACCACCACACCTCCGGAATTCGACTTGTCCTCATTCATTGACGTACCAATGATGGATGAAGAGCCGATCATTGATCAAGACGTAACTGAGGATCCCACCCAAAACCCTATGTTCGACTCGATGATGCAGAGTCCACGCTGGGTCGCTCCAAATCCTGACATGTGGCCTTCAGGTATGCCTGATGAGGAAGGAGCTCTGGACTTCCCCGAACTGCCTATGACGCCCTACCTAGGCAATCGCAAGGGCGCTGCGTGGTCAGATATTCCCATGCGAGATGCAAATGGGATTATCCCTGGGCCTCGAAACCGGGTCTTCCGCACTACGCACGGTATTGAACTCCAGAGGTCTGCGATGGCAAACTACGCTATTGCTAAGCAGGCGCTAAGTGCAAGTGAGAAGGAGGCTCTGCGTGCAGAAAGGATGCGTCTATTCAGGGCAAAGCAGAGATTTAGTGATGCAGAGGACGAAGAGGAAGAAGAGAAAGCCGACCAAGAGAGAGATCGACCGAGAGAGGATAGAGGTACAAAAGAGACAGGAGAAACAGGAGCACGAGCGGAAAAGGAGAGAGGTACAGAAGAAACGAGAGGGGCTCGATAAGAAGAAACAAGAGGAGCTCGACAAGAAGACAAGAGAGGAGCGGGGAAAACAGAAAGAGCTCGAAAAGAAGAGAGAACAGGAAAAACAAGAAAGTGAAGTACTGGCGAAAGAACCGGAGAAAGACCAGAAATGGACGATAGAGGAGTCTTGTAAACAGCAACGAAAGGAAGAACAGAAGAAAGAGGAGGAGAAGCCGAAGGTATCAAGAAGACCGGGGTTGAGGAATTCGAGGAAGAAGAACACCGATCCGACGTGGAAGCCTGGTGATAGTGGAGATGAAGCAGATTTGTGATTTAATGTTTATTTAGTTTATATAGATGTTATATGTTATATGTTAGTTAGATGTTAGTTATACGCATGGTGTGTTATTATTCCAAATTCAATATACCTACCTGCATGTAGGTATACACCGTTGATACTCGTTAACACGGCCATCTGCCAATCAGGAGGCTCTTATTTGATATACCCGAGGCCCGAGTCTGTATATAGTACATATTTAGTACTAGTAGTATTAGTAGTACTAGTTAGTAGTACTAGTTAATAGTACTTTTAACGATAATTACTCCTTTTAATACATAGCCAGCTCACATATGTACTACGGAGTACTCCGTCCATACATGTAGTATGTATAGTATTATGAATACTAGCCTCCAGGGCTTCCCCGCAGTCCTACCCCAGACTCCCAGACTTAGGCTTCCCCTTTCCTTTTCTTCCTTTTCCCTCTCTTCTCTCTTTATAATCCCATTACTTCAACTACAGAAATACACACTAACAGCTATTCAGTTCTCTTAATCACATTCTATGATCTATGATCTATTTACATGTCCGAGTCCTGCTGTCTACAGTCCCAGATCTACTAACGCAGTGGGGAATTAATCCAAAAACAAGCCAAATACAAAACAAACAAAAAAATATGACACTCTACAGACGTGCTCTGGGCGGGCCTGTAGCAGTGTTGCTCTTCTTCGGTGCCGAAACATATCCACCGAGAGTGCCGTCAGTGTTGGTCACCGCACCCTGGGCATCACGCCGGATGCCAAGTTCAATCAATTTGGCAAACACCTTGGAGAAGTGATCAAAGAACAACTCCTTATCCTCGGCATATCGCTTAACCCACGGGGCAAATGCCGGGTCCGTCAAAAGCGACATATCAGTCGGCAGCATCATTAATGGCTCCTCGTCCTCCTCGGCATCGGGATCCTCATACACAAACTGCGTCATACCCGACGCCATCTTGCGAGGCTTCCAGTCAAGCTGAAGCAGCAATTTGAAGAAAGAGTTCGAGAACCGCGTCGGGTTCGTCACCCACGGACCCTCGAATCCACTGCGGTCGCCGTGGCACCGGCCCAGGTTGTGTCCGCCCGTCAGCGCTACGATCTCCTGGTCGTTGAAACCCATGCGATAGAAGATGAACCGCAGGTGGTCGGCGCCCTGGGCTGCATCTGGCAGTCGTCCCCGTGGCGGCACCTTGGTGTCGCCTATCAGATCTGTGCGTCCGCCTTGCCAGGGGATATCGGGTCCGCCCATCTCCTTGATCGCCACTACGCCGGCCAGCGTCCACAGATCCGAGTACGTGATCCAGGGGTGCTTCTCTTTAATCGGCTCTAGGAATGCCCGTCCGTGCTGCAGACCCGCGTTGGCGGGATCGCCACCCTCTGCTTCGTACCGCATGCCGGCTCCGTTGGAACCACCGGTGTCGGTTTCGGCGTCGTACGTGCCAGATGAGTGCCTGTTTGAAACCGTTCGTCAGTGACATTGCGTTGAGGGAGGCTTATCGCCCCCGTTGGCCCGAGGGTCCCCGACCGGGAAACAAGGCTTCGAGGAGCAGATTTACTTACCATGCTAGTCGCACGAATACGGGTCCTGCGCTGCCATCGTCATAACCGGGCTTCTGCAGGATAGCGGCGATGTCCTTGCGGACGGCGTCATAGTTGTGAGTGCTCATTGTCGGTCTCGGCCGATAACGCGATCCGGGGTATGCTTTCGGGAAGAATTTGAACAAACTCAACGTCGGCTTCGAGATGAGTTCGAAGAGGATGGATTTTGAAGATCGGAAAGAGAAAAGAAAGAGAAAACTGGACAGAAAAGAGAAACCGAAAAAGAGACCCCCGGACTTTCCACATGGGAAGTCGGTGGATCCGCGGGCCGAATCAGCCTGCGCGTATTGAAGATGCCGAGGTTGGACTTGACCGTCAACTTCCTTATGATCTGTGATTTCTGTGATTTCAGGCAATTCCAGGCTATTTCCTACTGGATTTCTCGGTTCCGATTGTCCATATTTCCTATTTTAAGTGATTATCGTCTTATACTTATCAACCGGAACAAACCCTGGATATGAAATCACCTGGGCACATTCCAAATGTCGCCATCAAATGCCGATTCAGACCTCGGAACTCAGAAGCCGACTTTAAGATTCGGACACTTATAGGCAAATCCGATGCTTACATATATTAATATAGTTTTTGCAAGGGCATTTAGTTGAAATGAGTGTCATTTTTGATAGAACTTGCTTCTCGATTCTGCGCTGCTTGTCATGTGGCTAAAGAATTGACCAACTCTTTGGGAGAGATTGACGAAGGAGACTGTACCCCCAGAGTGAACATGCTTGAGCTGTTCACTCTGCCAGTATTTGAACTCCAGTCCTCAAAATGGACATGGGACAACTCTTCTTTTGCCCTAAAAGCCAGGGCCAACAAAAAATATTAACGGTTTCACATGAAAGCTTAGAGAAAACCAACATCGGAGGAGCATCTTGGAGATATCGGAGAGATATCCGAAAGCCATCAAGGATCTCGCTCACGTTGTCGTCTCCGCCCTATTCAAGCTCATATTCCCCATCGACATCCTCCGCATCCGCATCGACCTCAAGTTCCCCGTCGGCATCATCATTTGAAGCACCCTTCTCAATGACATCCTTCTTTAAGCAAGTTAACAGCATATCCCGCTCCCTCCGTAAACGCGCCACCTCCTCCCGCGCCTCACGTAGCGAGATGCTCAGCTTTCGCATCTTCGTCTGATATGCGCGACTGAGCCCATCCGCCTGCCCAGCCAATCGCGAATACTTCTTCCGGATCCACTTTCTATCTTTTCGAAGTCGGCGTACCTGTCCGTCGAGCAAGTGTCGCTGCTTCACGTCCGTGTCGCGGATCGTCTGGATCACCTTGTCGATTACGTCGGTGTGCTGCGCTTGAAGTATGCCTTCTTCGGAGTAATTTGCGATGCTTATGAATGTAGCGCAGATGTCTGCCGCAATGGATGCCATCAGCTCGCTTTTTGCGGTTGAGGTTTGGTGTTCTAGGTTTTCGAGGCGTAGAGCACAGAACCCTGGTGTATTTGGTTGCTGCTTCGGATGACCCGGTGCGATCGCTGGTTTAGATGAGGTGGTAGGCTTCTGGGGTGACATGGTGAGTGCTTGGTTTCTCCTGAAGGACCCGTCTTGGAGGGGCCTCTGGGGTGTAGAACCTTTGGGCTTGAGAGGATGTAGAATTTTAGACATGGAGAGGAATAGGAAAGAAGAATGAAAAGTCCCTTAAGAATATACCAGTGTAATTATAATCTTTGGGAAAGTTATGAACTCATCTAATCTGCTTTTCTTTCAACCCCAGTTTTTCAGTGAACAAACATTGCCTTTGATCTCTGTCTTTGTTAATGTGAATTTCATTGATCAGTGTAACGCATACCTACATATTGTATTCTGGAACTCTTTTTGAACCAAGCAATCATTGTATGCTATCTTCTATACTCTATAGTGCAGACACAATCGCATCGCCCACTTCCTTAGTTCCAGCCTTACCCCCGAGGTCAGGCGTCCGAAGCCCTGAGTCCAGCACTTTACGCACCGCATCCTCCACACGTCGAGCTTCGTCTTCCATGCCCAAAGAGTATCGGAACATAAGCGCAACGCAAAGGATCATAGCAACCGGGTTGGCAATATTTTGGCCAGCAATACTATAACAAAGTTAGAACAGGACCTTCGTATCATGTTTCTAGCACTTACGTCGGAGCAGATCCATGCGTAGGCTCGTACAGCCCGTAAGGTCGTGTCTTCAGCGTCTTATCACCAGGCAGACCGTTGAGACTGGCACTCGGCAACACACCCAGCGTACCCACAATAGACCCAGCTTGGTCGGAGATCATGTCACCAAAGGTATTGTCAGCCAGGATAACCCCATTCAGGGATCGCGGGTTCGTTGCTAGAATCAATGACGCGGAGTCGGCAAGCTGGTGCACCAATTTGACTTGCGGGTACTCGGCTGCCATGGTCTTGTCCACTACCCGGCGCCATAGTCTCAGAAGAAGCCAGTACATTCGCCTTGTCTAGTGAGACCAAAGGCCAAGGGGGATTGTGTCGCAGTGCCACTTCAGCGGATAGACGGGTAACACGCTGGATCTCGGCTTCGGAGTAACCCCATTCATCCATTGCTGTAGTAGAAGAAAGGTTAGAGAGCTATTGAATTACAATAGGGTCTCAGCCCAACCCACCGTATGTTTCTTCTTCGACCTTCCGTCCAAAATAGGCTCCCCCGCAGTTCTCCCGCACGACAACAAAATCAACACCTTCAATAACATCGTGCTTGAACGGGCTGAACTCCTTGGCGATAGAAGCACTCGGCGAGGTAGAAGAGCACGGGCGTAGGTTCGCATAGATATCCATGGCCTTTCGTAGTTGGAGTAGTCCTCCCTCAGGACCATCAAGACCACGACGTTGATTGTCCCATTTCGGACCCCCAACTGCGGCGAAGAGCACTGCATCTGAGTCTAGGGCAGCCTGTTTGACTTCTTCAGTCACAGACTTGCCATGAGCGTCAATGCTGCATCCTCCAATCAGCTCCTGGCGCAGTTCAAACTTGCGTTCGGGCGTCTCAAAGACTTTGAGGACTTTCACGGCTTCGGCCATGACCTCGGGGCCGATGCCATCGCCGGGTAGGACGAGAATGTTGAAGGTTTTGGCCATGTTGCTGTGATCTTTGTTGTTACAAAGGATTATCTGTGGGAAACCAGATTATTCTCATGCCCTGGCACCGAGGACTATATACAGCCTATATCGGAGCTCGGTCTTCAACCCGATTGATGCGGGGTTTGGTTTTGGTCGGGCTTTCGCCGATGAAATAGCACCCGATGTGCGAAGGTCAGTCACAGGGCTAAGGAGGCATGCGTTTTAGCTTTCCAGGAGCTGTCAGTTGTGGGGATTTAGTATACAAGGTCAGGCCTGCATAGTAGGTGTCCGGCACTGCCTACTAGATACGTATATAGTATCGTCTTCATTGCCTAGTAGAGTAGCTCTTTGCATAAAACAGTGTATAATATGCCTTGTTATAGGAGAATTTTGACAGAACTATATCAATAGTGAAGCAGATATCCATAGATAGTGGAATATAACCTGGTAGCAGAGTGATAGTATGAAAAATTGCGGCCTCAGGCACCGTCCGGCTCTCCGTACCGCTTATCCGACGTAGAAACATACAGTCCATCAAGGAATATTTAGACGATTTTAGACCCAAGATTCTGCCACAATCGTCCATTCTCTTTTGATTGCTCTTCCCAAATCTTTTAGATCACATTTTCAATCCGACTTATCCGGTAATAGGGCTTAGGGCCGGTCAGACCCCCTCTTGTTTGCACTGTTTGCATTGCGGGCATCATTTCTAAGCATCTGGACGATCTCCAAATCTCCGAAAGCAAGACATTTTCCTGTGACAGAACCCTCAAGATGTCGCGCGTTGAAGAACTTCCAGATGACTTTGATGAGTCACTCGACCTCAACAAGGCGCCTCCTGAGGTCACCCAGGGCCTACCCCAGCCCGGGTTTGACGCCTTCGCTCCTACAAACGAAATTCCCTTCCCGATCAACGAGGAGGCACTGAAGGCGCGCAAGACCGATCCCAATGCACCCGAACTCCCGCCAGCTATTGCGGCCGTTCAGTCGCATACTTCAGAGGAGTTGATGGCAATGATGAATAAGACTCCTCTGTTCATGACCGATATTGAAAATGCGGGTGACGAGAGTACGTCGGATTATTCCTTGGACATGCCTGTTCGATTCAACTAACCTATATCGGTTTGAAGAGGGTGAAAATGTACTCCTAGATGCTCTTCAGGCTCTGCAGAACGAAGGTACTAGGGCCGAGGTTGCGAACACCTTCAAGGGACAAGGCAATGAAGCTGTGCAGGAGCTCAAGTGGATCGACGCTAAAGAGTTCTACACAAAGGCTATTGCTGTCATTAACGCCAAGGTTGATAAGTGGGAGAAGCCCGAAGATCCCGAGGAAGAGGCCGCGCTGTTGCGCAAGTTGGATGAGGCATCGCACATCAATCGGGCATTGTGCAACTTGGAACTAGGTATGTCTTATCTTCCTGGATGTACGGGACATTGGCTAATATATTTCCTCTACAGGAAACTACCGTTCTTGTACTCTCGACTGTGCTGTTGCCCTCAAGTTCAACCCAAAAAACGTAAAGGCCTTCTACCGCTCCTCCTTGGCACTCTTCAAGTTGGACAAGGTCGCCGAGGCTGAAGACGCTGCCGCCCGGGGATTGGCAATTGACCCAGAAAGTAAGGCTCTTCAAGAATCCGCCAGAAAGATTGCCGAGCGGAAGGCCCTTTTGGAGCGTGCTGCCGCGAGGAAGAAGGCCGAAGAAGAGAAAGTGCGCAAGCAGAATATGGTCCTCAGCACAGCTCTACGCGCCCGTCAAATCAGAACCCGCAAAACCAATCAGCCCCCTGATATGGAAGATGCCAAGATTCGCCTTGTGCCTGATCCTCTCTCGCCGGAGAGCACAATCGAGTTCCCGACTGTTTTCCTTTACCCCATGGACGCCCAGTCGGACTTTATCAAGGCGTTCTCGGAGATGAACGCTATCGAGGATCATCTGAGTTACATCTTCCCCCTTCCTTGGGACACCAAGAAGGAATACACTGTTGAAGGTGTTGAATGCTTCATGCAGACTGTCTCTGGTGGTTTGATCAAGGCTGGCAAGAAGCTGCCTTTATTGCAAATTCTCTCTGGTGGTAAGGTCGAGGTTGTGGATGAGCTTGTCACCATCCACGTTGTACCTCTCTCCAAGACCGGTAAATACATTGCGGAGATGAAGGCTCGGAAGACTGGCTGAGCGGTATCTCATTAATATGAAGCCCACCGCTCAACTTTCAACCGATCTCGTGGATTCCTATGGAACATCCGTCCACAGAAACCACACCCATGGGAGGAGTGCTATCCCCCTGCCCATCGCCCTGTTGGTCTGAATTTTGGCTGCAACAGTGGTACTAACCACTCTTGACGCTCGAATCTGGTCCTACCACGGAGCAACATGATACAAAATCTCTGATACCCCTTAAAAGCGCCTTGTGTACATAGATGCATTTTCAGATTCTTATAGATATCATTGAGGCGGCAATGCCCCTGGGAACGAAAGGTCCCACTGATTATAATCCAACATATCCAAGGCCAAGTGAATATAATCGATTGTCTCAGATTGTAAATTTCATTGACTTTGACTGCATATGTGCTCAGCGCTGTTTAATCCAAAAGCGGGGACCCCTGTCCAGCCTGAATGAGACCTGAAGATTCTCCGGGGAAGCGGAGAAGAGCGTATTTACCCGGTCTCTTTCTTCAACTTCGCTTGACGGGAAATATTAAAAAAAACGCCTCTTTTCCTCTTTTTGCCGTGAAGAAAATACGGAATTCTCTCCGCTGTCTTTCTATTCGTTTCACCATCCTGCCCACAATATGGCGCCGGGCCGTGTGACTATTTCCCTGGCTAAAGTGACAAATTCCATGCACGAGCTCATACGATTAGGCGTCTTAGCAGAGGCCAAGCCCATTCGACCATTTGCAAAGGCCGCGACAACTATGCCACGGCCTGTCGGCCCGTCAAAGTTGAAGCTGTCAAATGTCAGAACTACTAGGGCCCTGACAGTCTGGCCATGTTTATCCCTGACTATAAAAGGAGCTTGATCCTCTCAATTCCCCATTCCAGGTCTAGAACTTCTGATCCAATTCTATTCCCGACATTGATTCTCTCGTCATGGTCCACTTCTCTACCATTGCCCTGGCATTCGCCAGTGTTCTTCCCCAGTTGTATGGCTTATCTTTCCAATCTCGAGCATTAACAATCATTAACGCCCATTTCTTCTCAATAGGACCCAAGGAGCCGGCTTGCACACCTCTGCTGTTGCAAAGGGAAAGCTATACTTCGGATCAGCCACTGATAACCCCGAGTTGACCGATGCTCCGTACCTTACCCAACTGAGCAACACAGATGACTTCGGTCAAATTACACCGGGCAATTCGCAGAAGGTTGGATAATCCTTACCGTGCAATCTATGCCCTCACTAATTGTCGCTAGTGGGATGCAATTGAGCCGTCCCAAAACACCTTCTCCTATACCAACGGAGATGTAATTGCCGACCTTGCTGCTAAGAATGGTCAAAAGCTGCGGTGCCATACTCTAGTTTGGCATAGCCAATTGCCCAGCTGGGGTAAGTTCTGTTATGACATATGCCTTTTAATCCGTGAATAGCTATCTAATCGGTAAATAGTCTCAAGTGGCTCCTGGACCAATGCGACTCTGCTTGCTGCCATGAAAAACCACATCACCAACGTGGTCACTCACTACAAGGGCAAATGTTATGCTTGGGATGTTGTAAACGAAGGTCAGTACCGAACTTAGGAATGAATGATATATAGCTAATACATGGATTGCCAGCTCTTAACGAGGACGGTACCTATCGTGACAATGTCTTCTACAAATACATCGGCGAGGCATACCTTCCCATCGCGTTTGCAACAGCAGCCGCCGCAGACCCAGACACCAAGCTCTACTACAACGACTACAACATCGAATCAGCCGGTTCCAAGTCATCAGGTGCCCAGAGAATCGTCAAGCTCGTGCAGCAGTACGGTGCCAAGATCGACGGCGTCGGACTGCAGGGACACTTTATTGTCGGAAGTACCCCTAGCCAGAGCGCGCAGACTACCAACCTGGCCGCATTCACAGCCATGGGAGTTGACGTTGCCTACACTGAACTCGACATCCGTATGACTCTGCCATCAACTACTGCCTTGCTTACCCAACAGTCGACCGACTACAAAAACACCGTTGCGGCGTGCATGGCAAATACCAAGTGTGTTGGCATTACTATTTGGGACTACACGGATAAATACTCGTGGGTTCCGAGCACATTCTCTGGTCAGGGTGATGCGTGTCCTTGGGATAAGAACCTCGTGAAGAAGCCTGCCTATGCTGGTATCTTGGCTGCTCTGGGCGGTACATCCTCCACTACTACTACTCTGGTCACTAGCACGACTACCGCCGGTTCTGGCGGTGCTACTAGCGTCCCGCTCTATGGCCAGTGTGGTGGCTCGGGCTGGACTGGAGGCACAACTTGCGTCAGTGGAACCTGTAAACAGATCAATGACTGGTACTCGCAGTGTCTGTAGACTTGGGAACAATGATGTCTGATGACGAAGGGGAATAGGCCAGCGTCTGCCCGTCCGCCTTTGTATCAGAGCATAGCCTCGGGATTACTTTATAAAGAATTGGCGAGTTGTCTCGTTCAGATGTAACGCGAACGAATTTCATTATCGTTAAAAAAAAAAAAGACATTATATGTACTCCGGTCCATGCTAGGCGCTCAATAACTGAAATAGTAGGGGTGACCGTATGGCACCATTGTCTCTGTAGACAAGTTTTCTGTCGAAGTCTGGGTGATTGGAACAGAGGTACTGTAGAACTCCATCGGTGTTGGTGGAATGCCGGAAACACCAGGGTATGGATAGTGCGCCATGCCAGTGGGATGTGTCCGGTCAATCAAATGTGTCCCAGCAGAGACTGGTTCGTGTTTCGGCCTCAGTTCCAACGGTGATGTTGACATGTTGGAGGGGTCGACAGGATGGTATTGGGTGTTTGGACCCATGTGCATTGGGCTATAAGGGTGGGAAGGATTGTAAGGGGGCGCGTTCGGTAGGTCTCCAGAGGTGGCTTGGGTTATGTCGATGTCGGAGATTCCGTCGCTGCACTCGGATTCGACGATATTTTGAGAAGAGGCTGGTTCGTTTGGCGAGCTTTGTCCGCTGGATGTGTCTTCGGCCATTTGAGGGAGATTTGTGCGAGCTATAGACACGCGTTTTCCATCTAGATAACATATGTGAGTTTCGGGGGTGGGTGTGGAGGATAGCATGAGCATGTACCTGAAATCCCATCCAGGTATTTTTCTTCCTCCTCGCGAACTCGATATGCCTCATCCAAGATTTGTAAACGTTCGACCGGGAGGATTTGACGACGAATGGGCTGGTCGCTTTGTCTTAATCTGGCGGTGGTGATTCCGTGGGTTTCGCGCATTTCGCAGAGCATGTATACTAAAAGTCGAATGCGTTCTAGGTCATTGTCAGCTTGGTAGGATTATTCGGAAGGATTTCTCTCTCTCTTACCAACTTTTGGAAGATGATCCGGTTCCCGATGGCTCACTCCTTGCGGCCACCATGGTGGCTTAGTTGCCTCGGGGTCCAGCTGTTGGGTTCTTCCTTCAACGATCTTCCGTCCATTGTATGGGTAGTTCACTTGTTTTCGCGGCTCGACTAACTTGATGTAGGCTTTGGCGATAATTCGGCAGTTTGTTTGTTGTAGATTTTGGAAGACTTTTTCGTAGTAGAGACGCAAAAGACCTCTCTCTTTTACAGAGATGGAGGCTCTTTGGTGTGAAGCCAGGTTGAGGTTCCGACCACCGAAATTCTTTTTAGGTTGTGAGCTGGCTTGTAGAGACCAAGATTCGCATGACGGCCACATTGATTGAGATGGAACCTGCATCCTCTGTTGACTACCCAGCCCCATTCCATTATAACCCACGGACTCCCCCTGCGATGGGGCAGAGCTGTTGTTAAATGGTTGCCCCCCACTAGACGGAGCTTGGAGCTCGGGAGAAACTGTTCCATGTCAACAAGAACACTTCACGTGGGGTAAATAGGGAAATAGAGGCCTTACCTTGAGATCTTGTTGCATGGGCTTCTCTCGACATTGCCACTGCTCGGAGGAATTCACCCGTAACCCGAGGAGAGAGGATGGCCTCGCGGCTCTCTGAAATGGAATCGGAGGCCCTTTGGCAAAGATTCCCATCGTTGTCTATGTAGATCATAGCAAAGTGGGTATATCCAGGCTCCTCAGGTGATTGCCTGGACATCTTTTCCGGGCCCTAGGGTCGGCTCTGTCAAGGTCATCACATAAGAAGGATGGAATACCCTGTATATGGACCCAATGGCCCCGGGTTTTGAATGGCAGACTGGTCTAAGTACGAAACAGACGAAGTGGGGATTTTTTTTTTACTACAGGAAATTTGGGGGGGGTCGAAGCCAGATAAAGACCATGCTGCGATGGGGGTCAATAGCAATGCCTCTCTCTTGTCGATCAGTTGACTAAATGCGCATTGATAAGGATTTATAAAAGCCACTGGGTCATTTTTTTTTCCAGGTGTGGCGCACCCTCCCTACTCCGTACGCAACTAGAAGGAAAGGTCAAAGGCCTGTGGAGACGAGAGACGAGAGACGAGAGACCGATCTGCAAATGCAGATATATTGTACAGATACAGTATCGAAACAAGACCGGAGTATTTTAGGGCAGACGTACGGATTACTTAGTCCACATTTGGAATGCGGACATCTTTTCCTTGGGCCTTTATGACAATCTCAGTGTACAGTGTATAGCCGCAGGGGAATTTGAATAATTCCCCGAATGACGGTGACATTTCAGCGCTTATTTTATTATATACGTATATAGCCGTCTACCAATCTTGGCTATGGGATAGAGTGGTTTTCCCCAAAACTCTCACTCAGTTAGAACATCCATGGCCCTCAGAACCTGATATTATAGTAAGTACAGAGTACAAAGTACTTTGTACCATAACGGTGCAATAAGAAACAGCTGCATGATACTAATCAAGGGCCTTATGCCAACCAGTTGCCTTATTACCATATTGCCGAAATTGTATATGTATTAATTACTTTTCCATCTCCTTACTTATCAAAGACACCCGTGGACATTAACTGACACAGAGCTACCCGGTAGAACCTTAGAAGGATAGGGCATTTGATGCCCCGTGCCATTATAGTTCTCTACCTATCACTACAACAATACAAAATAGTCAGTTCGCCAAGAAATGCACAAGAACTTTCCAAGGTTCTCATGCACTTTGTCGTCATAGAGTGGTTGGTTGGGGGAAATACGAATTTTAATCAAATTACCGGAAAAGGAAACTATTTACCGGCCGAACGGGCTTAGCTCGGTCTGGCTTGAAAAGCCTCAACCTCAGATCGATTCTATGTTGTACCTATTATTGTAGGTATATGTCATAGATATAATATCGGCCGGGCGGGCTTAGTTCGGTTTTGAAAAAGCTTCGGGTTCTGACACTCTTTTCATGATCGACATGTGTTGGCTGAAAGGGAGATGGAAGAATGCGAACCAAATATGGAATAAGCGATGGTACCTAGGTACAATTTGCCACCGTGCTATTTTCCATGGTACGTCGATCTGGTAGTATATTGCATGGAGTACACTTGTAGATGCATATGGCCCCATTAATAGATATCTTAAAATATACAACATTACATACAGAGTACCTAAATACCTAAATAAGACTTGCTCGATCAAATCTCGATAGTCAAGTGGAGCACAAATTCTATGATCGAACGCACGATAAGCTTCTCGATTCATGGACTTTCCGTTGTGGGGAAGACTGCCTTGCTTTCGATGAAGTCCTCGTTTAGGGAACATCCGCAACATATTGGATACATATGTACTGATTTCTGAATCTCAGAGACACTCGATGTTAATACCATACGACGGAGAACATCCACCTAAGAACTCCGGTGACTCCGCTTCAATCCATGGGATTCCATATCAGTCCAAGGTAATCCAAGGAAAATCCCCTGTTGGGGAACGGAATCAAAGAAGGTTTATCGTCGGGAAAGAGATTGAGTTTAAAGTTTGAACTCATATCCATGGCTTTGGAACATTGCAAGAGCCCTGTACCTACCTAGGTAGGTACCGAGTACCGGAGGACTCCGATAGCTAAACTGTCAATCTAGTTGCTCAGCCCCATAATTTCCATTCGCATAAACCGCGCATATCCGACTTGCATTTCCTGGAAATGGGGTCCCTACTTGAGCTTGTGGCGCAGGCTTCACCGTGGTCTCCACAGTTCCCCTTTTAGCCCTCTGCATATTCGTAACTGCATACTCCGTACTCCGTATGCACAACTATGTTGGGTGTGTGTTCGAGTTGTCCACTTGATGAAATCCTCAATGTCTTCCTTCATACCCGGATTTTCACAATAGTCCTCTCTATCCCCTGCAGCGCCTACAACCTGCACTCACATGCCTTTGTGGTAGAGATCATCAGTGATTGATAGAAACAAAGTTCATAGGATCGTCTAGATACCCTTTATTGGGAGATTACCTGACGTGTCGCTTGGTCGTTCCTGACACATCGAGTTAGCAAGAATTTCCAACCCCTTTCTCACATACATATGAACCGTGTGTCAAAGTCCCCGAATGTGATTTGTGGATACTGATCGCCAGTCTTTAATTGCCAAGCGGTCGCTGGTAAATCCATCCATGCCTAGATGTACAAAGTACGAACCTTGTTTAGGAACTCTCGTTTCCGCTCCCTTTGACATCATTGCCGGGAAATTTGGGGAGCTTTTATCCGTGAATAGCGTTATTCCTAGCACCGCCACATAGATATAAGCCGCTGCCAGTCTAGACCGACGATACATAGTAGGGAAGTGCGTCGATCTCACGTGTAATAATTATGGCGGTAAGAGGTATCATCGTCTACATGGGGGTAGAGACTGAAAGTCGCTATGGGCAAAGGAAAGGGACATAGGAGAGGGAGCAGTCTGATACCGAAGGCATAGGCGGGTGTCTGTCTGTAGGTCGGTTTTCCCGAGGTCACAGGTTATACTTAATCATTTTGTATGTAGTATACCCTTTTGGCCATATTTCCCTCTCGTATTCTGCACTTTGTCTAGGCCAGATTTTCATCTGGCTAGAAAGGAAAAACGGCATGCAAAAACAGAGTTGGTATTATCTTCTATATAATGTCTCTAATACATCCACCTCAAACCGTTATAATATACATTGGGACCATTCAATTCTTATGTCGTCAAATACAGAGGCATCACAAGCCGACTATCCTTGATATTATGAAAAAGGCAGCCGGATGTGGTTTCCATATATTTCAGGCAGAATATATTTACTGCCTGAGGCGGTCCATATCGTACCCCGTGACCTTCCAATGTCACTTTCATTGTGGAACACCAGCTGCTCTCTCTAAACATCAAGTACACTCTTAGAACTCTGAATCACGAAGTCAAGTTTCAAGTCAACTGGAGATATTACTATTATCATCTCAACATCATCAACATCATTCATTCGAGCCTGTGTCTCCACCATTCCAAAAGGGCTCCGCTGCATTAGCCCGCCCACGGCTGATCGCTCTGAATCTGGGCACCAAAATCTGTCTTGCTCCGAGTTCCAGTTCGCTGTGGAGGCCGTGTTCCCAATACATCCCTGCCTTTTGACTGAGCCAATCACCACTCTCTTCTTTATTTCTAGCAGCTTCGGGGTCTCGCCAAATCCCCCCCCTATCCCTGGATTCCCGGTCAACAAGCGCCGTTGGGCCTTCACCGTCTCGTCCGTGCGGCCTGCGTAATTCAGCCACAGTAGTTTCCCTAAATCGAGGGGATCGCTGGAGAGAAGAAGTATTACAGGGTGAAAAGAATCCCCCGGAGCCACCCCTCAACCGTGATGGTCCCTCATTACACAATGGACCCCAATACTGGTTATCCCGCAGGCTATCCCGTCCCGACTCAGAGCCCCCAAAACCAACAGATGCCTTTTTACCCTAACGCTGTTCCCCAATACCCCCAATCAAAGACACCGTCTGCTCAACAGTTTGGTGCTATGCCCATGCAGCCTGGTCCCGGTGGAGCTATGATGCCTTCTGGTTTCCCCCAACAATCTTCCGGTTCGTTGCCCCCCTTCTCCCCTTTTTTTCGTTATTATCATTGGCACGGCACATCTGTCACTTTTACCCCGGCGCGGCAGACATGTTGCTCAAATTCTTGGGGAAAGGGGAGGGTGTCTCATGAGGCTCAAGATCGGATTGAATTATTTCCAAGCCCCCCCTCATGCTTGTGTCACCCGCCCCTAACACCCTACGGCTTGGATGAAATTGGCCATACCGCTATCAATGCATTGACCACTTGGCACTGTCTAGCTTTGACCATTGGTCTCCTGTCTATTGTTGCCCACTAACCAGGTCGCTTTATTTTGTTGGAATATTTCGGGCTGACCATATACTTTGTCATAATAGCAGCACCTATGGATAATTTCTCAGCGCCCTACGCCCAGACCCCCATCCCTAACCCCATGGGCCAGTTTGTCCCCCCTCAAGGCACATCCGGCGCAAACATGCCATCTCAAGTAGCGCAGACCTTCTCTCAAAACATGGCTTCCATATCAGCGAACAACCTGCTTGGCACACAACCAAAACCCCCTTCGCAAATGAACTCGCCCCAAACCGCTGCCTCACCTGCGGCTCCAAACCAGGCCCAGGCCCAAGCTCAAGCTCAATTTGCAGCGCGTGAAAAAGCCCGCGTCACGGCCCTGCTTGACATCAACTCGGCCTTGTTACAAGAAGTGGTGAACCTTCAAGCGGCCGGCAAGGCTGGCCCCGCCTCCAACCCCGATACAAATTCACCCGCGTCAGAGCAACCGGATGCATCCAAAGCCAATCAGAAGCCGAGCCCCGAATACATTGAGTGCATGCGACGTCTACAAGCCAACCTAGCCTACCTCGCGACTATCGCCGATCGAGCAAAGAAAGCGGGTGGTGTCATTCCTCAAACGCCAGCGATTATGACACCGCCCCCCAACCTTCCCGCTGTGAATGAGCTATATGCCAGACTCAACGAGCTCTTCTCGCGGTCTGCAAAGGCCTCTACTCCGCAAAGACCGAGTCCTCCGTCCATGCAAGGAAATGGCGGACCTAGCCCTGGCGCTATGACTGAGTCGATTATCTGAGGCAACTAATGGGGAAACATGCAGTCCTCCGTGTGAGAAGACATGCCACAGATTATTTCGAGCTCCTGCTTTGTCCGCCCCCGCGAATTATGCGACCATGGTTCGGCCCACCAATGCAAGCTTTATGGGAGGCGTCGGCCTATTCCCTTCAACACCATGCATACCCGCAGAAGCATGGACCTTCCACCATGCGCACCATCTCTGCCAACTAAAAAACCAAATGTGTGACCAGTTGAGAACTTTAAAGCAGCCACGGTCTCTATGATGTATGACTAGGAAATACTCCAAAGTCCTGGCTCCCCCGCTTTTGAAGTATGGGAGCATGTGGCAAGGGACAACCCTCATATTTGAGTAAATCTGGCTACAGAGCAACCTCCAAATTTGTATATTAATTGAATGTAACGTAACATCCCAACGCATCCCGTCCACATGTAAATCAGTTAGAGATGTATTTAGGATCATTGTAACAGTAGGGCGCATGAGGCGGCCATGGGATCATATCGTGCAACTCCGCCCTTATCGAAATTCCCCGTCCTCACCGCCTTATAGCTCAACAAAAGATTATTCTGCTAGCAATAATCCTGAGATGCGAAAGTCAAGCCTCCCCCAATAATATGGCCTTGTTGCCTCTCCGCCTTGGGGACCTGTTGGAGGGCACGTTTTGCCATGTCAACGCGCATGCACATTTTCCCCAATTGCCTGGTGGATGTATTGTTCTTTATCTGTTGTATGCAGAAGGAGCTTGCGAATTGTTCCGGTTTCGCCTTTCTCGTCTTATCAAGCTGCAAACCAAACCTCCACTTCTTTGAGGTCTCCAGCCGCCGCTGATCGATCATCTGCGTCACATTCCTTAACTCCGCATCGGCCGCGTCTTCACGTGTCTCATTCGTCTGATACCCCATTCTCTGCTACCCCGTTAGCCTCAAGAGGCTCCCGGTCCATCTCGTCTCTTGCCAGCCACCTAAAACCCCGTCGACACCGCCTCCGGAGCTCAGATATCTTCGCCATGGATGGCAAGGGCGATATGAGTGCGAAGCGAAAGCGCAGCACGGCGGCCTATGCTTCCGAGCATCCGAACAAGCAACTCCGACCTGAGCCCTCGATATTGACCCCCGACGACGCAACTCCCGCCAACGGAACTGTCTATGAGGTCGAGGAGGATGTAGATGAAGCTCCCTCGCCAGTTGCAATCCCCGCTACAACGGACTCACCTGAATGGCAGGCTACTATCGAGAAGGTTGTGAAATGTGCCGTCTCCATTCACTTCTGCCAGACCTGTTCGTTTGATACAGAGCTCTCAATGTCCAGTCAAGCAACTGGTTTCGTGGTGGATGCAGAGCGTGGCTACATATTGACCAATCGTCACGTTGTGGGTGCTGGTCCTTTCTGGGGATACTGTATATTTGACAATCACGAGGAAGTAAGTGGATCCTGCACAATGGTTTGGTCAAAGACCTTCTTCGGTTATTAACAAAATTGGCAAATCACAGTGCGATGTCCAGCCTGTATACCGAGATCCCGTTCATGATTTCGGTATCTTGAAGTTCGACCCGGCGAAAATTCGATACATGCAAGTCACGGAGCTTAAGCTTCAGCCAGATGGAGCGCGAGTTGGTGCAGAAATCCGCGTCGTGGGTAACGATGCTGGAGAAAAACTGAGCATTCTGTCCGGTGTGATCAGTCGACTGGACCGAAATGCGCCTGAATATGGAGAGGGCTACTGTGATTTCAACACAAACTACATCCAGGCCGCAGCTGCAGCCAGTGGCGGTAGTTCGGGAAGTCCTGTGGTCAATCTTGCTGGCCATGCAGTTGCTTTGCAGGCTGGTGGTCGAGCTGACGGTGCTGCAACGGACTACTTTTTGCCGCTGGACCGCCCGCTTCGTGCACTGGAGTGTATCCGCCAAGGTCAACCGGTTACTCGTGGTACAATCCAAACACAGTGGGTCTTGAGGCCTTTCGACGAGTGTCGCCGTCTTGGTCTGACCCCGGAGTGGGAGGCTGCTGTACGTGCCGCAGCACCTACTGAAACAAACATGCTTGCTGCGGAGATCATCCTTCCGGAGGGACCTGCAGATGGTAAGTTGTTGGAGGGAGACGTGCTTATCAAAGTAAATGGAGAGCTCCTTACGCAGTTTGTTCGTCTCGACGACATCCTAGACATGAGTGTCGGGGAATCTGTCAAGCTGCTGGTTCAGAGAGGCGGTCAAGATGTTGAGGTTGAGTGTCAAGTGGGAAATCTGCATGATATCACCCCCGATCGTTTCGTGACAGTTGCTGGCGCCAGCTTCCATGATTTGTCGTACCAACAGTCACGTCTCTATGCCATTGCCACTCGCGGAGTCTATGTCTGTGAGTCGGCGGGCTCTTTCAAGCTGGAGAACACTGTGGCAGGGTGGATCATTGATTCAATTGATAAGCGACCCGTCCGTAACCTCAATGAGTTCGTAGAGGTCATGAAGAACATTCCCGATCGCACTCGCGTGGTGATCTCCTACCGCCATATTCGCGACCTTCACACGAAAGGAACTAGCATCATCTACGTTGACCGTCACTGGCATCCCAAGATGCGAATGGCGGTCCGGAATGATGAGTCTGGTGTCTGGGATTTCTCCGATATCGCCGAACCCATTCCTGCTGAACCTCCTGTCCCAAGAGAGGCCAATTTCATCCAATTAGACGGCATCAGCCAGCCTGCTGCCGCGGAGATTGTCCGTAGCTTCGTGCGTGTATCCTGCATCATGCCGTTGAAGCTGGATGGATACCCACAAGCAAAGAAGACTGGGTTTGGACTGGTTATCGATGCTGATAAGGGTCTAGTGGTGGTATCACGAGCCATTGTCCCCTACGACCTTTGCGACATCAACATCACTGTGGCCGACTCAATCATTGTCAGTGCTAAGGTGGTCTTCCTGCACCCGCTTCAGAACTACACCGTCATCCAATACGACCCCAGCCTCGTCAAGGCTCCGGTCAAGAGCGCCCAGCTCAGCACTAACTACATCAAACAAGGCCAAGATACCATCTTTGTCGGCTTCAACCAAAACTACCGCATTGTGGTGGCCAAAACCACAGTCACTGATATCACGACTGTGTCGATCCCCGCCAACGCAGCTGCACCTCGTTACCGTGCAATCAACTTGGACGCCGTGACCGTAGATACTGGACTCAGTGCGCAATGTTCAAACGGTGTGCTCATCGGCGAAGACGGTGTAGTTCAGGCCTTGTGGTTGAACTACCTCGGTGAGCGCTCTGCAAGCTCTCACAAGGATATCGAATACCACCTCGGCCTTGCCACTCCATACCTGCTTCCCGTTACTTCCAAGATCCAGCAAGGAGAGGTCCCAACGTTGCGAATCCTGAACATGGAAAGCTACGTTGTACAGATGAGCCAGGCTCGCATCATGGGCGTTTCGCAGGAATGGATTAACAAGGTCACTGAGGCCAACCCATCGCGACACCAGCTGTTCATGGTGCGCAAGGTTGATAGCCCTCCGGCAGGCGTCACCCCCGACCCCAGCACCAGCTTCCAGGAAGCCGACATTATTCTCACGCTGGACGGCCAAGTCATCACCCGCGTTTCAGAGCTGGATGTCATGTATGAAAAGGAATTCCTGGATGCGCTGGTCATACGAAATGGCGAGGAAGTGCGCATCCGTGTCCCCACGGTGCCAACTCAGGACATTGAGACAGACCGTGCCCTTGCCTTCTGCGGTGCTGTCCTACAGAAGCCCCACCATGCTGTTCGTCAGCAGATCTCCAAGGTTCACAGCGAGATCTACGTGAGCGCGAGGGTGAGTTCCGATACCCTTCTATCCTTTAAAATACCGCTAACACTATTCTTCAGAGCCGTGGTTCCCCCGCTTACCACTACGGTCTTGCGCCCACTAATTTCCTCACTGCTGTCAACAGCGTCTCGACTCCAGACCTGGATAGCTTTATTCGGGAAGTCCGCAAGATTCCCGATAACGAATACTTCCGTATTCGCGCTGTGACCTTTGACAATGTTCCCTGGGTTGTGACCATGAAGAAGAACGATCATTACGTGAGTCTTTACCTCGCACTTATGCACCAAAATAACAAATCTGAACCGCGTTCTAACATCTAACAGTTCCCCATGTCCGAATATGTCAAGGATCCCACCAGTGCATCTGGCTGGCGCACCATCTCCTATGAGACAGAAATCGGTGTGGCACCCGACGCTGCCAACCTCAACCCCGATGCCATGGATGAGGCTGCTGAGGGAGGAGCTAGTGAGATCGAGCCGGATATGCAGTAAGTCCAGCGTCGATATTACTGCATGGGGGCTAGAGAATCTTGTATTATATTTTTCTCGGCGCCGGGGGGTGGGTTTGGACCGGGGTTTTCATCTTGCCTTTTTTTTTCTCCCATTTCAATCTCACGGTGTATGTTGCGCAAACAGGCGGGCCAGATATACGGCCGAGTATAAATTCATAAACCATGCACATGTGCCATGTACTATTCTGCTTTTTGGGTTGAAGTAGAGGGTTGTACAACACTAGGTCAGTTATTTATATGGGGGCATGGGAGTAAGTATGTCCGGTCTTCGTGATGCCCGTACGTCAACCACCATGTCAATCATCCACCTTCAGGAGCACTGTGGGCAATAAAACACCGATTACTCGTTTGTTTATTTGGTTTTTGTTTTCGCACTTGTTCTAGATATATACCTGTTGAACACTACATGTATAGATTGAGTTGAAACAATGGGGTGTCTATATATATATATACTCACCAGGAGGGTGTGTCGAAAAGAAAACAGCATTCTATATTGGACTAACAGGATAAAATAGGTTATAAAAAAGAGGGAAAAAGAGATAATCTTAATCTCGAAGGAATAAATCTCAAAAACAACGAGAACGAAGCAACAGCAACAAAAAAGGAAAGCCAAAAAAGAAGTGCATCATCCGTGAATCGAACACGGGCCTCGTCGATGGCAACGACGAATTCTACCACTAGACCAATGATGCTGGTGTGAT